AAAGGGACTAACCTGCGTCTGTGCCTGCGCTCCTTACTGTCCCCACGGCGGTCCCTGCTGCGTCTGTCCCTGTCTCTGCTCCTCCTTTTTCGCTCTCTGCTGCGGCTGCGGGAGGAGGACCTGCGGTGGTGACGGTTCTCCTTGTCCCTTTCAGCTGTCGGAATAGAGAATGGTTACAGAGCATTTAAAACCTCTTAATGAAATGCAATTCACCATTGAGCAATGAAAATACAGCAATTCACTGATACAAACAGTCAAGTGAAAGACCCTTACAGCTAAAAAATCACAATTACTGTGGTATAATAGTTGCCCTGGAAATTATGAAGACAATGAGCAATGACACCGAGTATGAATCCCTCTGTTCACAAAGCAATAATAGAGATGGTTGTTAAATTAATGCACGAGTTCATTTAAGTTCAATCGAAAACAAAATAATCAAAATGTGCAATGAGGGCAGGCTTACACTACTAAACAACTAGCTTTTAAATATTGTGCCTTGAGATTAAATGTAAATAGAGAGCTTATTGTCATATAAATGTAGTGGCTGATTGGTTGCAAGACCAACTCAGTTAAAAAAAAAACTAAAAGGTAATAGTTAGCAAAGACGGTACAAATGTTTTCTGGACACAACAGCTGCAAAGTATGAATGCTAACTCCCCCAGTCAGCTGGTACAGTCAGGAGGATTACCATGATATAGACCCCCCCCCCCATGTTGCAGAACCAATACAAGTACAAGTAGCATTAAATGTTACAGTACAGCCACATCTCTTCTTGAATAGTAAACTTGACGTTACATTTATATGTGACCCTCACGGTGATCAGACCTGAGTGCTGTAGAGAAACATTACATTAGGAGTGATGGGCACTTCAGCTAACAATGTTCCAGTTCATAGACGTATCCTGGGTTGCTCCTATGATGGCGGCAATTACATTCAAACGTCTCGGCATTTTTCCTGTAATTGGCGTGTAACTGATTAATTTACCTTGTTTGTTTTCAGATAGCTGTCTTTCGAATTCGTCAAAGTCCGACATCTCTGGGAGTTGAAGGCTACGACCCTTGCGGCGACTGCGTTGTTCAGTTAGCGACAGCTAGCTTAAGCTAGCAACAAAGTGAACAACACTTAAAAAAAAAAAAAAACACAAGTCCCCGCCGATGTAGCCGGAGTAAGTTTGCGTCACCTAGCAGCCTACTTAACAACAGAATTTCCAATAAATATTAAACAGCGCAGACATCAGCAGTGTGGTTTGTATTTACAACGTAACAGACAAAATCATTGAGGAAAAAAAAAAACGTGTTCGCATGCGTTAGCCTGCTAATGCTAGCTAGCCTGTAGCAAAGTCCAGAAGAAAAGGCCTGCTGCTCCAGACGCTCCTCAGCTCGCTGGAGGGCTAGCTAGCACGAAAGACGAATGAATGAGACCCTTTTCAGAACAAAAATGTAAATCCAAGGGGGTCAATGGCCCGCAGTTCGCACTTGTTTGACCCTACTTGTCTAATGTGTAGGCTTTCTAGAGCTTTAAAGCCAAGCGAAACCAATAAAGATTTCGGTATGCCCGCTTTTTTTGCTCCGTCTCCCAGGTACCCCGTGACACCGGAAGTTGATGAATAACAGGTTTCCGGGGGAAAAAAAGAAAGAAAGAAAGAAAGAAAAAGAGTGAAAGGACGCTTCGGGTTCTCTGGATGATCTAGACCAGGGCTTCCCAAACTTTTCAGGTCGTGACCCCCAAAATAAGGGCGACAGAAACTAGCGACCCCCCCCCCCACTGTTCTTTAAGGTGGTTAGTTAGGTATAATGTAGCGACAGCCACGCACACACTCTAATAAACCTATCCAAAAACTGGGAACACAAAATAATACAACAGCCTAAAAGAATTAAAAATGTCATTTCCATTTCACTTAATGATACTGTCTTATATGACAGTGGACTACTTTTTGTATATTTACAAAAATGGTAAAAATATATATTTATGCATTTTTAATTTTTTTATGGAAGGCATCTCGCGACCCCCCTCTTGGTGGCTGGCGACCCACCTTGGGGTCCCGACCCCCACTTTGGGAACCACTGATCTAGACAAGGCAGTCATTTGCCTAAAACTAGATAAATCTCCTGGCCTAGATGGGCCGAGTGCCAGTTTTTAAAGACCATATTGGGATTCGCTCAGATTGTTATTTTTCTTTTAAGTCTTTAGAGAAGCTACAACTAACTTACCAGTCAAACAGCACGAAACAAGGCATGATCAGACTAATACACTAAACATGTGAAGATAATAGGATTTTAGATAGTCCAATTCACTATGTAACGATGATTCAAAATTACTAACCTGTGTATGTAAGAACAGATTAAAGGGAGGACTTGATCAATTAATAGGCAAAACTCAAACAGGATTTGTAAGCAATAGGTCAATAGGTCAATACATAACAACATAAGACTAGTACAAGACCTTTTAAATTACATTCATCTAATAGAAGACAAAGGATTTATATTAGTCTTCTCCAAAGCTATCGACATTCTCGAACACCAATTTTTAGTTTACAGTCATGAGAATATAAGGATTTGAACCTTCTGTCTTTGTAATTATCTAGGCTATGTGGAGAACAGGAAGTAATTAACCAACTTGCCAATAACACCACAATCTTTCTCATACATTTAGAACACATTCATTAAGTCTTTAAGCTACTTGATACGTTCTCTAAAGCATCAGACTAAACACTCAATCATAGTCAATGTGAAATAATGTCCATACATGACTGTAACCTCACAGAGGCCAACAACTCCTCAGTGAAATACCTCGAAATCCATGGAACCAAAGAAACAACTGTAAGCAAAACCTTACATATACAAAACAAAACTATTAGCTGAATATGTGGCTTCAAAGGGACCTGATTGTATTTGGAAAGGACGACTGAAATGGAATCTTTATCTTTCATTATCAATAGCCATGCCCAAGAAGTTTATAAAAATCATCAAACAATTAAACTTTAATTTTATCTATAAAAAAACCCATCCCATTAAATAAAAAAACTAATAGTAAATGAAAATAAAGGCAAATTTTAATTGGTGTCCTCTCCCCAGATGTTTGTTTAAAAAAACAACAACAGGGTTGTAGAGTTAGTTATAAAATGTAACTTTCAAAATAAAAAATGTCCTGTCAAACTGTCCTTATTTCACATTCAGGTACTGTTTTTCTGGAAACTCACTTACACACTACTTTACAAACTCCTATTTGGATAACAGAAATGTGCTATGTAACAGTAAATCTCTGTAGTTACAGCATTGGATGGATAGAAATGTCTGGTCAATAACCCATCTAATGGATGGCCAGAGATGCTGGTTATCTTATGAAAACTGCTTCAGATACAATATAATCTGCTCATGCAATCAATTTGATAAAGTACTTAAAGCTATTCCCATTTTAGTAAGATTATTAGTTGGAAACATAGGCAAACAGTCACATGTTTTAAATTGATCCATGCTTCACTTTAATGGTCATGATTTTCAGGCTGAGGGACAAATAAACAAAATGCTACACAATCACTTGAATCATAAACTGCACCAATCACGTCCCAACAGAAACTGCATTATGCAATTGTTTTCAGATGCAGACATAAAAAGCTGAGAGCAAAATTTATCAAATAGCCTTAAAACAAAAGAGGTCCGTGTATAAATTCAGAATAATATTTATCCATCCAATGAACTGATAAGAAAAAGATTTAACTGCAGCTTTTGAGATGCTGAAATCCAAACATCACACCATCTGTTTTCCTGTATGTACTCCATGACATTATGGGAGATTTGAAGGACTGGTTCTCACCCAATATCTCACTAATGGACCCTCTCATTGTTTATAGTGTTGTCAGTCTCGTTTCAAAACTTGATGAGTCCAGACAGGCCAGTTTAAAACTATTTATCTGGAGATTTACGTAACATATTGCAATTCAAGGTATTTTTTGTTATTCCAAAATACTAAAACCAAATGGTTTATAAACTTAACATGGTTACACACTCACGGCAATTAGATCACATTCAGTATTTTTCCGCTGAGAAGGAGGTGTGACTACTTCAATTGAATTGCTAAATAAAGTGCTAAAATTAAAGACTTTTTTGCAGCTTAAACATTTCCTGTATTAACACATTTTTCTGAAGCTAAACGAGGTACAGTATCATTTTCTCTCAAATGTTCTGCATGCACAGGTCTCTACAGACAAGCTAAGACATACAGTGCGACACCAATCTGGATCACAACTTGAAATCCACCAAATGATTGAAATCAGAATGCATTCATGATATTTGAGCTTGCTATGAACTTGAAGAATGAAAAACATTGTTTCAGTGAGATATACACAGATATGAGACCTAAATATGACATTATTGTTTGTATGAAACACTATCACCTATTATGATTGGTCAAAGTTTGCTTATAAGTTCCACTGCCTCTGAAACTGTTTTCTTCATCCAAAAATCTCAGAGTGAAAACTGTCTTAATGTTCCTGTGTCTGTTTTGTTAGAGACCTCCTCCTCAGAGCCAAGGAAGTGTGGACAACAGGAACGCGAGGAATACAAAGGAGAAATCCTTCCAGCATCTTATCCCATTTTTCTTAACAAGGAGTAAGGTCTTTTTACCTGCTCTTATTGTAAAGCGCCTCGAGAAAACACTTGTTATGAATTGGCGCTATACAAATAATGATTGAATGTTTTGATGGATGTTAAAGCCCAGAGTCTCTGTATTTCATTGTTAAATCTGTTTTAATAAGAAACTTCTATCATTTAAACACAGCAGTAGTACAATATATTTTCTACTGCTCTTAAAAGTTTTAAAGACATGCCTGTTAGCTGTTTTTGGAACTCACACAATGACACTGTATGTGTACTACTGTCCCAAAAGTATCACAAGAAACACAGTGCCAGAAGAATAAAAAGTGACATTTAGGGTATTTTAGTGAAGATCATTTCAAAAACTGTTTCGGTACACAGTGAAACAACAGACTAATGCTGCAGTACTGACAGAACAACAGGTGTTATTACTTTTATTTCACGTCACACACATACAATATCACCAACGTATATTTGTGTATGCCTTTTATTTATTCATTTAAATGAAACAGCTCTTATTGCCGAACTTATGTCACTGTCAGAAACACATTTGCACCACATAATATTGTAGTCACCAGATTGCAATTTATTTCACCACTGTCCTTCTTTTATAGAATTTCTACCCCTCCTTTAGAGCTAAGACAAATGGAGACTTAAATAAGGTAGGTTTCTAGAGTGAAACAGTGATCAACTATTTCACGTCTCAGCAAGGAAATCACAAAAATTAGCATTAAGGCAAGTGAAAACAGTAACGTACAAAAATCCAAGTAGTGCAACACAATTTGAACACACAGAAATCGTGATTGAAAACTACCATAATTGACTAGTATTGGATTGTATTAAAATAGCACACACTTAAAGTGACAGAGGATTGCTTAATTTATAAAACATGTAGACTGAGAGAACTGAAATGATCCAGACAATCAATCAATCAATCAATCAATCAATCAATCAATCAAATAATGGCCGCCAGCTGATCCAGATGTTAAGATCCTAAAGCTCTTTGTCTCTTAATGTCATCGCTGAAACATGAATAAGCTAAATTGGTTGCCCTCATTCAATAATCCCTAACACATAATCCTGATAGCAATGACACAGTGTGATTCGAACAGACATGCAATTTCGCTAAAATCATGTTCTTCCCTTCCCAGCTACATCGGACAGATTGTTGCTATTATTACATTTATTGTTTGGGATTTGCAGAAACACGAAAAATCATTTACAACATGATGACAATAAAATGTGGAGTGACATTATTATTTGAGTGAAGACCAACGGACATCAGACACAGTTTTTCATGGCCAGATCCAGGACACTGAGATGGCATAATATTTCTCCACGCCTGTCCAATAATCTTTGACATGACTGGAGCTGGCCTTGAGCAGAAGAAAACAAGGTGCCTCACTGCTCCTTAAAGTTTCACAGAGGCACCTTCCATTCTGCCTTCTTTCTCCCCTTAATGTCTGAACCTGTAGGATATGGGCAGAAGCAGGTTGTTCTTTTTCAAGGCCTGCACCCTGCTGAGTGTCTCCTCATCCAAAGCAGTGTAGCAGCGGCGGGCATAGTCCAGCAGCTTTTCCTTGGATGGGTCAAACTCACCCACCTCTGCCACCTTCTCTGGGGCCACTAGCAGCATCTCGGCTATGGGTGTGGTGGAAGCCACTGTGTTGCGGTCCACACCATGGATTTGGAAAGCTTTCGACATATTTTTCAAACGCTGGTATGTAAGCAGGATCTTCTTGTAGCGAAACAGCACCCCAGCAGCATCTTTAACTGATGAACAAGCATGTAAAGAGAGTTAGCCTCACCAGTCTTATGACACTGCATGGGGAAATTAGGAAACTGAGTGGCTGAGATTAAACACAAAATCGTTCTCCTTCACTTACCTCTCTGCCGCTCTCGAGGGACTCTGACGACCCGCCTCCTCTTTAACTGATGTCTGTTGCTGTTTATTGTATTTGAAATTACATCTTCCCCCGATATCATATCCTCCTCATCCAGGAAACCCTCCTGCTCCAAGTACTCATCAGATTCTCCCAAGAGTGAAAGTGAATCTAACAAAAATATAAAAAATAATCAAAACCACTAGGCAAAGCCATCGGTAACATTTCCCTTTCCCCCCTTCTACAGTCAATTACAATAGTAGAAAATTGTATGTGTTTTTAATTACCTTGACCAACGTTGCTGTGTCCACTCATTTCACTTATGGATGACCGTGTTACGCTGTTGCTGTTTCCACTGCTGCCCCCGGCTGTGGTACTCGGAGTGCTGTGGCTATGGCTTTGCATGAGGGCCTGAGTTTGTGTGGAGTTGAACAGAGCATTGATGGAGGCTAGCTGATTAGAAAGAGGATTGGAGACATGGTTTTTGGAGGACACCATGGTTGGAGGAACAGACCTTCGTTGGATAAATTGACGTGAGGGGAAATGTTGTGAGTCTGTCTTTTGTTGCTCTGTGAAGACATGAAAGTCATGATTAAAAACATTTAGCATACACAGATAAACCACCAAAAAGTTGCAAAACTATATTCTAGCATGGCTTTTTTTTTTTTTTTTTTTTTTACTTTTATGTTTTAATCTTATGTTTTTACCAGCTGGATGATCTTCCTCTCTTCTTCCCCTCCAGTTGAATCGTCTAGGATTATAACCTTTAAAAAGGCAAATACCAAGAAGCAAGAATTAGTTTTCCATCATCAGTCATTACTTGTTCTGTTTCAAATCAAAGTGTACTCCAAGTCTTCTTGGACAGGTTGCAAACGCGCACCTGTCCCTTGTCCTCACCATTGCTGTACTGGCTCTGATTTTGCTCCTGTCCCTGGCTCTTTGTGGAAAAGATGAAGCGGTCCAGCTGGCAGCGTAGGAAGTCCCTCTCCTCTTCCAAGTCTTCAATTCTTTTTTGCAGCCAAGAGTTTTTCTCCAGAGAGATCTGAAGCTGGGTCCGCAGGTTAGTGATCACCATGTATGAATTGTTGACTGGGGCCGGGGCAGACGTTTGGGGTGACTCTGCAGGGACAGAAAAGGATATTTGACATATTAATAAATGTTGCGTCAAAACATCAATTACATTAAATGCGTTATCTTAAATAATTATTATTAGATAAATTATCATGTATCACCTGATTTGTTTTGTTTTAATTTGATTTCTGTATCTTAAAAATAAGTTAGATGAATCTTTCAATGCAGTATTTATGTGCGATTACACATTTGCACACATGAATAAAATGTGTTCAGTGCAAAGCAGAGTTACTTTCTTTCTGGGTGGTAAGTCTGCTAGAGTTGTAAGTCAAAAAATAATGAATGAATAACAGTAAAAATAGAAACAAAACAATCTTATTAGATAAATGATCATGTATCATCGTTGATCGAATCAAAAGTGAATTATATGCATCTGACAATTACCTTCAAAGTTTTGATCACTCTGGTTGAAGAATCCTTGCTGCTCAAAGTTGCTCTCTTCATAGGGGATGGCAATTTCATAGGTGTCCTCATTCTTGGGAGCTGAACAAAGAAAAAGTCAATAATTGCTGATGTTTGACTTGAAGTGTAAAAACCACATGTATTTGTAGTTCTTTAAAAACCTTACTCTGCAGGTGGAGTGAGCCTGCGTGGCTCTTGGCTGTTGAGGCAGCATCAGTCCTGTTTCCGTCCTCCATCTCACACACCAGACAACCAGAGGAGATTTTTTTATTTAGGGCTTGGAGAGGGCTCACTGGACTGGCTTTAAAAAAAAAACCCCAAAACACTATAACACTGTTCAAACGAGTTCTTTACATCTGTTGATTATTATTACGTTTAATAGCAGCAGAGTCACCACCACTTAGGTTTCATGTTTGGGCTATCGTACTTTATGCAAGATCTGACTGCAAAAAAAAAAGTGCCAACATGATTACATAGCTATTTCTCTGGGCATGCACATAAAAAGTTTAACAGTTAAACTGCATGTGTTGCAAACATTTTAGTTTTTCAGATACATGATAATGCAGAGGCTGGATTACGTCAACGTTAGCGCTGCACTGCTTTAGCCTAGCAACACGTTAGCAAGAATTGAGCTACAAATATATAAAATTACAGTTCCATCACTTCTCAACACTTGAGTGTTTTAATTCCGTCATTCTGGTATAACACGAATCTCTTGCTAACATTATATGGTGCAGAAATTGTCACATACCACTTTAGGGTTGTAATAACTTAATCGTGCACATGTAATAAGACGTTATTACTCTGTCATATCCCCATTCCCGAGTTCGTCTGCTAGCTAACAAGCTAACAATAACAATTACATCTGTTATTTTTTTTTTGTTTTTTTAAGTGTATTACGTCATTTCCGGATTTAGCGAGATAAAGAAGTAAACTGTTTGATCCAGTCAGAAAATAAATTATTCAAGTAAAAGAAAACTCAAGCTTACAAATATCTTAAATTGCTGTCTTTAAACATTTTTTTTTAAAATAGAAATTATATAGTTCTACTATATTAGTTCTACTTATAGTTCATGATAATAGTCATTTGACAAATCGTGCACCAACATGTCTATCAGCTTTTCGACACATGCTGTCGTTAGTAGAAAAAAAAAAACTGCTGGACAGGTCGAGCAGGTGAGGAAGAGGTGTCATATTACATTGTTAACTTTGTCTTCACAGACCCGACTCAGAGAGACTCAAATAAAACGCACGGACTTCATCATAACAACGTTGGAATTGTGAATCTTCAACAAACCGTGAAGGTAAAGGTAAGCTGGTTTTATTTGATTCATTTTGTAATAAAAAAAATGACTCATTATTTAAAAGATAACTTTTAGGAAGTACGGGACAGGTGTGGCACCTGTTTTGACTGTATGCAGGTCGGTGTGTACACATTGAAAGACAAGCAAAGCCTTCTGTAGTTGACAGCAAATGTAGACTACTTACACTGTGTCGGTTCATGATAACATTTTTTTGGTATAGTGGAACAAATCACTGGCCTATTGAACTGATCAGCTGAGAAGTAAGCTATCATGAATCGGTTTAATATTTGATGTATAAAGCCAACATAACACCCTCCCCTCTTTTTCAGTGAAATCATGCCACCCAAATATGAGGGCTTATCCCACTGTAAGCTGGCTCTGGTGTTTGCTGTGCTGATGGACTTGCTGGGTGTGATATCCCTGTTGATGGGGGTCTTTGCTCCACTGGAGATCGAAGGCAGAGACTTTGGGGATCTTCTGGTGTACACGGGGGCCCTGCTGGTGCTCATGTCCCTGGCAGGCTGGGTCCTGTGGTACAGTGGCAACATCGAAGGCCTGACCTCCAAAAGGGAGTTGGGGGGAGCTGTGGGTGGAGCTGTGGACCGTCTTGCTCGCTCCTTGAGCCGCAGGATACGGATCCCCAGGACTCACAGCAGCCCAACATAGTGGTGGAGCTCAAATAATTCTCCACAGACTTGGAGCCTTGAAGGACTGACTTTAACCTGGTGGCAGGGAAAATGCCTGAATCAAAGGACTATCGTGGCTGTTTGATGTTCTCTTCAGAAACACTTCAGGTGTGAAGTGAACACACGCCTGGTTCACATGAACATTTCCCTGTCAGTTGTGTTTTTGTAAGACACTGAATGTGTATTCTGTCTTTGTAAAAAGGTGCATGTGGACTACTCAGGATTGTAATTTTGGCACAGCAATAGTTTCAAGTGTTTGAGGATTAAAGTGATTAATCTGGGGTTTTGTTTCTACTTTTACTGTTATTCATTCATTATTGTTTGACTTACAACTCGAGCAGACTTACCACCCAGAAAGAAAGTAACTCTGCTTTCCACTGAACACATTTTATTCATGTGTGCAAATGTGTAATTGCACATAAATACTGCATTGAAAGATTCATCTTCCTTATTTTACAAAAGATACAGAAATCAAATTAAAACAAAAACAAATCAGGACATCCAAATATAAAGCAAACAACTGATGGAGAAAATAAATAATTTCTCATGACAAGCACACACAGTCATCATTCAAAAGATGGGTTATCACATATCTTTATACAGACAGACATTTAAATGTGACTTGTTTTGGTACCACATTTAATGTGAATGAGAAATTGAATATAAATTGCAAAAAAACTCACAATCAATCAAACCAAGTTATGCCCATTGTTAATGCTGCATCAGGAGATAAGAGTCTGATTGTCTTTATGCTGAGAGATCAATACCTGTTTCCAGTTCACAGTAATTCCTATAATATGTAAACAGCAGCTTCCAGAGGTGCCACATTAAGTCAAACTAACTGATCAAAATCCGTATGACAGAAACACCCGTTGCCCCCTTGAAGGAATAAAGATATGTTGTACATATAACAAGGACACTGAATAAAAACAAAGCAGCAGAACCGAGAAATGATATACTTTGAGATGAAGGCCTGTGGTGAGGGTCATCCAGTCCAAAGATAGATTAACAGTATGAATGAGGTGAACAGCATGTTGTATGTTCTTAAGAGGACCCTTTCATGGCTGCCGCACTGAGATGACGGCTAATTCAGTTCCATGAAAGCATCATCTCCAAAGTCGTTTCAAGCATCGCTGGTGTTCGGCTGTTGTCTACTCCCATCTTTATTTTGTCCAGAAAGTGCAGGAGATGAGTGCTGTCAGAGGGCAGGGCTTGGCACAGAAAGTGAGGGATTCTGCCAGATGAACATGTGACTGCGCTCAGACCGTTGAGGTGAAGATTGGGACAACTCAGCTGATTCATCACTTGCATCGTCTCCTGAAAAAGCGTTTAACCCAGTTAGGTACTAATCAAATCAAGCATCGTCTAAATGGTTAAAAAAATGCAGCCCTGAAGCATGAATTCAGACACTATATATATATCAATTCACCCATTCGGAAGTTGATGTAGCCCTCTCCTCCACTGAGGATAAGCTGAGAGGTAGTGACAGTGCCGCTGTCAGGACAGGTGATCAAGCAACCTGCAGGGTAGAGATGATATTAGGGTCACTAATTAAAGTATTTAAATACACTATGGAGGAACTCCCTAAATCAACAGGTTTATGAAAATATTTGGCACTTGATGTTACAGACAGGTTCTTCTTACCAGGAGCAGCAAAGATGAACCTGACAGCTTGTCGGTGTCCATGGTAACACAGCTGGGCTGATGCAATGGAACAATATGGGATGGAAACAGCTTCTGATGCTGTAGACAATCATTCATATTGTTTATGCATGATATCTGAAATTTAGGGCCAACATTTATACTCTCAATCTAGACTAAACTCACTTATGGATAATGGGATGGAGAAAATGGCCCCGCCTCCAGTGCCCACCCACAGACGTCCAGATATGACTGTTAGAGACGAGATCTGGAGGGGTGAGAGAGAAAGGAAGGCTGCGCCTACAGAGGGAGACAGAAACATGTTGGGTGAGCTGCAGGAAACAGTTAAAGTCCCTATGAAATGACAAATACATTTTCCCGATTCTAATTTCAGCATTCCTGTTTTAAATGGTAATTTATCTGTCTAATATTTTTCAATAAATCATTCACTGAGTATTTTTACATCAAAATAACCTTAATTTCTCGCCCTGTAAAATGTTTCAAATGTCTGATGACTCATCGTGCACGTTTACACATTTTTCGACGAATTAAATAGCTTTGTAGTAGCTAACGATCCAATCCAATACATTTTAACAGTAAGTCCCGCCTTTTATGTTGTGATTGGTTCTATCCTGTTTCAGTGAGAAACACTTCAAGACATGGCAGTGAGACACACTCTCAGTTTAAAGTTCTCCAACAAAAAAACTACCAAAAAACTTTACTTACTTTACTTTTGACATTTACATGTGGGATTTCTAGTCAGTCCACTGACATTCTTCCTTTATTCCAACAATAAGTGTTGCTACTTTATCTTTAGATAGTTGGTCATGATCAACCCGGCCAGTTGATGCCACACAAAGACAGGAGAACAATGTTCAAACAAAAATGTTGCTTATAAAGTTTCTGTTAAAGATAATAAGTAATATACACAGATAAATTGGAATGATTTTTGTTCCCTGAATGAGAAAATTGTAAATAGGAACTCATAAAGGTAATGGGCTTCATGAGCTTAGGCTGTGTTTCATTACATTGTAGGGACATTTTCACTTTTCACTAAAACATCCTTATTTTTAGTACCTAAGGTTTTAGTGACCAGAGCAGTTAAATCGACTTCTTGCAGCGGCCGTCCTGTGGACCAGTCAAACAGTCGGAGGATCGGGTCGAGTCGGCAGGACGTCCAAACACCACTTCCACCAGCAGACAGGAAACGGACCTGCTGCTCACTGCGCTCAGACACTGTGAATGTTTGCTGTGAGGGCAGATTAGGAATTATGATGCTGAATTTTAGGACAAGTGTGGTTATAAGATATACCTAATGATTAGTAGGTATGTCGCCTGTTTCTTACTTCAACCTTCTTGCCGTCAATGTCAACCACGTGCACTTTGTTCCAATATCCCACCCACAGCCGGTTTCCTTTTGCAAGGCAGCAGCGAATGGGCTGCAGAGGGTTTGACCCCAGAAGCAAAATAAAGTGTGACAGTAGATTCCAGCCACCTGTCAATCACAGCATTCATTACAGACACCACTAAACATGAAGTTATGTGAAGCCTGCCAAAGGGAGAAACATACTAGAACTGGGACTTAGAACTGGGACATTATCTTGTTGATGAGCAAAATGGATTTCGAAAACAGCGAGCCTGTGCTGATCATATACACTCAGTAACATCTATAATTAGAACTAGAATGGCTAAAGGTAAACCCACTTTTGCATGTTTTGTTGCTGGTGTGGATGGTAGATTCTATAGAGCAATCCAGAGCCTTTATAGATGGCCAGTTGCCTGTGTTGAGATAAATGGTATGGCCACTGGCTGGTTTGAAACACATTTTGGTGTTAAACAAGGGGATAGTCTTTCTCCGACTGTTCGCATAATATAAGAATGATTTGGCTCTGAAGATTAGGAAGCTAATTTAGGTGTGTCTCTGGATGATATTAAGTTAGGTATGTTTCTATATGCAGATGATATAGTACTACTGGCCGAGTCTGAGCCTGATTTACAAAGCATGTTAAATTTAGTTAAGTCCACACAAATAGTGCACTTTAGAAATAAAGGTATCAGAAGAAGCACACAAATATTTAGTTTTGGTTCAGTTGACCTAGAATATTTTGGGCGGATAAATACTTAGGTTTCTTTCTTGATGAATTTATGACATGTGAGGTTGGAATAGGATGTCTTGATGTTGATTCTGCAATTCAGGGGGACATGGGCTGGGTGCCAGGGGTGCTACTTCGAAAATGTGAAATGATCCGATTGTGGAATCGATTAACCAAAATGGCAGAGGACCAAATAAACAAGAAAGTATTTATGTGGAGCAAAAAACATAACTCTCCATGGGCGAATGAGCTTTACTCAATCTTCAAGGAGGTGGATATGACTTATATTGACATGAATAATCTATGCTGTAACATTAACTCCATGAAAGATAAGCTCTTGATCAAGTATGAAGAAAAATGGTTTGAAAACAATCTGTCCAAGCCAAAACTAAGAACATACGTACAGATCAAAAATAATTTTATGCCCGAGTTATATGTAACGTGTCGTTTATCTAGAGGCCAAAAATCCTTGGCTGCACTGTTAAGATCTGGTATTCTCCCTCTGGCCATTGAAGTTGGCCGATTCAAAAATATTCCAGTAGAAAACAGACTTTGTGAGACGTGTGAGTTGGACGAAGTTGAAACGGAGTCCCATTTTCTTTTGCATTGTACAAAATATGATGATTTAAGAGAATTATTGTAGAGTAAAATCAGAAATATTGGGGCGGACAGATGTGCAGAAACTGGAATGGCTGTTTAAGTTTGATGTGTGAACTTGCTAATTTTGTTTCAAATGCTTGGAAAAGAAAACAGGATATTCTGTTTAATTAGTTTGACTTGCTTTTGCTTTCTCTTTTTGTTTCTTGAGAATGAATATAGCTTACCTAGTGCACTCTGATCCGGGAACGTTTTTAATTTATGGTGTCATGTAAGCCCATGCGGGCTGGGCATATGGATGTATGTATGACACTACTTTGAAGAGGATAAAGAAAGACATTACCTGAAGTGTGTGAGAAAAATGCTAAAGTCCCATCAGCTAAACCAGCGAAGACTTGACCCTGGGAAAACCTGTTACAATGAGTCATAAAAAATTCATATTTTCAAAGATGTGTGGATTAAAACATAGAGATGTCTCAAGAAAGAACTGATCCAAATGCTTCAAAGTGCATCAAACAAAGCCTATACAACTCACGTGAGCGAATGAACACTCTCTGAGAGGGATACAGACTGCAGACAGCGCCTCCTGCCAGCAGAGGCAGAGTGTACCAATATACTGGGAGAAAGAGAGGGGGGGGGGGGTAGTTAAGAGTGCTTTGCCAAGTTTTCCACTTAAAGAGCATGTCATTCATTGAAGTGAGCTGCTTATTCAGCAGAGACTACCTTCCTTCCTGAGTTCCAATCCAAACAGTTCCTGCAGAGTCACCTGACAAAACAAGACCGGAGAGATTGTGTCAAAAGGAAAAAGCTTAGTAAGCAGTGTTGATTTCAAAGTGCTTTCAGTATATCACAAGTTTGGTTTGAGGGGATAAAAAGAGCACATAATGCATAAGAGAAGTAGGTTGTATGCAGCTGCTGCAGCCCTTTGTGCTGGCACTGACCTATGGGAGGCACAGCACAGATGCAGAGGACGGGAGCTGTGGGAGGGAGGCTGAACTGATCCAGAACTGTGTTGGAGCGTCCTGGATCAATCACTGTAATATCACTGCAGGAGGCAGGGCCCGACACTACCCACACAGAACACTGACAGAGAAGGATGTGGAGTGACATGAATCAACTTGTCCCTAGGTTCACTGCTAGTTATGGCTGAATGGAATTGTAAGTGGTGATTAGAGTTTGGCGAGTGGTGCTATGAAACCAGGATAATAACAGACTTACCGTGGCCTCTCCTGAGATCTCAGGTGTCACGGCAACTGCACAGTTCAGCTGAAGAGAAAAATACGTTCGTTTAAATGCACAGAAGGTCTGACGCACAGGCTGCAAGGTTGTTGTGTTCAAGAGTTTGTTTTTTTCCACAGGGAAAAGAGCTACCTTGGCTGTGGAGTCTCTTTGATCCAAGAGTCTGAGCCGCACTAGAACAGGCACATCTTTAGGCTCGGGGACTGGTTCTTGGGATTCCTTCAGTAATGACAGTTTTACAACGGGATATATTGTTAGGGTTGCAGAGATGTACCTTTCTATGAATGTTAAACTCTCTGTAAGTTTCAGCCGTCTTTCACGGACAAGTAAGGACGGTTTATTTCAAATAAATGCTGTCCGTTAAATAAACATGCACATATCAGACTCGTATATGAGCCATAGGCTGTACTCTTTTATATTCCCTGTCAGATTGCTTTCTGTGCATGAAGGTGTGCGTTTTCTTCTACCTGTGTGTTGGCCAGTGGTGTGCTCCAGCCATGTATCTGCCGTTTGCCAAGCGATTCCCAAATGTGTGAGCGGATTTCTCTGTAGAGTTCTCGTTTCCTGACACGAGGGGAGAGAGCAGCGGGAGAGGCAGATCTACAGAGAGTGCTTCTGATGTTAATCAGCTTGATTGAGTTTTAGTGATGATTAAATTATGCTGCAGAGTGAAATCGTAAAATAGAGAAGCTGATTCATGAGCGTTATGGAACAAAATAAACACTTTGCTTACTCCACATTTGTTTGACTGACAGCTGGTCTCTGCGGAGGAGGGCGAGTGAGCGATGGAGACATGGCTCGGGGAAATGCAGAAGCAGAATGTGGGATTAAGGGTGACTTGGTCAGGCCCAACAAGCGGTTGAACCTAAGAAACCAAAAAAATATTTTCCATGTTTTACAAAACGTAAATATCTTATAATAGCTTCAGTATGAATTCAAAAACAAGACAACTCTTCAATCTCTGGCATTTAGTTTAACAAGATATAGAAGATACACTTTATTCATCCCGTGAGGGGAAAGTCAATTATTACACACAAACAGGATCCTAAAACATTATAACATTATTTCAGTTTCACCAGACGGCTTCATACCTGCCTTCTCCTCTGTTACACATCTGTGATTTTTAAACTGTTTGTGTGAAATACTTACTTTGTCCAAACACTTGACCTTTTGTCTACGGTGAACCTCTCCTCTTTTGTTGCTCTATAAAAACAATTACAGAAAAGAAAAACATAAAATAAGTTAGGTGGGACAACAACTTGAAAAATGTTGCTTTAGTTTTGACCAAACTCTTGACAAAACATATTCAGAGGTATGTTATATATATGATTTTACATTGAGAAACATTTTCTTGAAGTGTTGCACTATTTGCCAGCACAGTATTTCACTGAGTGATTAACCCCTTCACATCCTTACTCCAGATACACTCAGTCTGTCTGGGGTGCTCATTAACATGTTCCTAGTCAACCTAATGAACTGGAAGATGTTCTACCAGCTGTTGCCTTTCAGCTTGTCTAATCTTTTTCAGTCTTCTGTTGCCACTGTCTCAACTTTTCTGAAAGGTGTTGCTGGCCTAATTTTCAAAATTGGCCTTAAATGTTCCTAAAACATTCCTTAGTTTCAACATTTGATATATTGTCTTTGTGCTATTTCCAATTAATTATGGGGTTTCAATGTTTGGAAAATCATCACATTCTGTTTTTATTGTCATTTTGCACAATTTGGAATTGGGGTTTGTAGTTTGATTCAGTCCAAAGTTACCTCAGAGTCTGACTGCGTCTTACTGCCTCCTGAAGCTCAAACAGACGCTGCTTGTATTGGTTCTTCTCCATCACCACACGAGCCATTTCAGACCGAGAAAACTGGCGCATGGTTATGGGTAAAGTTGCCTGCATGGAGAGAAGTGTGTTAATTAATGGTGTACATATTTCAGTTTTATACATTGTAATTAAAATGCACAGGGCTTGGATTTATAAAAAAACATCTTTGGTATTCTGTATATATAAGAAAGATTGCTTACATCAGGATCCTCAGACTGCCATGCTTCCAGTTCTTTCCGAAGTCTTTGAAAAACAGTGGATAAAAAACACGGACATATTGTAATTGCAGTGCATGTACAAGATAATAGCAGCAATAATTAATGCACTCTGCAAAATGTGAAAGCCTTGACAAAGAATATAAATGGGAAAAACTCTGCACCTCTTGGTTTCCTCTTCCTTCTCCTTCATCCGCCCCTCCAGACGTGAGACCGTTTCCTGCAGAGAGGAAACTTCCAGGTGAAGAGTCGAGCGGTCATCAGTCAGCTCCACCACTCGAGATATTACAGACTTACGGGCAGCTTCTACTAACTCGCTGAAAGACATGAGCAAAGTCCAAGTTGAGTAATAATAATAAAAATCACCTTTGATTTATTGAGAAGAGAGTTACAGGTTCCAAAACTAAATGACAATAAAATCCCCTTCTCCATGATTTGTTTGAATGACGCAGGATGTATTTGGAACTGCACCATCAAACAGTCACACAGGAAGAGTCAGAAAAATAAACTCTGGGACTCACTGGGTGACTTTCAGTTCCTCATACTGAGAAAGAATCTCCTCAAACTGGTCCGTGCTACCTACACAGAAAACAAAATGAATTAAATATTTGAACACACAAGCAGATCAAACTCAGATAGAAATACGTCTAACTGCTGTTATTATTTAGTCTTTAATCACATCCAAAACAAAATGGAATATGGAGGTTGAGAATTGGTAAAAAAAAAAAAAAAAGGAAGTGAAACTTCATGAAATGTACAGTATGAGATACTATTTTCTTATACGGGGTATTTATAGTTTAGCACCAGTGCAGATTAAATATAGGAAACAACCCTCTGAAAGTTACAACGTCTGTGATCACTAACTTTGTGTTTCAGTGCTGCATCACACACTACACAAGCGTTGAAGTAGAGGAATGTGTTAAGTTCTGCTGTTAGATGAATGCTAAGCTAATTGATTGAGGATTAAAAAAAAAATGCTAATTGCTTTATAACTGTAAGATTTGAATCAACCTCTGGTCACTGTGAGGTAATAAATCAGCCATGTTTGATGATGTATTTTTGTTTACCTCTGACACTGGCCCCTTGGTCTACACTCTCCAGGTAATCCCGACTCAGCTCCGATAGCTCAGAGAAAACAGAGTCTGTGTTGCGCAGCTCCCACTCCATACCATCATCTTCCTCCCCCTCTTCCTCCTGCTCCTCAGCTTTTCCCTGCCTTTCTCCTTCCTGCACCACCTCTGCTTCGGGCTCCGTCTCCTCCACCTCCCCGATCTCGTCCTCCAAACTCTTTTCCGAGTCTTTCCTCAGAGGCTCTATGGTGTTTGGTCCGGTTACCGGGGTGCTGCTGATGACACAGATAAAAAAAGAGAATGAAAAATAAGGGCATAAGTTTAATTTTGTGCTCTGTATGATCATGTCTATGAAGTAAAGAGAACTTAGATTTAGTAATGGATTATACACTTTTCACTGAAATCTCCAACTGACAGAAATAAGTGAATGCTTTCAGATAATTACCTTACATCCTTACAGCAGTGGAATTGTCTGAGCTCAGGAGTAGAGCTTATGATGTCATTGACAAAATGATCTGTGGGCTTTTCTGTAATATCAATCCCATTTAAATCCTTTGTTACCAGACCCTCCAAAGTGGGCGGACCAGAATTTGAATGTGGTCTTTGAAGCATCTGCACACAAAAAAATAGAGGAAACAACGATTACATTTTACCACAAACACATTTTATGAAAATGCTTTGAAATGTGCAGTAGAAGAGTGAAGTGAAAATATGTTTACCTTTTCATTAACACTGCTTTCAAAGACTTGGTTGGATGAAAACTCAGCATTCTTGGGACGCAGATGATTCCTAAATCCAACATGCAGTGTCACATAAGAACAAACAGTATCAGTCTGTGGGATTTTCTTACATGTCGCACCACTTTCTCACAGCATTGTTAGCATAACTCTTTTATTTGAACCTTGATTGTTATCCAACACCATCTTAAAACTGCTATAAGTTACCATTTAACACATGTCTTCAGAATCAATTTCAAAGATGAAATTATACCTGTACATATCAAACGTTAACCCAGATATCACATTACAATATCCTCTGATACTTTGTGCAATAATATAGGGAACTTACTTGGTGCAGTAACATAACTTTATGTGCACTGTGTGCATGATAGTCTTTCTTTCTATAACACAGGGACTACATTTGTAACAACTGCAGTTCTGTTTTGACTTCTAAACTGTTTTTAGTTTTAATTAATTATGAACTGTGTGCTCTTTTTTTTTTGGCTCTTCTTGCTCCCTGCTGCTGTAACACTGTAAATGTCTCTGTTGTAGGATGAATAAAGGTTGATCTTTTCTTATCGTATACTGTTATATTTCTGCAATGCTTTGCTATTTTTATGGTTAAGTTAAGAAATGTAAGCTGAGATGTTTGTGATATAGAGACAGGCTTAGAATTATATTTTGTATCAGGTCCATAGAAGCTGTTTTATGGCTCACGATAAATCTGCTGTCATCATATAACGTAATGCTCACTGCAGAGATAACACCATAATAAAAATCATTATACCGGTAGATAAAAGAGTTTTGAATAACCTTAGAGGAGAATCTCTCTCAGAATCTCTTCTCTTTTCCAAAATATCCCGATATGTATGAGCCAGCTAGAGAAGAAAACATCATTGTTGTAAACAATAATGACATATTGTGTAAAAGCAAACAAGTTCTTTGATTAAAAATCAGTATCTGACCTTGTTGTGAGTGTGCTTCAGCGTGCTCAATTCTCTTCCCAGATTACACTTCTGCTCCTCCAAGGCCACCACTGCAAGGAATGAAAAAACGTTACCTTTTATTTCAATCTATGAATTGTACTCATTACAGGCACAATTACAACTTACACAATCAGCAGGGAAGAATTAAGCTGAAGTAAATATTCAAATACTCACACTGATCAGCTTGCACTCTTGCTATCTTCTCCAACTCTCTCTCTCTTCGTTCCCTCTCCATTTCCCTCCCCCTCATGGCTCTCCTCTCTTGCTCGATTTGGTCATCTAGCTCTAGATACCTCTAAAGGAAGCACACTGCTGTAACAGGCCCGGACGCATGCAATCACCAATTGACAGTTAATAGATTCACTTAAAATAAATAAAAATTCAGCATTCTTGGGACGCACACCTCCTGACTGTCTTTCCTGAGTCCTCTCTCTGCTTGGTATCTCTGCAGGATTTCTTCTCGCTCAGCTTTCTCCTTCTCTACCTCTTCCTCCTTTTCCCTCAGCTGAGCTTTGCAGGTGGCCAGACCCTCCAGGACCCACACAAATATGGGCACCAACGACTCCACCACGCCTTCACCATGTGTCTCTATAACGGTCTGTGAAAAGGCAAAGCAGCGAAGTGAACACCGTAGAAAATGTATGGCCACATCGACTCAAAATAAACAACAATAATCGATCATGATCTGCTTTACCTGAAGTTCTGAATACAGCTTTCCTGCCTCTTCACTCACAATGTTGGGGTCCAGCTCCACCTCCCCGATGCCACATAGCACTCTCTCACTGCACTCCATCCTCTAATATTTTGCTGTAAAACTCTCTAAAAATGGTTCACCTAGCTCACCAAAGACAAATGATCTCTTAATTCTGCTCGTGGATTCTGTAGCAGAATGTTTCTCTTTGGATTTTACCTCCTAAACAACTAATAAAAGTAGCTCTTCTATCTTTGGAACATTTCACTCATCCTTCACAACTTTCCCCTGGTCCTGTTTGGAGCAGCATATTTTACTGCCTTCAATTAGCAGATTCTGTTCTGCAAAAGCTCATCTGATATCAGGGGGAGTTTTAGGGTCCATCCTGGTAAAGAAAAGAAAAAACAACGAGATAAAATGATAATCAGTCTCATCCACACTGGAGCAGAGTTTAAGCACAAAAGTAGAGTCAACTGATTATGTGCGACACTCAAGTTAAGACATGCATTTTTCTCTCCTTTTCTTCTACACCTACTTAACATAATCTTATAATTGGCAGATGTGGTCATGTGGTTTTCTGCTATAATCTGTGACTAACTTGGTTTGCTTAACAGGAAACCAAAAACAAAGCAACTACTTTGTAAGGATAAAATTTAAATTCCAATGGTGGGTTTTAAGTCAGAAAATGGACTTAACCGTACATTTCAGATTACAATCAGTCAAACCTTAAAGACTTGAAGGATTTTCTTTTGAGGTGTGATTCTCAGACAGTAACAAGTTTGTTGTGTGTTGCTCATAAGAATAAGTACATCCACGCCCTTGACCTTCCCACAACTAAAGTATCATTACCAGAAGAGCTGTAACAATATGTTGATCATAGAAATCATCAGCAATTTCTTGTTGATTAAAAAAAATGCATTGTTGAAGAGGTTTTCTGGTAACATATACAACATTCTCAGTTGTAGCTCCTAATTGTTAGATTTTCCTTTTTAATTATTCTAATGAAAATGCATAACTTCTGGTTTTGAACTGTTGGACAGGACTTTCTACATTTTCAAATAGTCCATAGTCAATAAGTGTCAAAGAGGGAGATTGTGATTCCTAAAAGCGGGAAATGATATTTTCAATCAATCAAACTTTATTTATATAGCAGCTTTCAGACAAATTAAATTGCAGTTCAAAGTGCTTAACAAGAGTGCAGAAAAGTTGTTGACAAAAAGTTGTTTATAAAATCATTGAGATTTTGAAATTCTCTTTTTCAACCAACAGTCACAAACCAAAGATATTCTGCATATGATCAAAAAAAGAGAAACAAGCTAATCATTGCATTTGGAATCAATTAATTTCTGTTTTTTTTTCTTTAGTGTATCAAATTACTACTTGGTTATCAAGTGAAGTTAAATTGTCCTAACTTAATTTTTAGAATGCAACCTTCAAATTATAAAAGATGTCACCTTAGAATTCAAAAAGCTGTGATGGGAATATTTAGCTTTTTCCTGACATCTTGTCGACATAATGTGCTTTGATCATGAAAACAATCACTGGTTGAAACTACATTGATGAAAACATAATGCGTCTAGGGACATTATGTAGTCTCAAAGTTAGACTTTGAAGTCATGCTGATATGATTTGCTTTAAAGACCCTGACATTTAACCTACATGTGACACAGTGGTCACTCTATTCATTAGGCCTGAATAGATCATTATCTTATAAAAGGACAATGTAAAGTGAAACAAACAGAGACCAACAGAACGAGCACCAGTATTTTGTGTTTTTGTGTATTTGCGATTGTACAGCAACACTACAGCCTACAAATGTTTAAAGGGTAAAACATGTAAACACACTAACATGACATCTTAGAAACCGGTTCAGGTCGTATTAGACTAATGTATGTTGTTGGTTTGCTAGAGGCATGCAGCTTGGAAAACGAAACACTTGAATTGTTTGACTGTATAAATAAGTAACATGACTGACAGTGGACACCTTGTGATATCTTGGAAGCAAGTTCACAAAGTCTTAACTTCGCCAAAAAAACAAAAACAACCGAGTCGCTGCGTCGCCCCGCTCCTGTCCTTACAAACTCACCTTTAACTGCTGACTCGCCCGAAACTTTCGTGTTAATTCCCCAAAATAATGACTGTCCAGTCGTTTCTTCAGGGAAAGGGTTCAATTACACATAAACGAGTAAAAAAATAAGGGGGTGTTGTTTGATTCTGACGTATGTAGAAATGTTCTCACTTTGGCCAATCAGAGTCCCAGCAACTATACGCCTTAACCAATAGACGGGGAGAAGAGGCGGGACTTGGACAGTTTTGTTTTAAGACGGGGAAAAAAAGTTTCCTGAAACTTGAACGTTGACACGTGACCAAAGAGGTTAGTGCCGGGAGTCAGGTGATTCGAGCTATAGACTTTCAGGTCTGATACCTGTCGGTCGAAATACCTCACATACCTGAGAAGTAGATAGTCTGTTTTTCTGCGTCACATGAATGGGAACAAATATCCGCAAGGTTTGCATTATGAACGGTGCATGCAGGTTATGGTTTATTCAGGTGTCAATGCGAGAATGTGAACAAGAGATGACTGAGCCAAATATTATTTTTTATAAAGACATAATTGCTGAACCGCTGTCTTTATTACATAAAACTGTGCAGTAGTAAAATAGTAAATCAATAGTAAGGATTATGTTTACACAGTGACATTGGGAAACAACTCTCATGGTGAATCATGGGAAGCGATGCCGCTGGATGAAGTAAAGTTCGTTTTAATTCCAGCAGATGGGGCACTTCGCAAACAACTTTCAGCTCCCCTTTCCATGTAGACTCCTGCTGATGGTTTTGGTCTCTGTGCCTGGACTCAGTGGCCCTTAAAGCTAAGTCATTGCCTTATCACATACTCGGTCAACACAGAGGCTTATAATGTAGATTATTCTATTATTCTATCTGTATTATCTATCTATAAATCACTTGTAAAAAAAAACAACACATTTTTATCGTAAGGCCTTCTTATAATCCTTGTTTCATCCAGGATGTTTTATTTGTTTTACTGTTAACTTTAGCCAATCTTTGTCTCGGTTGTTTCTCTTTTCTCTGTTAATTGAGTGATTGCTGCACTGTTGTTTTATTTTCCATGCTTTTAATAGGATTTTATTGTTGTGTGTTTGTTGGGATTTTTTTTTTTTTTTCTGTAAAGCACTTTGTGACATTGGTTTTGATAAGTGCTTTATAAATAAACTTTATTGTTATTATTATATTATTATTATAAGGCTCTGGGTCAACGTGCACAGGTTATTTTGCCACCAGCGTTCTGTTGCCAGTAGCAACAGTCCTATGCAGTTTTACCTTCAATTAACCTTCAATTTTTCAGTGAACAAATGTCAATGACCTATGAATGCCCTGGCTCAACTTTAATCTGATGAGTTCCCTACTTTATGGTTTGCCTGTTGTTGTAGTTTGAGATACTTAATTTGTAAATTGGTTTCCTTTAATATCTTGTAGACTTTTAACCAAACTAGAAACTAGCTATTTGAGGCTTTGTGTTCTTTTCACTTTTATTCGTTCACCCTGTGTGTTTCTTTATCTTTCACTGGTGGGTTCCTAATCTGGGATAGGCTGCTTTATACATAAACCAGCATAATGTTTTCAGTAACATTTGTGCCTTTTCTCAATGACAAGTAACCAGAAATAAACCTAAAATACTGATGGCAAATACAGTACAGGAAAAACAGAAATACTTTCAGCTGAAGGTCCATCAAGTAGCCTAGCTAAAATAAAGTACAGACGCACAGTGCAGGAGATTGGATACCTTTAGAAAATGATTGTGGGCCTACTCGATTATATTGGGTATCGGCACTAATTTAATGGATATTTCATTCTTAAACAATGTTATCAATAATACCTTGTGAACATTTAAGATCTTTTGTTTTATTTGAAATCTTGATCATCAAAGCAACAAGTAACTATCACAGTTTATCAGTTGATGTAGTGGTGTACAGGTGTAGTGGTTAAAGTGTGCAGTAGAAGAATTAGAGTAAATTAAAATAAATGGAATATTTATTTCTTGGTAAACAGGAGTGGCATTTCTACACAAGTTAGACAGAAGATTAAAGGTAACAGCAGGATGTGTAATGTGATAGGCTATTGTGCTGACATGAAGTTAAAAGATAGTACTTCTTGTCTGGGTATGGCTATGTTGTTTACCTTTTAATGTTTTTTATACTGTGACTTTTTTAATCACCCTCTCACTCTCTACAAGAATCTCCTTTCCATCCTCTCTCGCCGCTCTTCTCATCTCTCTCTTCTTCTTTGTCAGGAGGTAAAAAGCCACCACACTTCCCACCACCAGCAAACTTAGGGCCAGAATAACAAGTCCCAGTGATAGTAGGTGAGAGATTTCTACTCTGGACTGGTTCAGTTGGTCCCACAGCCCCACGGCTACACAGCTGAAGCCAATGATAGTCCCCCATGAACCAAAGGCCAGCATGCAGGAACCACAGGACAGCTCAGCACCCCCCGTCACCACAGTGATGCCCGCCAATGAGACGACTCCTCCTGGTAAGGTCACTGTGTCAGCTTTAGGGTCATAGGTGACAGTTGAATTAACGTCTGATAAAGCTGATGCGTCAAGTGTCTCCATCTTGGTTGCCATTGTTGGTTTTGATTCTTTAGCTTCTTTCTTCTTCTTCTTCTTCTTCCTTGTCACACCTACAACATGGCACATAGTACTGATTAAAATCTATCCAGTTTTTTATTTCCTCTCATGTTACTTTAAAATTGTGTTATCTTTCCAACTTGTCAATGAGGCTATATGATACGTACACTGACAGAAATCTTCACAAGTAAGAATACATGGCATTATTTTACTACAGCAACATTTCCTTAAAGATGTCTAGTGTCGCATTGACACACATTTTCCAAAACAACCTGAAATATTTAACACCTTATAGTTAACTTTTTGGTTGTCTTAATTAAAGGTCATGAGGCAAATCATAACATTGTAATGTGACATAATTATGTAACATAGGTAAATTAAAAAAAACATTCCAAAGCTCCCTGGATTTAACTTAACTGAATTAACACACTAAGCTCTTGACTTAATTCGAGATAATAATGCATGTGTGTGTAAAAAGTTTTTACTGGCCTCTCTCGTTGTATGTCTAAGATTAGATAATAACTTATGTATTGTAACTTGAGTGCAGGAAACTGTGATTAAGTCATAACATTAAGGCCATGCATATCTTTATCTTTTTATATATTTAAGAGGAATATGAAAGATACGTTACCTTGCTTAAACGAGAAAGTTAGACTGATAAATATGTTATTGCAAAATGAAAACACTTTATTAATATGGATTCAGAAATTCTTAAATTAAATAACATGTACAAAGTAGAGTTTTGCTTACCCCGGTGTTGAATCAGAAGCTTGGATGTCAGTGGAAATAACATTCATTGAAGGTCCTTTATTTCTTTGATGTTATTTATTCTCCAGCTCTAAGTGATGTTAGTGAAAGCCTTAAAATGCTGCTGACTTTCTCTCGGCACAGTGGGTGTCCAAATGGTTACATGGGGCTCATGTGCTGGTACCTTTATCATACATACGACACAACATGAGGCCTCACAAGATGGTGGACACAATTGCCAGGATTGTTGGGCATCGTTTGTTTGTTCCTCTCTTTCCTTGTGTTCAGAAGGAAGCTCTTGTCTGTCATTACGCATCATTATAACCCATTACCAGATATTTATCTAAGAGCAACTCCCTTCCTCTTTCCCTCTCTCTTTCAGTCTTAAGTTTTGGGTTGTTTCCCACCAAGGTATTGTTTTGGCTGAGAGTGGATTTTTCTTCTTAAAAGCATTCTCCTGTTTGACATTCCCATTTCTCAGGACACATTTAGTGAGATGCAGATTATTTTGTCATGGGATCTTACTCCTAAAATTTCAGGACTATTTTGGAATATGATTGGGAATGAGGATTAGGAGTTTGCTGCTGTTGTAGAGAACATGTTGAAAATTTCTGTTGCCGTAGCAGCTCATTGGGAAATAACCACCAGTAATCACGCACAGATGGATAAACAGACTTTCATTACAAACTAGTTCCTCATTTCCACAGTATACCCCCTACACGAATGAGTTGGCCTGACCTCCTTTGTTTATACTTAGTGAAGCAGATTTGCGGTATATATGTCAGGGCTGATGTTAAACTGGCTCCCAGGTTGAAGCTTTAACACAGGTGAGATTTATTCTGCCAGTAAATAGGCTATCATGCTGCCAAGCCAACTGGGATGTTGCCAGTGGTTAGTCAGTGACCTAATTACAGCTTTTTAGATGTGTTGAATTCTACTATTGATAAACTCTCACCTCTTACTGACTGCAAAAGCTGTATATATTTAATATATACTGTATGTTTAGCTCTGAATGTTGCAAAGCAAAGTGATGGCTGCTCTAAAGATATTACGAGTGATTAATTGAATCTTGAGCAGCATTATTGCGCTTCAATGCTACAGCCTGTGTTCAGACTTCGACATTATATGGCTCCTCACCTTCTACACAAGTAGAAAGCATTTCCAAAGGGACGACAAATCCTTGCTTGCCCTAGCTCTCGCAATTAGTCGAGTCCAGGGTATAGGTCATATGTCAGGGATTTTTTTGTGGAGAGGAGGGGCTAATTCTATTGGGCATGACTTTCACAGGATGAAGATGATGGTAATTGGCTAAGTGTTGGATTGGGTGGGACAGGGCGGGGCGTTAGTAATCCAATAGATGGACTCACTGAGCATATTTATGGAACAAAGCAAATCCTGACGCACAAATAACACACAAATGATCATTTTACAGTGTAATAAGCAGCATATGAATTCCAATAATGCTGGTTACCTATATGCCTTGTCCTTCTCTCACCATACTTATCTTTGTGCGCATATATTACACAAACTCTGCATATTCCTTTTCCTGCATGCAAAGTCTAAAACAACAGTTAAGACAATCAAGATAATACTTTAAGTCAAGCAGACACAAAGACCTGCCTCATGACTTAAATGTGTCAGCCAACGTGTCATGAAGGTAATTTGATGTGCTGATTACTGGAAGGTGATGGGGGGTGACAATGTGGATACTAAAAAACAGAAAAAGAACCAAAGGCTCAGGACTACAGTACATGGAACTGGGAGAAAAAAAAAAATCAAACCAATTAAAAAAAAAGGCAAATCATGACCGTGCATGTTTATATGAGTCAGAAAGAGACAACACTCTTTTAAGTATTAAATCTAACCTGGGACCAAAAAGGAATTGGGCAGTAAAACATCACTGTGAAAGAAAAGAGGCAATATTACAGCTGAGGTTGGACAGGAAGGAGGTCATGCAACAACAAGGCCTGCAAAGATGATGCAAAGGGGCATACTGTAGGTGGGATTGAAGGTGGAGGTGGGTGGGAGAAGGGAGTTAAACTGCCTGGACAGATGGTAAACTGGAATTAGATGTCAGTGGTCACCTAAACCCATTGAAAGGCCAGCACAGAAATAGCAGTTGTACTGGTGGAGAAGCTGGTTTTTAAAAGCCACCTGTAGATATGTTTACAAAAACATTTCTACTTATCTGTTGAGTCATAATTTTTTATGACTGTTGGACTCAAATACGTCTCAATATGATTAAAAGGTGAACTCAAATAAAACAGTGAAATGCACTGAGCCCAGGTTGATAGATAAGTATTGAGTTATGAAGTCATTAAAAAATACACCTCCACAAAGCACAATCATGTTAATAATATAACAGAGGAATTGATTCAGCACTGTCATTTTTGAGAACTTTCTAGTCTTCAAGACCCAATAGAGGAAATTAGTATCCGGGGGTTCATTTTAGTCTAAAGCTCAGCCACCTTAAATCCCGCATTAACAGAATTATCTCGGTCATCCTTGGTAGGAGTGTGTTTTCCCCTGCCCTCCTTATCCGTCACTGTCTTACTGTCGAGACTCAATCCTCCAGCCATCGCCTGCCCTCACAACACACAGGTAAGCTTTGCTGACATTTTTCATCATCCTGACAGTGTCATTTACTTCGCAATATCAACTCATTGTCATAATTGTCATTGTCAGTTTTTTCTTTCTCAATCACTTGCAATTTACTCTCCAGCATCCACAAACAGGAGAGCTCAAGCTGAGGAACAAAACATTTTGATCACAGAAGAAGCGCAGGTGGCAAAAGAGAAGATAACAACTCAGGTGGCAAAGATTTGCCAGTGAGTTTGTCGGAACTGACATACTGCTAAAACACTTAAAGCAACTACAATGGGGAATTCCACCAGTAGCGCACTATCAAAGGAGATCCTGGAGGACCTGAAGCTCAGCACCAAATTCACTGAGAATGAGATCAGCCAGTGGTACGAGAACTTTCAGAAGCAGTGCCCGACAGGCCGCATATCACCCGAAGAGTTTGAGCAGATTTACACACGTTTCTTTCCTGAGAGCGATGCCAAGAGCTACGCTCGACATGTGTTTCGCTCCTTCGACACCAATGACGACGGCACATTGGACTTCAAGGAGTACATCATTGCGCTGCACATGACCTCCACCGGGAAGACGACCCGAAAACTGGAGTGGGCCTTCTCGCTGTTTGATGTCGACAAGAACGGATACATCAACAAGACAGAGGTGACGGAGATCTGCCAGGTGAGGGTGATGCATGTGTCATGTTGAAGACTACAGAGATAATAATGAAAGGATGAGACGGGCAGTAATGTTATCCACTACAATGTGATTATTTATCAGATAAAGATAATCATTTGTAAGCATTGCTCTTCTCTTTTGGCGATGTTTATCAAAATAGGTTGACAAGGTGCAGTAAAGACAGACATGCTAATTTGATAGTTAGGTTCTTTTGCTCCTGCAGTGTAATCATTTGGTGTCAGGGGTTCAGGCTGTACTGCTACTAAAAGTCATCAGGGAAAAGATGTATTCTAAGCTGTCAAAGCTTCAACAGAAGACAAACTGAGTAATAGGATTACTTGACTTCACCAATCCAATCCAATTGTGCCTCAGTTAGCGCTACTTTTCTCATATAATTTTAAAATTTCTTGGATTTGAAGTGTTTTTGAGTTGGAGATGTGACTCCAGGGGTTATTTTTTAAACAATTTTGAGTATTGTTGGTTGTTGTACTGCACAACATTGTTGGGTTTGCACACTCACTTATTTGTCCCTTATAAATATAGCTGCCTTTTAATGTAAAGTGGTGGTCCCTCTAATGTTATGTAGGTCTTAATACTAATCGGTGGCACAATTAGCAGTTCTATATTAGCCTTGACGTCCTGATAATCTCTGTGATAACAGGTTTAGTTCTGATACAATACAGGTAGTCACACTCTTCAGTTAGACTGCTCTCATATTCTCTGTCAGTAGAAACGCTGCAGATAATTCAGTCCAATCCATGTTTTCTTTATCATCCATGTGGCTAACTCTTCTGAATGCAGTTTATTTATATTATTAGCTTTCTAATTGTGGTGGTCCACTGTTTTAATATAATAATCAAAACTCAGTCTGATGTAGGTTCTAAAGTGTCTTATCTTCTGTTTGATGATAGATTAAATTGTAATGTAAGAGGTTTGAATGGACCCGCTCAGCATTCAGCTGGAACTGTAATGGGATTAAAATCCTGGCCAACTGGTCTCTGGTCATATCCACTATGTTTACAGTCACTGTGCAAAGTGGCATTCATTTGAAAGCAAAAAGGTCACAAACACACGTCTAAATCAGAGTCAGTGGAGAGGAAGGCAGGCAGAAACAGATGTTCTATATCTAGAAAACATCATTACATAATTTTTACAGAAACATCATTTAATGATATCTGTTTTCATGTGTAGGTTTGAGATGGGATAAAAATTAGTGAGAAAGGCAGGCTACTTATAAATTAAGTTGAGTATGCTTTTCTGATAAACCTCGATTATTTAAGGGATGATATAAAACAAATAATTGTTTTTTTATGTATTTGTAACTATTTGTCATCTCAAAGAGACACCACAAGAGAGCAGAGGAAGGCCAAGATGAAGGGAGAGCGCAGGCAGGCAGGGAGGAAAAGAAAAGCCATCTTGGTGTTTGGCCTGTGGCCTGAGTCTTGGCACTAATCCATGTTAATCTAGGTGTCTTAAATGTGGGAGATGAGTGCTTCCTCTCTAAGTGGGACACACACTTAAAATCCTGAACCCAAAGTGCACAGTCATTTACAATCTGCTTGAATCCAAGTGGCCCATTGAAGATCAACTCTCTCTGAAAAATGTCACACAGGCTGGATGTGCAGCTGCAGGCTTCTGAATTATTCATTTTGACACAACCTGACCTGTGCATCTTTAATTTAGATATTTTTTAATGCTAATATATTATATATATATATATATATATATATATATTGTGTTGACCAAGCACTCAAGGATTGCTCTTGTGGCTGCATTTGGTTGGCAGATCTGCTGTCATATGGGGATTGCAGGGTAAAGTTTGTATGTTAGATTTAATTGTAGGTTACCACTACTAATCCTGATTTAGCTTTGTTTTTGTTTGATTTTCAGCCAAATTGCACCAAGTATACCAGATGTAATACGTGAGGTAGTTGTTGCAAGTACTGTCTTTTTTGCAAAAGAAGGTCCATCAACATCAACTATGCACAAAACACTAATTAACTTGAAATGTATAGTCTTATTCACATGAAGAAAATTAGCTGTTAGCTTACTCAATTGTCCTAAAGGCTAAATGCTACTTTGTATGTTCACATTTGTTTTTACCTGCTGTGCTGTATGTTCCATACATTAATTGTGTAACAGAAATGGGACTGCTTTATCAACGATCTTATACCCAACCCCCTCCTCAGGCCATATTTAAGCTGATCCCCAAGGAGGAGCAAATCAAGTTACCGGAGGATGAGAACACACCCGAGAAGAGAGCCAACAAGCTGTGGTCCTACTTCGAAAAGAAAGACAACGGTGAGAGAGAACGCACACATGGCACACGTGTGTGTACAGTATATGTTGCATCCTGCCGTGCAGGGCAGAGCGTTCTTACCCCTATGGATTTATGTTGAGGGGAAGATAAAGTCAGTATAAGCTCTTACTACCTTTCCTCAGCAGCTGCTCCTACATCCTCCAGCAAAGATTATATGCTACAATCAGCTGTTTTGGCTTAATAGCAACACAAGCGGTAAATCCACCTGGAGCAACATCCCCAGTTACAGCATCGCTTTGTGTTGTGCAAGTTTTATTATGTATGTAGTGAAACCTTATGTGACTCCTCTGCATTGCATGCCACTCTCACATAGCACACCCACACAGGAGATAAGAGGGGATTTCTTAGATAAGTCATTATTCAACTACATCTTATATATATGGCTTGATTACTATTTTTAGTTCCTCATGTAACGTCTCTTCTTTATTTTCCCTCACAGAGCGACTGGCTGAAGGAGAGTTCATCAAAGGAGTGATTGAAAACGAAAATGCAATGCGACTCATTCACTACGAACCACTCAAACAATAAAGTCATTCCTGTTTTATCCCCCTCTTCTTCTTTTTCTCTCGTTAGGCTGTTTCCTTTCTCTTAAGCCGCTGTTTTCTCCTCTTTCCCTTCTTCCTCTTTAATCCACTCAACTCCTCTGTGTAAATACTCGTTTCTGCAGTGTCTTGGTCGCAACTAACGTTTCAGTAAGTTTCGTTCCTGTCATGTTATTGTTTAACTAATGTTTGTCAATCATCATGCTAGTCATAGCGTAGTGTTTTAACTGGTCCAGCTAAAGAAGAGTAATGGTGTCTATATTGAGGCAATACATAAACTATATGTATCTGGAGTTTTTATGATAAATATTGTCTTATTAACTACATTTGGAATGATTAAAAGGAATTTGGGCTGTGAAGGAACAAACAGTTTGACAAGTATTAAACAGCTTGTTAGGGGTTTTTTTTACAGAAACTTGACATTTCATAATAGAGAAGTAGCTGGAAAGTGTTGAACTTTATTCACTTTACAATAAATAAAAGGATTTCTCATACATCTGCGCTTTGAAAATCCATTTATTTATCTTTCCCCACATAACAATGGACGTGCCTATGACCATGAAACGTTTTAAATAATATCACAACGTCAGTTGACAAAAATTGCTGCTGTTGGTCTTAAAGTTCTTAATGTTTCAGTTTTATTTATCCCTGACAGTAAATCCAGGATTATCCCAAATGTATAACCTATGTACAGTACGGTGAATGTCGATATCTCTTTGGCTTTATATATTATTGAATGTGTAAGTTCACATTCAACAGAGTAAATACCAGGCTGTGATATCCATTTTGGAATAATTATGTTCCTTAAACTGTAATGTTTCACAGTGCAGCTTCTTTGAATGTACAGTCTGTGGATGCACTCCCCCCACTCCAACCCCATCCCTTAACATGCCTACAGTCTCTCCTCACCCTTATTCCTACTCCATCCCATCCAACTCGGGATTACTGGTTTACACATAATCTTCTGTTCAACATCAGAGAGCAGACTTTTCAAAATCTCTGTAATCTTTCTTTCCCGATGTGTCTATCTTACGGGTTTGTCTTTGCATCTGCAGGGAGAGGCTGTTTGATGAAGATCAGGCCATACATGAATTGAATTGAAATGCTGTCACTGTCAGAAGTTTGATTGATTGTTCCGCTAAAATTAATGAGAACATAATTCATTTTTGCTCTAAAGGGGTCGACTGTTCAGGCAGAAACATCCATCTCATCAATGCAAGAAAACAATAGAAAGAGATAACATTGCATGTTTAAACATAAATAATACAATTATATTAAGGTTTATAATAATTAACACGAAGAGATTATTACTTAAAACCATGAGGCACTGAGAAATACCCAGACGACACGCAGACTTGCATGTCAGTGTGACCTCTACATATATTGTAGTCTTTAGATTTTGGCCTTCCAGTTCAGTAAGTTTCTCCCAAATTCTGTGACAGTCCAGTCATTGAGAGTCAAAGAAAAGAAGAAAAAGATCTTTTTCCTCACACTGAACATCATCCAGCAAGGTTCTTTCACTTTTTCTGGTTTATGGATATAAATGATCCTCTAGCAGGGTGAATCAACCCGGTCCATGGCATCCTCCATCTCATCCATCTCCCTTTCACAGTCTTCACACCCGTCTGGCCCACAACCTCCCACCAAAACCAGCGTTGGTACGTCCCCATTTCCCACTCCGACCACACTGCCATTCGGGGCCCAAGCTACATCGATCATGCCCTCTGGGCACTGCAATAGGCCGCTTACTGAGTAGAGCCCTCCTCCTGTAACGACCTCATCATAAGCCGGAGCATGAGTGGCGGCTCTTGCTTCCTCCAAACGCAGCCTCTGTCTTCGTCGAAGCTCGATGATAGTCTTTGTATAGGAGTTGAGTGTGACCACAGCAGCACCCATACAGCAGCTGAAAGACACCCAGGCCAGACTAGGTGCAGAGAAGATATGTCATTATAGCTTTTGTATTACAACTATTGCATGTGTATACTTGTAAATTACAGGTTTGTTTGCTCTTCGTCGCCAAAGAGGAGCCACGTACGCAAATGACCAGCCGTAGTCCCAGGACTGAGGTCTCCAGTCTTTGGGTCCCACAATGACAGTCATCTGAAATACTGTGGTGAACATCATGTGGGCCACCATCCCAAGAAGACCTGCAGGGAGGATGCAACAAATAAAACAGAGAATAAATCGAGAAAAAACAGATTAATAGACTATAAGATAATTATATTAGGCAATATGTGGTCACGTTAAAGTCTATAATTGAAGGGCAAGCCAATTCTCACCTGATAACACAGTACAGATCGCTGCATATGCATTGATTTTGAGCGAGTGCATCTCTTTATGGGAACACAAGAATTCGAGCCACATCAGCAAAAAGCCCATCCCAAGCAGGCCGATGTATGTAAACTCTGAAACAACTGAGAGCCAGAGCACACCTGCAAGATATGAAGTAAAAAATAAAAAACTGAAACACACATTTATTAACACACACGTGACTGCACATAAAAACAGGTAAAGTAGCCAGAAACAACTCTTTAATGGTTTTTGACTCATACTCTACTCACCTTGTGTCTCTCCTGGTGTTAGATCTATAAAACTTCGACATTTCTCCCCTGCAAACAAAATGTTCAGGAAAATGAAGGGGAAAAAACGATGTTTGTCAGGTTTTGAAAAGGACCTTAAAATGTGTTAAAACACAGATATACAAGTGTAGCTAATACTTTTTGGATGTGCTTTGTGAGTGTGCTTTGTGGAATCACCGTCATTGTGTTTCTCACAGCTTTCCCAGAAACCAGTGTGGAAGTATCTGAAAGCAAACTTGTCTTCTCCTGTCTCCCAGATGTAGTGGACCGCATTGGCCAGCTGCCTCTGTCTGATCTTGGCCAGCTCATCCCTCCTGGCAGGAGACAGGGTACGATTGAAGGGGTTCTGAGTGGGACTCTCTGTTTGACAATAAGAGAACCACATTAGGTACATATATGTGCCTTAATCCTGAAATGGATAATGGATTTGGTAGCATGAAAATTGTTTTTCACCACTTTAGACATAAAAACTCCAATGCATTCATGCTCACAAACATATTTAACATTTGAACCAATTAAGACTTGCATTTCTTCGTAGCGTGCAAGCAAAACCATGTGCACAGGAGTATTGCCGTGAAAAGGCGAGACCAGATACAAAGAAACAACTGATTTACTCTGAAAATAATTAAAACACAAATGTACAACATGTGCATGAACAAGCAGTCATGGAAACAAATGGAAGTGCAAATAAACAGAAGTAGAATTCTGTGCATGTGTATGCACATGGATGATCTATAAAGCCAATTATGATCCCTAACATGGGTCTGATGTTTAACAAAGATTGTTGACACACATATACATGATGGATTCTTTGATATTTTCAAACCTTGAAAAATTAATGCTTTTTAAAGTGCATTTTGCAAACAGGTTTGAGTTAAGGAAAAATGCTGGAGCTCCAGTATGGTCTTTAAAAAGCACTCTGGGATACAAATCACTGCGCATAAAACATGCGCGGGTCGGTCCTCACCCATGCTTCTGTTCAGATTCGGGGCTGTCAGGCAACCACCTTCTCTTCCCATTTACGTTATTTTTATGTAAAATTGTGGAGTAATATCTGTCATAGTAAAGTTAGTTATTTCTATACAAGAACTTAAAGTACATGAGGGGATCAAAGATGTGTCCTTTATGCAGGAAGAGCTGTTAATGTCAGTGTGGATTAAGCATATCTGTTGACAAATTAAAAAGCATACAGCAGGCAGTGTAAACCTCCCCTCGGTGGGTGAATAAACCTTTGGTAGCTATACTCTCACACTCCAGAGATTAACACTGAGCCAAAATTAAGTACACTGTGGTCCGAAAGGTATGGGCAAAAAGAGATTATAAAAACACTGAAACCAAGGACAATCAGTTTGTAACAGGTGGAGAAGCATGTCATATTATCCGGTCAGATTATTTTGAGGTATTGGTTCAAAAGTCAAGGCCAAAACTCTGGGATAAGTCAGAAAGCTGCATTTTAAATCTTTACACCATTTGAAGTGATTTATGTCAATAAAACAATACTATCCCTTCTGTCAGGACCTATAACCTGAGCTTGGAGTCACCTCAGTTTGTCTCGAGGCCTTGAACAATTTAAGGTAGAATATTAGCAACTTTTAACATGGACCATATAGCTCATATTTTTGGGGCCTAAATTACTTATTGGTACAAAACATTTCGGAATTGCTCCACTAGATTGCTTCAGTCAGCAGCAGTGAGACCTGTATGGCATCCTGTTTTTTGTGGGGCGGCTGAGGTAGAGTGGGTAGTCTCTTAGCCAGAAGGTTGGGTGTTTGATCCCCAGCTACTGTAGCCACAAACTGCAGCCGATGTTTTCTTGGGCAAGACACTTAACCCCAAGTTGCTCCTGCTGCTTCAGTGTGTATGAATGGGTTTAGCTAAAATTAATGGATACTTAACACAGCAGCCTCTGCCATCAGGGTGTGAATGTGTAGGTGTGACATTCAATTTGTTAGAGTATTTTTTTTAAGTGTACCTTAGGAGTTTTGAATTGAAATATGAACATGTTGCCACAGATATCAGTCAGCAGGACACTTTTTGGTGTAGCTGTTTATATGCTCACTATGGTTTTATCCACCTGTTCTTAGCAGACAAAGGGACAGCTTTAAACCAAATTAAAGATTAATATTCAGACACACCCCTACTGACTCAGTTAGATAAAACAAAGTTTAGTTTAGGTTCTCATTCAAGTTTAGAATTTTCTATTTATACAACTGCATAAATGTCTTTCACACAAATATACAGCATGTATGAACAACACAGGACATATTATTCCACTCAATGTATCTCACTATGATGTAAGGTCACATTTTTATGTACTTTGTTGCTATTTGCACACTTAATATATTCAATGTTAGCTAGAAAACAAAGCTTTTAGAGCTAAATCTCAAAACTCCATGTAACATACCTGGTTTGGAGGTACTAACACCTAAGACTTATGCTCCTGAGTTTTTATCAAAGCATGCTGTTCATTCTCAAATTTAGTTGAAAACTATCAGAAACTTTCTGCCCCCCCTCTGTGTTTATGAGTGTGGAGCTGAAGGACAGAAGTTTAGAAACATTAAAGGAAACAAGTCAGCAGCAGAAATCCCAAAATAACCCTCAAACATCTTGGTAAGATGAAAGACAATGAAATATCTCTGTACCTGTGGTGTAAGGCTCACTGTTGTTCTGACCACAGTTCTTCATTTTGACAGGCGACAGGCAGAGGGGCTTCACCACCTTGTGGGTGCCCTCACACCAATATGAGGTGCAGAGAGCCAGGATGGAGAGAGCCAGAGCCAGAGTGGTCAAGGTCAGGGAGAGCAGGGAGCGAGAGCGACGGGACATACCCTCCAGCATGGCCACGCAGGGGATGGGGGAGGCCAGAGAGAGAGGGAGAGAGGAAAAGGTGAAACAAAGAGAGGGGTGAACAGCACGTGGGGACAGGACAAACGGGACAGAAGGTAGGAGAGCCGTCACAGATGGAGCCGAGAGGGCAGAACAGATGCTTTGGGGAGGTTTTAAGTTGTGATGTGCTGCCAGGTTTAAAAAGAAAACAAAGATAAATGTGATGTAATAGTGAGGGATGAAGATGACTAAACACAGATGACGAAGCAATACTGTAATGCAGCGTGACAGAGATAAAGAGAGGGAGAGAAGGGGGAGAGAGTGGGATGAGATGCTCTGAAGTTGATACACGTGGGAAAGGAAGGACAGATGGGAGGAGAAAATAACAAAAAAGGGGGATTTAGGTGGACGACGGTTTACACTGGGAGAGAAAAGTGGGATGCAAGGACATAACAGTATGCAGGCCAATCAGCATTAGCATGATACCCTGCTATGATCCCTATGGTGAAAGATGTGGCCAAACATCACCTATAGGCCCTCTTGTTACACGTTTTAGAGCAGTGTGGCCACACTGAAGCAGCATATGGTCATTTAAACGAACTGGAATTTATCCATTTAAGTTGTACATCTAAAGAGGGGATAGAGGACATTCTTAAATTCATTACCTGACTATTGAATAGGGCACAAAAAGGACAAAACTACAGCGTCCATTTGTCTACAAGAGTCTCAAAACTTCCTGAGGTTACAGAAGTCCTCCAGCTGTGTTTACAAAGGGGTTGTATGGAAATGGAAATGTTGCATCCAATGCTATGAGCTAAAATAATAACTCCATGCTTCCTGATTAACACACTCAGGCCTGACCCTTCTGCGCATCATGAGCTCAAATGCTGGACCCTCTGCAGGAGACAAGACGGAGAGGGGAGCAAAACAAGAGATTATTTTTATGATGAAATAATGGATAAAACCACAGGTCTAACTGGATTTCTTGTGCACGTAATCCCTCATAGTCTGTTCTAATCTGTTTGTATTAGGTGTGATTTAGTCTTAAATTACATTCTGACCATGTGTGCTGTCTGTCTCTTTCTGTCTTTCAGGCAGGGTCAGCCGACCACCCCTGAGATACAACAGAGCTTTAGTAAAACCAAGAGAAACTAGCACAATCCCTAATCTGCATGAGAAGAGATCCCTGGTGGATGAATAATAATGACAAAAATACATTCGGAAACAACTTTGACATGAAGGGACTGAATAAAACCTAATAAATGCTCAGAGGGAAACCACTGTTGCTGCATAAGGTCAACAGTATCGTAGCTAAAGTCAGTAATCTGTTTTGACTTTTCCATTTCTGTACGGAGATGTTTCACTGCATCTTTAAATCAGATTTTTAAAAAACAAATGTACTACATCCTAAATATTCTCTCCAGAACACCTCTAGATTTTACCCTCTTATTTCTCTGTGATTTCTCTGTGATACCATATTGAGCCACTATGTTATGTTATGTTAATGTGACACATGAACCCCGAAAATGATAAATTGTTCACAGGTTTCTGAGATCAAATCTATTTTGTTTCAGATGCATCAGTATTTTGCATATCTTGAAAAGTAAATAGAAGTTCATTCAAAGTCGACATACATCATTCAACCCGCAGTCATATGCAAAACTATTTGAAGGCTGTGTGTTTAATATATGAAAATACTCAGTGAAGTAAATTAAATGTGTTCATTTCAAGGCTGAATGTAAGGTTATCTTGATGTAACATCTAGTTTATACAATTAGGGAAATAGTGAAAAATATCTTCCAGGTAAACCCTAAATAAAATATATTTTATTGGAATATTGGTCCAAAACAAACTGATCAGTTTATTATCATAAATGGTGACTACAGTGGCACTCTGTAGGATCAATTTGGATATTAAGTTTTCCTAAGTTAAATGATTCATCTCAGTTGAAATATGTTGCAGCATCTGTTGAATGAATTCTGAATTAATTTTGAGCTTGAGTTATTTTTTTTTAAATGTTGTTGGCAGTTACCTGCTAGAGTTATTTTCCTTGTCCCTTGTTGTACCTCAGGTCAAACACGAGGTAACTGCGACAGTCGTACAACACTTTTCTCTTTCTCCTTCAATCCTCTGTTATCTCTGCCTTCTCCAAGAGCCCTTAATCAAAAAGCTCCTTAGGAACTTGATTTTAGTTTCTCCATCTTGAGCCTCCGTGTCACTCCCCTCTTCATCTTTCCCCTCTGTTTCTGTCAGCAGAACACCTCCTCCAGGACGAGCGTCAGTGATCCTTACCGCCACAGCCGCACTCCCTCATTTATCCCCACGTCCAGCAGTTAGACGGAGATACTCGACCGATGGAGCGGGTGGGTGTCTGTCTCCACACCACTCTGGACTCTGTTTTCTGTCTTTCTTGGGAATTTATGTCACAAACCCATCCTGAATCGTGTAATCCCTCTAAGTCCATCTGTTCTTGCACTGCCTCCTCTCTTCCAGTGTCTGAATCTTTGTAAAGGTGCTTCCTTCTCAACCCACCCACAAACAAAACCTTCAATTTACCACCACTTTCCACTCCTCCCTCTCACTAATTTGCCATTATTAGTTATGGAATAAATACACTTAGAGGGTGGATTAAAGTGTGAACAAATATAAATCCTCCCCCTCTCGCAAGGATTTGGCTTTGCACCCACGCTGCGTAAAGCCAAATCCTGTGCCCACTAAGTTAATTGTTTATATTTGGGTGCCAAATGTGGCGCCTTGAAAAACAGTGCAAAGACCTTTGCATAGTCACAATCATTTATTTACAATACATATGTACAAAAACAAAAACAAAAAAACACAGAAAAAAGGCAGACACAAAAAAACATTTGTGCATGTTCGGGGGGGGGGGGGGGGGGAGTAGTTTAACCCCAGGCTTGAGATTTACAGTAATGCAGAACCAGTTTCCCATCGCTGCCAAAGCACTGAAAAGGACACATAAAGAGAGAGAGAGACATTTTAATTTACGCTAAATGTTTTTTTTTAATACAGACCTGTGAGAGAAGTTAAATGATCAAATGGGAAATCTGGACTTGCATGCCATTGCTGTTATTTAGGAAGACTTTTAATCAGTGGCAGTAGCATGCAGCTTCTCGCTTATTGCACCCTCTGTTGGTCAAAACTCCACATGATCAGTCAATTCTATGTACTGAGCAAAGTGACTTTAAAAATGATATAGAATACTTCATTAAAGGCTGACAGACTAACCTCGGTAACAGAGATTAGGGAGGTGTCAAGTGCCAGGCTGGGCTGCTGACCATTTCTAACAAGCAGGTCCTGAGGAGAGCTATAGTGGTCTGCTCCCATCACCCACTTCACAGTGAGTTTGAGCTTTTACCCTCAGGTCATCATTTTAGAGCTCCTGTGAGGAAAACTAAAAGACTCCAGGTCTCATTTGTCCCTGTTGTTATTAATATATTACATAACAATTCGCCCTTAGGTTGCTCTTTTACTGCACATTTGCACACCAACACTTTACTAACTTAGAAGAAATTCCCATTTTGGTATGAGCTCTTGACTTATTGTATTGCAATGTTTTATATTATGTTGTCTGAGTTTTTTTTAACTTTGTTTTAATTGAGTTTTACTGTGATGTTGAAACACGTAAGTCACAGGGCTTTGAAAAAAGAAGGAATATGTACTTACATCAAAAAGGATCCCTACATCTTGATCTGGTGATGGGGCAAAAGACTGGTTTACATAAATAAACTGAAAAATTAACAAAAAGAGAGAAAAGCTGTTACACATCAAAATTAAAACACCATAAAATGTTGTTTTAGCCATCGACAAGACAAGACAGTGAAAAAAAAACCTAATCCTTACCAGCTGTTCAGTGGCTTCAAGTTTGAGGAAGCGGGAGATGAACTGACCAAGGGACTGAACCGTCCTCCCCCTGTCCACTGCCCACTTCTTTGTCTTCATTATAGGAGTATCTCCCACTGCCTTCAACAACACATCAACTGAAAAAAAAAAAGAAGAGAAACTAGAAAGTGAAAGTGTTGTTGACACCATCCAAACTGTTAAAGACAAGTTTAAACATGAAGTGGAGGATTTATGGAGAAGTGACACAACAAACTGATTCCTATTATTATTCTGACTGCTATTTCAGTGGAGAAACACAAAACACAATGACGTGCGTCTTCTAACTTGGGAGTGGGTCGTGCAGTTTTATGTCGCTCTATAATGAGCTGGTGCAGAGCAGACACCAATCATTTTGAGCAACCCGACAATTCCCTTTGTGAAATAATTCCTTACTTCATATACTGATATAATCTATTTGATGCCATATGTAAACGTTGAGATTCAATATCGCTTAACATTTGTCTGGTCGTGGATTCACTGAAAAATATTGAGTAGATTATTTAAAACTCTCACAGGACCCGACACCTGTGAGACATGTGAAAGACCCAAACATTTAGAAAACATAATAAATGGATCCTCAGGCATCAACTGAATTGTTAAAAGGTTAAGAATTTACAATCCTACGCTGCAATGATCTTATGATCAAGCTTTAGCTTTGTTATGAACAGTACACAACAAAATAGTTCCTCTACAGTCTCAATGATTGCAAATACAGAGCCATGTTAATGGTTACTACGATTCTGTATGTAGCAGGAATTATTACATTTCTTAATTTATTGAGTAGTATTTATTGTGTACCACAGTGTGTGATTACTTCAAATCTTAAAACCAAGAAATAAAAATTATGAGGATTAATGGTCAGAGTTGAAAGTATGAATCGCATAGATCCAACGATTGAAACAGAATGTTGTTAATAGAAAGTAAAATGTAAAACTTTTTATAACAAGATATAAACAAACTGAGATGGCAGTCTGATAGTTATGAGCTAACCGCAGCTTATTAGTTTAACCTTAATTAACAATAAATATGTACAAGATTGCAACTAGCATTAGACTAGTATTTAAATAAGTACGGAAAAAATGCAGCTCCATTGAGAAAATCTGCTTTAAATAGCAATAAAATTATATGTTGACTTTACAAAATCTAGCATTAGCTTTCGCCACTCTCCATACCACCAGTACCTTCTTTTTTTTTAAAAGCTAAATGCTTATTGGCTAAACCGAAGAAAACTCGATTCCTATTGGCCCAAATATCTGCCAATTGTCTCACACGTCACACACCCGGAACTACTTCTCATCTGACTAGTAACATTCCTTCTTCAACAACTTTAAAATATTGAATAACAGAGTGAAGTTTAAGGTGTGTTTCAACGCCTTACTTTTTTTCTTCTCTTCGTTCGTCGACGAGTCGTCTGAAGGTGGCTGTGACTCCTCTTTTTGTGTTTCTGTCGGGGACTCAGCATTGTCAGACATCTTCAGCTGACCACTTTCGGGTGGCTGTTGTTCCCACCCCACCTAAACAAGCCAAATGACTCGCGGTAGATGGACAGTTTCTATTGGTCCAAAGAAACGTCAATCTCCAACATGCAATTCTATTGGCTAAGCGCTTCTGTGGAGCCGTGTAAGCAAGGAAAGGCTGCTGAACTTGTGTCTTCTTGGCTACATGCTAGGTTAGTCATAGTTTTGACAAGCCTATTTGGTTTTTGATTATTTTGTTCATAATTAACGCACATTTATGTTGTATATGCTATTTTTACATGAATAATATGTTATGAAACGGGTAAAGGGTTGCATGTTTGTTGGTTTACAATCACACAGGAGGCGTCACCAGTAGTTGAACTTTTTACAGCCTGGGTGAACCTGCTGTCACTTCTTCTCTCAACTGGACCATTCAGGCACAGAAAGTAAGTTAACTTTCTCCTGATTTAGTTTGCTCTTTGCACCCTTTAGCTAAGGCAACTAGTATTTTTTGTCCAATCGTTATCAAAACAAGAAAATCATTCCTTAATTTGGCACAAATCTCAAGGTGGAAAAGTGCAATTGGTGTCACCGAGCTTTATTGTTCAGAGCGTGTGTGCAACTCTAATGTCCAGTTTCCCTTAATCTTAATACTGTTTGTCTTGTGAATTTATCTGAACATGACTTGTCTGTCTTTCCCTGTGACCTTGCTCTTGCAGTGGCAAAACTTGGTAGGCTCGCTTCTGAGGATGCGGTGCTCTTTCTGTGTGACATGCAAGAGAAGTTTAGACCAAACATCTTCCAGTTCAATAACATTGTCAGCAATGCAGCCAGATTGCTTCAGGTAATTAATACTCAACAACAACAATTATTACCTTATACAGTGTTTATAGATTTTAACTTATCTGATCAAATCTCCTTGTACGCTTCTCTCTCTGACAGGCCAGTCGTGTCCTCGGTATCCCCCCAATTGTTACAGAACAGTACCCTAAAGGCTTGGGTCCCACAGTACCAGAGCTGGGAGCAGCAGACCTGAAAGCTCATGCGAAAACTTCTTTCACCATGATGATAGAGGATGTAAAGAAGGAGCTGGATGCCCTGGGAAACCCCAAACAGGCTATACTGTGTGGAATAGAGGCGCACGCCTGTATTGCAGTAAGACCACATAATCATTTCTGCGGTTAATGACTTAAAATCCTTTGCAAAAACAAATTACGATACACAGAGAACCGAAAGTTCTGTCTTATGCTCTTACATGTGCAAAATGCATGATTTAAAGTGCAACTGAATGGATGGGTTTTTGTTGTATTAATTAAAATTATGGTGAGGGTGTTAACATGAAAGATGATTATAGATATTGTGCTAATATGCTATTTAAGGTTATCTCATATTGTTATTATGTGTACCAGAGTTTCCAGACTCAAACAATGAAGTAAGACCTCTGGTTATTTCTTCTCCACAGTGTACAGCATTTGACCTGATTGAAAGAGGAATGGAGGTTCATATCGTGGCTGACGCAGTCTCAGCCAGAAGGTATCTCCGCGATACAGCACTGTAATGACCTAGATGTAAAATATTGTGTTTCTGGATCGTCATACTAATGTGTTACTACTTCTGCGTCTCCCTCCACAGTCAGACAGACCGTCTGTTTGCACTGTCCCGACTGAAGCAGAGCGGAGCTTTTCTCACCACCACAGAGGCCGTTCTGCTGCAGCTAGTCCAAGATGCTAAACACCCAAAGTTCAAGCAGGTGCTTACTGCAGCTGCTTTCTGTTGCACTCATGTTACTCTAGTGTGTGAAGAAGTGTCACAAATATGCTAAAACACAAAATGAAGGCAAGATATGATGTCTTGTCAGACTAGTAAGAGACGAGACGAAAGTAGTGCTGTAAATGAATAGTCGGTTCACAGATTGCAGCTTTAAGGTTGCAAAAATCCTACAATTTTGAAAGCCTGACCATCATGTTACTAATGTTGTGAAGGGTGGTCTTCTTCAGCCACCCATTTAAATAACTTCAATTCCCACTACACGCGACAGGTTAACTAGAAGCAGCCCTCAGCCCCATATGTTTCCCTCCATTGGCTGCCTGTAAAATTCAAACATTAACTACAAGACCATTCTGATTACTGATCACCTTGTTCTAAAGTCCACTTTCTACCTTTCAAATAGTCATTTTATCTATCCCCTGCTCCAAAGCAAATAGCTGTACTGTAGTTTTAAGAGTTCTGGAGGGTTGTCTTATTGTCTTTTTCAAGCAGCGTCTAAAAACCAATTTTAAAGGAAATCAAGTTTATAGATCATTCTTCATATCTTGTATTTTGGTCAGTTTTGGTTTGACTGTCTCTTGAATAATATTTCAGTGTTTCAGAACATGCTAATTACATATAGCTTTACTTTTGTACATTACAGATATTTTTTATTTGTTTGTTGACAGATCCAGCAGCTCATGCTCCACCCGTCACCTGACACCGGCCTCCTCGCCTTCTTCAGCGCTATGTAGACAGATCCTCACCAGATATTCTGCTCCATAGATACTGTACAGAATATGACTGCTGGCATAAAACTGTTGAAGTGCTTCAATAAAGTGATGCTGCTACTTTAAATGTGTTTCTGCTGTTCTTTTGTATTTCTGTGTCTATTGAGGCCCAAGCCGCAGAAACTGATACTTCCAGTTGTGACCGGCTGAAGAGGTGGGATCAGTTCACAGAGGCGGGTGCAAAGAGTGATGTCACACGGGGGGGAGGAGTGGGTGACGTTATTCTGGTGTAGTCAGAAAGGGAGGGGAAGAAGAAGGAGAGGGAGGGAGGGAGAAAAAAAGGAAGCTCCTCGATAAGTTTTCTGTGTATATTTCTAAGAAGTTACACAAACTTTCACAAACTAAGGGTGTGACTGGAAGCCCTGTGGACATCAACATGTGGAACAGAGAGATCTGTTGACGAGGACGGACACCAGTTTGTCTAAAGCTGTGCACAGCTGATGACTACATCAAATATCAACACTTTTTAAGGCCTTGGGCCTCGAGTGACTGTACAGGTAAGCAAAAACACTGATCTTCCTCATAAAATAGAAACTGTAGGTAGAATATGCAAACTAATACACTGTGATGCAGTTTCTGTGTGAACGTGAAGTTTCCAGGGTAGAACAAAGTGTCTCTGTGTGAACTTGTTGGTTGCTAACTGAGGCTTGTTTTAAGTACAGGAACACAACTGTTTGACAGTGTTACATTAGAGACCGAGGGGGGGGTCCAACAATCTTATGTCTCAGTGTTTGTAATTGTTCAAAGTAAACAAAAAGTGAAAGGCTGTGTTGACCTGTACTTCCTCCATTGATCCCTCAGATCCTGGACAGACAATCAGGAAGACAATGTCCTCAGAGTTGGACTCCAGTCTCACCAGTATCGACTGGCTGCCTCGGCTGGGATTCAGCAGCCTGCGCTCGGGGAGGGAGAGAGGAGGAGGAGGAGGGGAGAGGGAGAAGAGGAAAGATCGAGGGAAGGAGAGAGGAGATTTTTTACCCTCTGTACCAGACCCCTCCCCTTCGAACTCGAAAGGGAAACCCCCTCACAGCTATGCTACTCTCATTGCCATGGCAATAGCAGCTGCACCTGAGAGGAAGTTGAGTTTGAATGACATCTACACCTGGATCAGTGACACTTTCCCCTACTACAGCCGAGCTGGCCGAGGATGGAAAGTAAGATAAATGTAGAACAAACATGTTAATATATCACTAGAGTTCTATAATACTTACAGCTTTATTACAGATGTTAAAGTTTGTTCGGATATTTGCATCACCAGCTGTCTCAATATGTCATCTTTTTCTGAATGTATGTGATTCACAGAACTCCATCCGGCATAATCTGTCTCTTAATAAATGCTTCAGGAAGGTTCCTCGGCCACAGAATGACCCTGGCAAGGTTAATTACATTTTATATGATACTGAAAAAAACCCAGAATTTTCATCATGGGAAATGAATAATACTTAAAGCTTGAAACTGTATTTCTAGGGCTCCTATTGGACGATGGATGGACCTGCAGAAGCCAACCAATTGAGGGCCCCTAAACGTCCTTATCCAGAGGAGGAAGAAGAGAAGCACAGTGTATGGTGTTTTAATATCACTCGTTTGTTTTTTGACCATCAACTTTAATGAATATCAACAAAATGTCCGTTAAAAACCAACCATTGAAAGAAACCGCATCAAGAACAAGTTTTGGATTTTGGCATTTTATCCTTATATTTAACTTTGAAAATAAGAATTTGAATCTTAAACAATGACTTTTTTTATAATGGGATAATCAGCCGACTATTTCCATTGATGAATTGATTGGTTTTTAATGGATATACAAAATACTGCATAATACAGTTCTGTTTGCATGTCTATAGATTGTAAAGATGTTATTTGTTTTTGTTATGTCTCCTGGAAAAGTCCTGAAAAGGCCATCATTTCAATAACTTTGAACAGCTTTCCACTGTTATAAAGTAATACTGTCCTATTACAGGTTCCTCTGATAGAAGGTACACAGGCAGAGAGAGGACATTCTCCTCACCAACAACAACCAGCCTCCATCACAGACCTCCATCTACTCAACGTAGAGCCTTTGGGAGCCGTTCATCAACATCCACGTGGTCCTGCCTCCCTCTCTCCTCCCCCATGCAAGGTAGAGTCACTCTCTCCCTCCTCCTTCAAAGCCAGGCGTACCCTCTTAGTGTCGTTTTCTTATAGCACCAAATTGAAAATCTTTGTCTTACAGCAATCATCCCCCTACATGCCAAGTCCAGTGTCCAGTCTCCCTGTCCCTCATCCATCTGCTCCTCCTTCAGCGGAGCTCCCACCAGCCGCCCCCATCACCTCCACCAACTCTTTCCAACCTCCTCACCCACCTTGCTCCACTTTTTCACTCCCCGCTGCCTCTGCTCCACCTCTGTCTGCTTCTCCATCTGCTTCCTCTTTCTCTGATGCCCCTCTCTCCTTTCCTGCTATGTCAGGGCCTGTTTCTGTCCCCACTTTCTCCTGCACCCAGAACTCAGCTCCTGTGTCTGTTTGCACCGTGTCTGGACCCTCTCACCCCTCTGTATGTGTTACTCCTGCATCGCTCAATGCCCCGCCGGCCTGCTCCCTGAACACCTCCACAGATCCTCTGCTGCGTTTCACCTTCGATGAGCTGAATTTACCAGACTTGTATGCATCTTTCAAGTCTATTTTCAAGACCATGCGGGACAGAGGAGGCTCTCAGTGTGAGTTGGATTTACCTGACCTGTGATTTTGTTAAAAAAGTAAACATTACACACCTACATATGTACACCCCTTAATGAGTGATTGTTTTTGTGTTCTTTTCAGCTGATTTTATTCCCCTGACTGGCCTTACCAATGACACTACTCCTCTACACACTCCAACACTTCTACCAATGTCTCCTCACCCTGCCACTGCCCCACCCGCTCAACCTACACCCGCTGCACTGCCTCCACTGCCTCTACAGCCTCCACAGCATCCTGAGATGGAGCGTGTCCCACAATACAGTGAGTCTTAAAGGACCTGGTCAACTACAGACATTTCTTGTAGTAAAAAATAACAGAAAAAAAAAAACACAACAGAGACCAGTGCTTACTAAAGTGTCTTTCTTCTCCCCTTAGCAGTGCCAGCAGATTGGTTCAGTAATCCAGATTCTTTGAAGGAGAGCTGCCGCATCGCTAGCAACATCGACTGGGCGAATATCGACCTCTCCGGTCACCCAGGTCTGCAATCTTTTATTAATGGGAACTTTACCCATATGACTAAAGGGATCTTTTTTTTTTTTTTACCTTGTAGTTGTTTGGATTTATTGTGGTTATTAAGTTATCAGTCTCAGATCTGTAGTTGTAGATTGACCAGAGTAAAGCTCAGTATTTACAGGTCATTACTATTTGACACTTAAGTTGATCTGATCTTTCAAGAAAGCCTTTATTTTGCAGTTGATGTAACAACTACAAAGATTTTGTCAGATAAATAATCAATAAACATAAGAATTGCAGAGAGATTTGACAATTGATTGAAAAACCATCAATGTCTGTTGGTCTTGATAACTTCTGTTCTAAAAACCCTCTCTCTCTGTTTGCAGACCTTTTGGAGAGCATGCGGCAGGCGGAGCTCTGCGACTGGGCCCTGGACCCGGCGCTCTTCACCTCTCTATGCGACTCTTTGAACCGCTTCTTCACTCAGAAAGGAATGATCACCTCTGGGAATAACTCCCCTCTAGCTGTTGGTGCTCCTCACTCCCAACAGGTCTCCCCCTTCACCTCAAACCCGCCCCTTACCCTCGCCAGCCTCACTCACCCCTCACCCCTCCCCTATTGCCCCATTCTCCCCCCGGCCAGTGGAGCACAGCCGCCCCGGAGGCCTCTGCAAGGACAAGGATTGCAAAGACCGCAGTTCACACAACCTGCAAACACAACCGGTGAGACACTGACGTTCTGTTTTACATTTACAGCAACTCTTTAAGAATAGGTTCACATTTTCAAGAGTATTCTGTCTGCAACACAGCAATATACTGAACTTTATTCTCCTCTCTGACAGATCAGATAGCTATTCATTAGCCCTTTACTCATTTGGATTCTGCAACAGCACTGTAACAAACTTCCACCTTCCCATGCACACACACTCAGGCATGCACACCCACGCACACAGCGCTGTTCACACATTACCACCAACCTCCTGTTATTCCTCTGTTACTAACTCTGATGGCTGGTCACAGGCGACGTCACCCCACCATCCTGCATCAGTGTGTTACACATTGCAGGCATGGCGTTAACAGGTGTAAATATCCCGCCTTGAACAGGCAATAAAGCAAGAGAAGATCACAATTATTGGGGTGGCCAATCAGATTTCAAGTGGGCCCATGCTAACCCAGATGACCCCTGACCATGCCCCTGCTCACATGCCTTTATTAACACTTAAATAAATAGCCACTGGTTGCTGTAATCATTCCTCACATCTGAAGAAGGGTGTTAATTATGTGGGACACAATTGACTTTGTGTAGAACTACATATAGAAAAATTAGCTGAAGCTGATTTAGGCCTCAGCGGTTGCAGCTGTTCCTCTGTTTCTTACTATTACTCCACCTAAATTGTATTCTAACTTGGTGCCTTTATCCCTGTGTGTCACAGCCGGGATGCAGCCGCAGTCTATGACCCCTCGACAGCGTCCTCCACTGAGGGGCCTGCACAGCAACAGCGAGGAGATCCAGGATGACTTTGACTGGGATTCTCTGCTCGCTTGACCTCCGCTGTCTGCGAAGAGAAACGATTAAACTGAACATTTCAAGAAAGTGTCTCTTCACAGCCATCTGTACAAGACTGTGCAGGAACTATTCAGCCTCTCAGAGAGTAAGTCTGGGATTAAGCTTGTCTTTTATAATTGAATGCTGTTCTTAAATATTTTTCACTTTAATTCAGATTCATATGCTGTAATCATTTTCATTGTGTATCTTTTGCAAGTTGCGGTTAGGGTGTTTATAATGTTTCATTGCAGTTATGAAGCTTGTTCACCAAAGAAAATAAAGGCCAAACATATTGTTGACATAAAGCAGTTAAAAAAAAAAAAAAACACAGAAATGTGGGATGAAAATGTAAAGCATTAACAACAACGCAAACATGAAACAGGCCAAACAAACCTCCTGTGTTTTTTATTTTATTTCATAAATTCCTTTTGATTTTTTTCTCCATTTTGCTTTTCCAATGTGAATGTTCACAGTCATCACCACACAAAAAAAATCAACCTGACCTGGTAAAAGGGATTTTTTTTCTTGTTGATATAAAATAACAATAAATTCATCAAACTTAATTAAAAAGAACAGCATGGAGCTTGTCGTCAAGTCCCCGTTTTCTCTTTCTTTCATTCATTCATTGAGTAATTGTCTTTTTTAAAGAAGCATCAGTATGTCTCCCTCCCTGAAGGCCAAGAGGGACCAAACCCAGGACAGTGGTGGCTCTGGGACCTCTGTGTACCAGGGATCCCATATGAAATATTTGATCGGGCAAAATAAGAAAAAAATAAATAAACTTCTGATTCATCAAAATAAGATTGGCAGAGAAATGTGTGACCCTTATCATACCTCATTTGAAATCCCAACATTACACTGTATTAATACAAGTGACAATTTTTAAAAACAAAAATATTTGATGTCATTTCTTACTTTCTTTTTGAGAAACTGAAATAAGATCGGACACAAGAAAAAAGAAGACAGATATTAATACATTTACACGGAAACAGGCATTTTCACGAATGCATACTTGCACACTCACAAATGAGCATCACATTCACGCACACATACAGCAATACATCCCATCATTTCCCCCATCGGACCACAGATGTCAAAGCTCTCTTCAGTTTTTCTACAATAATCAGAAAGAAAAAAATAAGCATTTGATTTAAATGGCATCGTCGTGTGATTCTTTTTCTTGTTTATTTGTTCCCAAAAAATGGAAAAAAATAAATTACATTTAACATTAAATTAAATTAAAAGTGAAGAAGTTGAAATAATTTTCACCACATTGTGCCTGAAATGTTAATGCGGGTGTTGCAGTCCGTATCTCAGTCTGGAGTTCATTAAAAAAAACCTTCCTTCATGCACTGGTTTGATTCAGAGATTCAGTGTTTGTCTTCATTCTTGAGGGAGAAAAGAGGAAGAGGCAGGATCAACAGTTTCTCTGTTCAGTTAGTTAGTGGTTATAATCCCCTCTCCCTCCATCTGTCTCTCAGTGCAGTAATGTTAGAACAGAGTAGAGTGACACTACTGAAAAAGCCCCCCCCCGCTCTCACAGACTTACCTTCATCTCAAGACAGGACTGAAGAAACAAAACAACATGAAGAACGATACAAGACAGAAGAGAATTAAAACAAGCAAAAAAAAAATAAATAGATCTCTATTTCCCACCCACAAACAACCCAAACTGAAATGAAAGGAACTAAATGTGGAAAATTATTCTGAAATGAAATAATGCTTTCGAAGGGAAAGATAAACATAATTTTTGATTTTTTTCTTTTTTTCTTTAAATATAGAGATGTACACATTTTTCTTTTTAGACACAAAATGTGTTGGGGAGGGGCTGGGTGGATGAAGGGGGCAGCAGGTATGACAGAGGAGGTCCAAACAAGTGAGCAAAGTAGTGGTGACACTTCCTCAAAGAAGAAAAGGGTTGGTGCTTGCTCCCGTTGCTCCTCCTCCTCCCACTGCTCCTCCTGCCCCAATCACACCCCCTGTTCCAGCGGGCCCACCCAAAATCAGCTGCGGAGGCGCTGCACCTCCGGGCCCAAGCAGAGTCGAGCCAGGGGGGGCCATAGGTGAGAGGCTGCTATAAGGTAGGCCCATGGGACTGGCCTGCATCATGCCCATCATTCCTGGACCTCCCATCCCCACACTCATCGACCCCATGCCCAGTCCTGGCTGCACCATGCTCAGCATGGGATTGGTAGGAATAGGACTGGAGCGCAGGCCGCTCAGACCCAGTGAGGAGGGCTGAGGTGAGATGGAGGTCATGGTTGGAGCCACGCCGAACGGGTTGGAGGAGGCAGGTACTGGAGAAACCCCCCTGCTTGAAATGGTGCTGCCTGGAGTTACTGCAATGCCAGGAGCAGGAGATGAGCCTGAGGGTTGGAAACAGACAGAGCTCACTATGATAACAGTGATTTAATATTTGTTTAAACAAGTTCAATACTCCTCTTCAAAGACTTTCATCTAATCAAAACTTGAGTACGTCAGTTTTTCTGATCTGGAGACAGCATGTAACTCCACCGGTGTGCTTGTTTGGTCATTTTTTTTACTCCAACAATGCCAAACATGAATCAGCTTCAGTTAGTGAAGGGTGAAGCGTTGCTCCTTTTGTGAATCTTATTCGATGATAAGCTGAATTTGTAAATTGGATAAAACAAGACATTTAAAGTTGTTGCCTTTGGCTTCACAAACATGATCGTTATTTTTCTAATGATGTTTGAAAGAGACAACAATCCATCTTTGAAATAATCTAATCACTGATTGTAATTGTGATTCAAAGCCCCAGAACAAACTGTTGCAATAATGTACTCATACTATACTGACTAGCTTTGACAGGTTTATTGTAAAGCTTTACAACTATTACACTGGTTCACATCAGTTATTTTGAATGACCTATCCTGTACTGTCTGTCATTATTGGATTTGCATTGTCCCACAAAGGCTTTAGGTTAGTGCAACTCAAGGACACAGTATGGCTCCCCTTCAGGTCATCACAGAGCTTTAAATTGTTTTCTGTCTGCTTTCAGTCTGGGTTGTTTTGAAGAACTGACTTTGATCCAGCTAAACTAACTTAATAGTCGGACATTTAGTCTGAACATATTTTTCCTCAGACATTTAATTTGATCGATGTTAAATCAGGTCTGGATTGTATTGTTGAGAAAACCACTGTTAATGATGGTATCTTAAACTGTGGGATAATTTGTACCTACATGGTCCAGAGACCGGGTTAGACATTGTAATGGAGGGCAGTTACACAGTTTAAACCATCCTGTATATGTAGCTCACCTGTGTTCTGTAAGAAGGGGTTGTGCGCTGAGGATGAAGAGATGGAAGGAGGCGGTGGCTGTTTGGGTTTGGGTTTAGATGACACAAGAGAATCGAGATCAACGAGTGCTGCGTTGGGGCCGAGGAACGACTCAGGAGTCTTACGAACAGGAAGTGAAGAACCAATAGATGACAGGTCAAAGGGCACCGGTGAGCCTGTACTGTCGCAGCCCAGTGCTGGGGACCCTCGTCTCTCTGGGTCTCCTTCAGGAGGGAGGCGCAGAAATATGAAATCAGACACAGACTAGAAAACAATTCATTATTTAAAACAAAGACAAAATAGGAACACATTCCACACAAACTAGAGGAGGATGAAATGTAAGACAAGACAACTGTTGTGTGCATGAAATTGAAAATCTGTGTGTACTCTATGTACCAGGGTGCACCAGTACCTCAGTGATTATGCGTCCATGTAGCTTTAAGTGTGAGTGTACCTGTGCCATTAGTGTGTTTGGCGGTGCCACTCCAGATGTCAGAGGTGAGAGGGTCAGAGGCAGGGACAATCCCGTCCCCTGCCCATGGGTCTACTGGCCCCCCCGAAGAGGAAGTGCTGGGTGGCACCGGGGGGCCCCAGGGGTCGGCACTGGGGGGAGTCACAGCTACAGGGGAGGGGAAGGAGACGCAGGGGTGGGGAGGGTTAACACAACACCTTACAGGTACAATCCACAATAAGGAGGAAACAGGAAGCTGGGCTGGGTATCAACACTGTTGCTTCTCTCCTTGACCTCTGCACAGGTGACAGGTGAGGTCCACCTTATTACTTTTTAAATATAAAACATCTGAAGCTCAGAGGAGGTAAAGGAGAGATAAAAAGAGGCTAAAAAAAGCACAAAAGGGCAAAGGAGGAGACATCTCTGGTTGAGACACAGCCACAGTCAGTCCTGAGTAGAAACAAGAGGATACAAATCCCTGATTTAGACACAGAGGGAGAATGGATTTAGCATGCTAGCTTTCTGCATTACAAACTGAAAGCATATGAGGGAATGAGAAGACATGACAGCTTGGTGATATGATGAAAACTGAAACAAGGGTGATCTGAAAACAGGAAATGAAACAGTGGAGTGAAGAGGCTTAAAGGTTGAGAGGTCTTTACGTCCTCTTTCATCCAAAGAGCGGGGCATGCTTGTCTTTTGACACTCAGCCACGTGAACATTCCCACCCACCTGATTGGCCACAGAGTTCACATGTAGAGCCTTGAATCTGCTTACCTGAGCTTGCCCAGGGGTCCACGTTGTTAACTCTGTTGGACGTCTCCGCCCAGGGGTCTGGGGGAGGAGCTGCAGTCGGAGGTGCTCCCCCACCCCAGGGGTCAGAGCTTGTGGGAGATGTGGGCGAAGCTACCCCCCATGGGTCTGGGGCAGCAGCGGTTCCCCAAGGACCAGAGGCCGCAGGGGGGGGAACTGTGGGTGGAGGCGAGGGGCCCGCAGAACCCACAGTGGCGGCAGCGGCAGGGGCCCCCCAGGGGTCTACGGCACTCAGCTCCATCAGAGCGCTCTGAGCAAGAGAATATGCCATGGATTAATGTTTCCACAGCTTCACTCAGGACGAAATGTACAGTAAGTACGTATTCACCCACGTATGCAGAGGTCAGGTGCTTTGATAAGAGGAAATTCACAAAACTGAGAAGTAAAAGGACACAAAGAGTTGCAGACCAGATAAAGACATTGAATAGACAGTTTAAAATAACTGCCACACAATTTTGAGTATAAATATTGAACTTTAAAATAAACTACTTTGAATTTATCTTTGATATATTCAAATTGAAAGTTGAGCTGTGACATGCTTTCTTTTCCCAGCTTTTAATGTCACACACACACTTCTTCTGTTCATCATTGCAGAATCTATCATTCAGACTCCAGATGCAGGCTGATTTATGACACCACAGTTAATACCACCAAGACTCTGACAGCATAAAGAGATAATTACAGATGATATAATCAAAACGTGGACACATACTGTAGATATATCGTATTTCTAATTCTGATCAACTTATCTGAAATATTAAACAGACACATCCATTGATCTACATTAAATGGATGTTTGATGTACTAGCCAGAAGGACAAAGTTTCACAAACAAATCCCAAATTGAAGAGGATTTCTACAATCAGGCGTGTTTTGAAAGCGGAGGAGTAGTAATGCAGTAATCAGTGTATCTCATGAAATGTAAAAAAAAAGAGTCACGAACATGTGTAATAAAAGGGAGGACACACACCTCCTCAGGTTTTGTCTTCTCTCTCCTGCTCTCCTCGAGGGCCATCTGCAGCCTCAGGTCGTCACCTCTGCGCAGTCTTTCTTCCTGCCAATCACACACACTGTGATGTCAGCAACCTGAGACCCACAACCTCAGAAAGATTAAGGCTCAGTTTACAAATTGAAAAGCTTAATCGGTGGGAATGGAGGTTGAAAACCTGAATAATTAAAATATGATTACATAAAACAATTAAATCTTTCTTTTTTTTTTTTTTTTTTAACACACCTTATTCTCAACGTTTTTGGTAAGAAAAATTGGACCAAAACTTTAGTGCACTTTCAAACAGGAATAATGATCATCCAAAGAAGCAAGGGCACCAAAAAGCAAAACTGAGATGTGTTGTGGCAAGGAGGTTAGGACATGGCTAGGATGTGAATCCCACTGTAATCAAAAAGAAAATCTAAAGTTTAATTGCAGTTTCCACCAAAGCAGCTCTTTAGAGGCAGAGACAGCTGCAGAAGCAGCTGTGGTTACTTTGTTTGTTGACACATGCTGTCAGTGTGATTATTTAATGGAAACTGCTGGTTGGTTTTAATCTGTAAGTGCTGCTCCTGGTAAAACACCGAAGAGGAAAGTACCCGTCCTTAGCTTAGTCTTTAACATAATAGAGTTTCTTTATCATCCAGCCTACCTCGAGCAATAAAAGTTAAAATAACAAAGAGGGTGGAAGTGGACGAGGCTTTACAAAACTACAAACCATTCCTTTAAAAATGACCTGTGCTCTAAGATAAAGTCAATAAGCCACTGTCTTTGATAGTCATGAGTCTACAGACTAAACTAATCTTTTTAGACAGAACATGCAGAAATCAAACCTTTTGTTTACAACAAGCAAAAACTGAAGAAAAAAGAAAAAGACAAACCAGCAGGTAAAGAAAAGTGAACACATCAAGTGAGAATATAATTGAGTGCATGCCGACAGAGACAGGAAGTGAGAGGAAAAAATAATCAGTGTCTTTAAAAAAAACAACTAAGTGTTCAATTTAGTAAATGATAATACATATTTTGCCAATGCCATGCAAATTCACCAATTTCATAAGAGTCTGTAATTTCTGTTTGTCATTTCTGTGTGCCAACTTTTATGCAGTTTTACACGTCTTGACAAGGATTTGAAAAGCACCTGGCACTCTTAAGGTTGTAATCACTTTGAAAGAGTGCCACACAGTACAGCACACTGAATTATGTCGAGAGTATTACAACGACCTGATGCAAATTTGTTTCATGAAGAAGATTTCTTGAGGAAAATCACAAATGAAATATAAGGTGATGTCAATTATCTTGATTGATTGATGTGTGTTTGAGGAATTCCAATTGAAAGAAAGACAGATGACTGGTTGGCCAGTCAGCCAGTCACACTCTCTGCCCCTGACCTTTTGTAGCATCTCTTTGCTGAGTGTGAGAGCATAGCGGAGCTCTGCGTCCTCCAGAGGGTCTTCACTAGTCTGGGGGAGGTCAGGTGTCAAATGGTGAGAGCAAGGCTAGGTGTATGTAGTGAACAATACCTGTAATATACCTTTATGTACATACACAGATGAATTGACTACAAACTTAGCTACAGTTAGTTATAGTTGTGCTTTAATCCTTAGCGTACAGAGTTTCAATATGGCTGTTTCTGTCTTGAATAGGCTGCTTTGTGTTACCTGCTCAGCCTCTTCTTTACTCATGGCCAAAGCAAGCTGGAGCTGCAGATCTTCCTCTCCGGAGCTCTGCGGCCAGGCTTGCTCAGGGTCTGCCCCTCCAGAGTGGGAGCCCACTGACAGGCTGCCCCCCAGGCTGGGTGCTGATGGAGCTGATGAGGCTGGAGGAGGAACATATCAGCATGTGTGGTGTTAAAGCGAAACTGACTCTCAATCACTAAAATAAGAGTGATGAGACCCTTCCCTTGTTTAAAGTAGTGTAGCTTTAACTTTGTGTAGACCCTGTTACGTTAGCCATCTCACCACTGGAGGTCTGTGCCATCTTCTCTTTGGTTTTGAGGGCGTGGATTCTCTCCTCTCGTAGTCTCTCCTCATCTTTCAGCAGTGTCACCAGCTGTTTGGCTTTCTCTCGCACATTCACCCCCTGGAAAAAACAAATATAAAAACACTTAAATGTGCTGAAAATGAAAGCACCATTCAAATACTAAACATTAACTGAAAACATGTAGTCACGTAAGAAGTTGAGTTATCAACAAACCATAAAAACTTTACGGCTGGCTCGGAGGTTTGCACAAGAGGTCATTAAAAGTTTATTAAAGGTTCCTGAATAAATTGCTCATAGCATGTTTGACAATGGGCCCTTGCATTCCTCAACAGTGCACCTTACTCATAAATCACTTTAACTTTCTACAAAGCTTTGTGGACATGGGCGTGTTTGTGTACCTGGTCTTTGCCATCTCTGTCTATATACTGGAAATCCTTGAGGGTCTGAACCGCGTAGATATTCTCTCGGCACTGTTGGGCAACACGTTCTGAACCCGTCTTGATCAGGTACTCCATAAGAGTCATAGCCTGGTAAACATAAATGACACAACCAATGACCAAAAGTATACTCAGTTTTGTCACATTAATAATATGGATCTGATTTTGGATACATCCTGTTGAGAGAGTATCATTACATAACTCTGCATACTGTAATATTTGTTCAACAATTACTCACATCACAGACACACACACACACACACACACAAACCTTGTACACATGTCTCCAGTTCTTGCCGTGATCATTGAGGCGTTTCCACACCATGCTCATGATTTCCGAGAAGGCCACTACATTGTAGGTCAGATCAGCGATCTCTGACATAAGAGAGCTGCTGGGGCCCCACGGGTCATTGGATGTCGCCTCTCTTACCTGGAAAACAACACAGCAAGAGAACAACTTGAATTATCCTCCATCAATACTGTCACTGATAAGAATAATTCAAGTGTGACAAATTAACAATCCACATTGTTCTAAGTTGCAATGCAAACTCAATCATGATAAAAGCTGGAATAATGAATGGATAATTTGATTAAGCCATTATGTGTAATGAGGGGAAAGACTGAAGAGGTGTGTCACAGTAATATTAGATTATTAGCATGTATACTAACTCATTATGTCCTCTGCCCTGCAGAGATACATGAGCTAAACTGAAGCCGTGGACATATGGAGGGTGTGGGTGTAGAGAGGGAGAAAAGCTGAATAAGCAGAGGGACACACAACCTTGATTTCAGCCTCTGAATAGTTGTGGACGATGTTCTTTACTTGTCGCCGTAGCGATGAGGTCGACATGGCAACGGTCTGGCCGTCGAGTTCTGTTGCAATCTGAACAGCAGGTGGAGAAGACGTGTTGTAAATTATAGTTAGTACAAACAGCAGCAGGGGAAAGCACATTGTTATTTCAAACAAAGACAAGTGATAATAACACTATTAAAAAACTGCAAGATGATTAAGAGTTAAAAAGACTGGATGTGATGAATAGGAGAATGAATGAAAGAGGAGACCTTGAGAAGAACAATCAGAGTGTAAAAGGTGGTGTCTGCACCAGGAGTAAGTCTTAAATCATGTGACTGCTCATGCACACCTGTTACACGAGAATGGTGCAGAATAAGGGTCTCTCCTTTTGGTGTGTCTTTGTTTCTTTCTGGCTGGTGAGCCACTCATTCACGGAGCGCTGTGTCTCAGTTTGTGTGTTTCTTCCCGTGGCAACATTGGGTCTGAAACCAACGGCGTAGGGAGACTGAAACTGAGGAGCAAGATTGAGATTAACATTGAGAAAAAAAGAAGCCATACTAATGAAAGAGACTAAATCTAAATCACAACAGACAAAAAAAAAAAAAGGTTAAAGTTAACATGAGTGCTATTTCTAAGGAAGTCATTATTAAATGAGGACAAAGGAGATATTCAGCAACAGAAATCACATGATTTGTTGCTGATCCACACACGGCTCATAGTCAATTTACAATTTATATACTTAATCTTTCTTATCAAATTCAAGGCTCTTTGACTTTAATTCCAGATGAACAGAAAATTATGTTTTTAATGTCCTTGGAATGAGCAGGTAGTGTTAACAGACTTATCCTGCAACGATTAAAGCAAGAAGGATGAAAAACAGTGTGGTTGTTTAAAATATATTTAAAAAAACATCCTTGTGTGACTCTCTTCATTTGATACAGAGGGTTACAAAGATTTAGACGAGTCTCACGTAGCCAAACATTTTAGGACTAAGGCACGCAGAAGAACACGTTAAATTAGTGACTCATTGAAGAGAAAGACATTAATACCTTTGCATTTGAGAAAATCTGAATATCAAGCACAATGGTCAAATCAAGTTATTTGACAGCGTCATGGAAGGAATAACTGATCTCGTTCTGAAAATGTATACAGCAAAAAGCGAAATTAATCTAATCCACGTAAAAAAAATGGCCCTATAATTGCCATCTATGTTACATCCAGTAGGTTGAGAATTAAACAACAACTGATTACTAAAAAACACTTTAAGGGGTCAAAGCTGGTCATGCTTTGAACCCAGCAACACTGGGTAAAGGCTTATTGCTCAACATTACCGGGTAACTGTGTAAGTTTGATGTTTGTCAGCTATCATCAAGAGGTCAAGCGTACAGTGAGCAAGCTACTAACAAACCCTGAACAACTGACAAGAAAATAAAACCTTTGTTTGGTGCAACAAATGAATCCTAACTGGTAGCTGAATTTGACATAAACATCATGAACTGATGCTAGCTGCTGCTGCTGGTGTTCTGGCATGCAGAGAATGATTTTGTGGCACAATATTGGATCCCTCGGTACCTACTAAGCATTGTTTGTATATGATTGCTTGCACAGCAGGCTGAAATGTTGCTGACTAGATGCATCCTTTCACTGCCACAATCTGCAATTTCTCACCAAATAGATCCACGCTCTCTCTCTCTCGCTCTCTCTAAGGCCATTTCACCGAGCAACAATGGGAAGAAACAGTATAAACTCCTCCTTTCATGTGCGCACTTAAGTTTGCTGTCCACACCTACTTTAAGAGAATTCTGTTAAAAAGTAACTATCCAGTTCCAGATTCATCTGTTCTTTAATAACACTAAATTAAGATCACTGCTCAAGTGGTGCATGTTCCTCTCTCTGGATACACAAACTTAGAGGAGATATTCGAGAAGTCAGAAGCATCGCCTGAAGATCTATTTCAAACAAAGAATTATGGGACGAACCAGAGCAGGAAGGTGCAATCTCTTTACGAAGAAAGATGATAATTCAATCTGATCCCTTCATGAACTTTCCTCAAAGTAGGTAAAACAGGCACTTAGAGGCTTAAGTAGGCTGCTACATTCTTTCCCATGGCTCCTGCAGTCCTGTCTGACTCTATACCATCAGCTCTGATATGCAGGACAATCTAAGAGTTAGGGCTGTTTAATTATGGTAAAAAGCGTAATCACAGATATTTTTGATGGATATTGAGATCACGATTATTATGATAACTCGTTGATTTTAAACACAGACATCACGTTCAAAAACACAATAATCATCATATATGAATAAACACACATGTTATTACTTTTATTTTACATTTTATCTATTAATTTGGTCATGTTCTTTTCGTGTCAGGTTTAACATAATCTTTGGCAAAACTTAAAATCAAATCAATGCTTATGCTGAAGACACAAGTTGCATTGAAAATAAACACATGCAGCATGGCATACTTTTCTAAATTAGTAGGTCATACAAATATGAGACCATGTTGCATAACGTGACATTAGGCAACCATTACAGAAGTCAGTACAGACACTCTTGAATCTCTGTACCAAAGTACAGATAACTAATCGCAAACTTATCTCTGATAAGGGACCTCACATGCCTTTTGTGCATCAGGCTTTCTTTTGGGCCGAATGTAATCACAACCTCTGATACACAAGTTTATATGAACCCCATTTCTGTCCTGTTTGACTGGAAACTACACAACCCCTTCATCGTGTCCTCTGACAGCCTTACAAAAGACACAGATAACTAGTTCAAGCCAATAAGGACTGATTGTGAATGAGCTGTTTTAATGAGATATTTAGTCAACATAACTTGTTCCTGAAGAAGTGAACCCACATCCTGTTATCCTAAACAGAGATACTACTCTCTCTGTCACACCTACCAAGTTAAAGAGAGCACTAAACACTGCCAACCAAACATCCACCTGAAGCTTACTAACAAACTCTTTGACACACTGAAGATTCAGGAGTTAATGTGCAGCCTGACATTACACAACACAAGTAATGTCAGAGCACACTTGAGTCAAAAAGTCTGCAAAAGAGAAGTTTAGAAGAAGAAATAACTAGCATCTGCATCTGTCAGTTTACTTTGGGCACTTAATAAGTAAACTCTGCCACTTTCAGGACACACAATGTGAAGTGTAGTTGAGCACTGTGACAGGAGGGTGAAGTCTAATACAGGTTGCAGGAGGTTGTTACTAGCTCCCAAGTGGCTGTCAAACTTACTAAACGTCAACCAAGAGGTGATGTTCTCGTCACAACATTGAACCCACAGCAGACTGCAGTCGTCATTTAAAGTTAACAGATTAAATAAATCACTTGCTGCTGCTGCTGCTGCTGCTAGAAAAGATTAGCCAGCTAGCTCGCAAGGCAGCTGTTAGCTTGCTAGCTCCTTCCAGTTAGTTCGCATCTGGCAACATGACTGTACAGTCTTTAGTGAGGACACACCCTGCAGCGGGACAACTGTGAACGCACACGCTTGTTTTAAGAGCCAACATGTCAAAAAAAACACAGGCAGCGAACAACAATATATATATATACAAATGAAGTGTGTACTGACCCTGTTGTAGCCTGAATGTACGAGGAGATGGCCGAGCTTCCGCTTCCGTTCTCGACGACAGGAAAGACCGCACCCCCCTGTAGCTTTGTTTTCCTAGGTTGGTAGTAGCAGGCTCATGAATAATGGGACTGATTATTTAAAAAAAAAAAAAATATATATATATAATCTAAAGTCCCAAGTGATAGCTGTATAAAAGAACATTTTCAATCCGGAAGAGAGATAATTAAAGTGAGTCACCTCCCACTGTCTCTGTAAGGGGAAGAAATCACATCCTCTTTTCTTGTTTGTTTGTTTGTTTGTTTGTTTGTTTTATTTGGATCCCCTAAGCTATTCTTCCTGGGGTCCGCAGTTTGTATTGTGACAATACATTTTACAAATTCACATGATATATTATTATTTTCACACTGCACAAACATTACACAACATTTCTTCAATAACTAAAAATAATAGACAATTGACATAAATGAACAAAAAAAAAAACCCAAAAGAAACAGACAAACACAGAGGCATCCGTCTGATTTACAGCATCTAAGACAGGGGTGGGCAACTGGCGGCCCCCATCAACCCTCAACGTGGCCCTCAGGTCAATTTTTACACATCAATTCATCGGGAACATGAAGAAAACATGACAAAATCTGCCATGAAATCATGAAAACCAGAATTATGTCCATAATTATATTTGATCACTTGCATATGTTGAGTTAAATTGGAGACATAATTGACTGTAATCGTTTTTGTATACTACAATTTGGCCCCCTGGCAGTTAGAATTAAATGAATGTGGCCCTTGCCAACCAAAGTTGCTCATCCCTGATCTAAGACATAACATGGTTACACAAAAAAAAAGGCCCAGTAGTCCTAACAGTACTGACTAAAGTTTCTCTGTAGATAATGTTCTGTAAGACTTCTTTTTAAACTGTATACAGTGCTTTGGTGTTTAACATTATTTGTTCTTACATTGTTCTGTATGTTACTGAACGTCGAGATGCTGATGTTCTTGATTTAGGAAGAGTAAAACAACCTCCCACAGCATGCCTTGTTGGATAATGGTGTGTGTCTGTACTGAAAGATAATCTTCTGTACAAGTTAAAAGGAGTTTTTGTTGTTATCATGTTCTGTAAGAAAACCATGAGTGAATATAATAACCTATGTTTAACTTCCAACCAAGAGAGGCATTCGTGCATCTTACTGACATTTGATCTGAAACCACATGAGAGAGCTACTCGTGCAGCTTTATTCTGGACCAGTTGCCATTTTTCCTTGAGGAACTCCATGTTTCACAAGTTTCACATCTGGAAAAACTTCCATTAAAATACACCGACTGCTTTCTATCAGTCAAATAACTTTTCATCCACAGTCATGCAGTTTGAGAAAAACCATAACATTTAAATTTTTCCAACACTAACTTATGATCAATAAAATCAAAAGCTGCAGAGAAATCAAGCATAACTCTATATCCTTAGACCAGTCATCAACCATCTGAGTCAGGGCAGTGGCTGTAGAGTACTTTTCTCTGTCTGCATGCTGAAAATGTGTTATTAAATTATTATTTGAAAAATAAACCTGAATTTGTTCACAGACAATTCTTTCCATTATCTTACCCAGAATTGGTAATAAACTTATTGGTCGACTATTGGAACCAGAGAACGGCTTTCTTTTATCTTTTGGTATTAGGAAAATTTTTGACATTTTCCATGATTGCAAACATACATTTTCATTAAAACATTTGTTTATGATGTGTGCAACCATAGGATCAATTATTGAAGCTATAGGTTTTAGCAGCTTGCTGTCAAGATAGTCAATCCCTGGTGGTTTATTTTCACAATTCATAAGAAGTAATTCCACTTTAGCAACACTGATATTCTTAAATTCAAAGCTTCATGTTTTACTTTCCATTATCTTATTAATTCATTTGTTTGATAGATCAGTCTACTGTGGCTGTGCTGTATTTTTAAGTTTGTCTCTCTTGGTTATGAAATAATCATTTAAATGATTTGCTATGTCTTTTGGTTTAGTTAAAAAATCACCTTCAGTCTTTATATGTGGAAGTACAAGTGGATTATTTTATAACCTCAACCTAAACATCCATGTGTGAGCAGTAGTGATGAGAAGTAGCCTATCTTCACTTAAGCACAATTCTGAGCTAGGCTACATGAACTCCACATGATAACTTCCATACTTTTCTTTTCCACTTTAATTCAAGGTATGTAGGCCTATTGAATATTTAATCCACTAATTATTTGACAGTTTTAGTAATTAGACATTAGTATGTCACAGATTAGCCTATACATATAGGGAAACATGTAAAGAAGATACAATTCACAAGAGTTAACTTGTTAGAATTTGAAATTAAATCCCGAATTTCCTCTCTTTTCCCTCTTTTCCCCTCTGGGGATCAATAGAGTATTATCCTATCCTAAATTAGCGACGTTTACTTGCCACAAAGCGTTTAAAATTGTACTGTATTACTTCTTGTGGGGATACCCGGGTTCACACTTTGTAACATACAGCCTAGTGGTACACACATGCACCAACAGGAGCAATAGATGTGTGCTACAGGAGAGATGTCAGAGTGAGGGGCTGCATATAGAGGGCCCTTAAACGCTACTGGGTGTATGTTCAAGGGCTCCTCGGCAGGAATTGAACGCCCTCTCCAGCAACCCCACCAATTCCAACACTTTGGTCCAGACTGGGACTTGAACCCTCTGGTTCCCAACCCAAGTCCCTATGGATTGGACTGCTATATCTGAATACCTTTACCAACACTGAAACTAAGACGTGCTAAAAATACAATTCTGATGATATCCTGATAGCTTATTACTTTTGTTTTTATTTTAATTATTTTTTAGACTGTTATTCATCATCTGTTTATTTTAACTGAACATTGATTAGTATTTTTTGATTTAGGGGACATACCACAATGCATCTGGTTTTAATAGGATTTAGGTTTTTATATCTTAACTTTACATGCTTTTAAAATGTTGCCCGAGGTTCAAATGAGATATTGTCATAATCTGAAAGCTGTAAACACTTGATATGTTCTTTAATGTTTTAAGAATCATTAATAATAAATATTATCGGAGCAATCAACCGTATTTTGAAATAATCCCTACCCACATGGTTATATTTTCTCTTTATGTTTGTAATACACTTGCTTTAGTTGGGGAGTATAGAGAAAGATGCCATAAAGTTGAAATACCTTTTCTTCTTCATGTAATGTAAACATTATAAATCATAGATTCTCCATGATACTTTTAATATTAGGTGGCTGGTTGATTACCCACAGTGTTTTTCTGTTTGTTTGTGGTCTTTCCTCTCTAATGCAATAGCACAGAACTTCCACAGAGAGGCAATGTTGAACTACCTCCAGCATGAAGTGGAACCAGACTGGCCTCCCTCCTCAGTGGAACCATAAATAAAACCCGGTAAGCCCCGTAGATCAGAACAACACAGTAACAGCTGGCATGCATGTGTGGTACAAGCTCCCCCTTTTATCCAACATCCCTTTATCCTTTTATCTTGGCCCTCTCTCTGGGGAGGAGGGAATGGAAGAATCAGTCCAGTGTGACTCAGGCAAACTATTTAAGTGAAATGCTCTGTTGCACTGCTTTGGAAACGCTAATCTCATGTAGATAAACAAAGAAATGCAGGTGATTATGACAGGCATAAAAGCTATTTTGACAGGTGTTGTTCCACTGTTATGTCACAGAGAAACTTTATACAGCATTTCCTTTATGCTCACTGCCTGCCCATGCTCTGCTACAGGACAATATAGTTTTAGTTCATATGTTTCATGAATATGAAAACAAACAAAGACTCCGAATCAAAACTTTAAAATGATAACAGGAATTCAAAACCTCCAACTAGTTTGACATATTGAAGCTCTTAAAGTCATAAAGGAACAAAAACAATGTTTTATGGTTTTAAATCATTTTGAATTCTATTTTGTTGGGTTATTGAGAAAATATTTGTTAGTTTAATATGTTAGATAATGAGTTTGTAAATGAGACAGTTCATTAGATCAAACAAAAGGATCCAAATTAACTAACAGATAAATTATACTTTTTGGGACTGAAATCTAGTCCAGGTCAAGTCCATAGATCTCTGTGCTTCTATATGCTGACTTTTACCTCAAACTTATCACATGATGTTCTTGGAGTCTCAATTCCTCTTTACTGAAATGAGATGAGATGGATGGTTGGTTTTTTTCCTCACTTTTTACCATATTCAACTTGCATAATTTTCTTATGTACAGTTTGTATGTGCAATATTGAAAGAAGCCTGAAACATAACAAACATAAACATAAAATAAGGCTTATTATGGGATTATATGCTAACTCGTCAAAGTCATGTCAGTTTCCTTTAGAATGAAGAAAAAAATACATTAGTTGTAATTTTTAATTTGTTAAAATATTGCACCAAGATTGTATCTTAATATTTATGAAGTTTATTCCTCATATACCCCACCCCCCCCTATCATTTCTAAATAATTGAAGTTGTGAAATTCTTCACTCTCTTAAAAAGTTTGTTATTTCTATCACTGCATCATTCTTACACCACAAACCAGGGAATTGCGCTAATAGTTAAGGACAAACATATCTGGCTTTTGTGAATGAAATATAATGTCACTTGTATTCTTCTTGTTTAATGAGAATAAAGAGATGATAAATCTTTGTTTAATCTCTTTGTTTAACAACTTTAGATCTTATATATTTAAGAGCTAAATAGAGAAGATCATGCTGTCCCTGAAGTGAACAATTCCAAGTCGTCAAAATTACACAAAAATAAAGAAGTGTAACCATAAAGTGAACATTTAAATTTTATAACTTGCACTCATCTGTCAGCAAAGTAATCCTACAAGTGTGTTCATGTACATGTGTGCATGGCCCCTGTGTAGCACATGTCTGCCTGTGTATTATGTACACTATGCATATGCGTGTCTTGAACCCTATATTTGTGAATGAAAGTGACACTCTCTTGGCAATCAGTTCTGTGAAAGTGCTGAAAGTTGTATTTTGGTGGTGGAGTTGTTACAGCAGGGGCTGAGGGACCCTGCAGTGCAAGCACAAACATGGAAGTAGGAATTGGTCTACGTCTGACCGCATGATCACAGCCGCGGTTGTAACCCAACCAGCCGTTGTGATAGCAGCCAGTGTTTGTGTTGCATAACATACAGCCATCAAGCCGTTGGCAATAATAGGCCTGTAGTATGTAGTACCAGGGGATATCTGAGTAGACAGAAAGAGGAGGAGGGTGTCGAGACCAGGAGAAGAGGCTTACTGCTTGACTCTCAGCTGGTGCTAAGTGGGAAACAGAACTGGCATGCAGACAGCAAAGTACAGAATAAAGGAATTTAACAAGGTGAGGTTTCAGCTGTTAAATACGTCAGTCTAGGATGTGAGGACATAATATGCACATGGGAAAACATGAAGACCAGAGAGTGGAAGATGAGGGTGGAATGTTTGTCTCATGTCTCAGGATGATGGGGGAAAAAAACCCTGAAGATGGCTGAAACAAGAGAGCAGAGGATGCATTGAGGAAACTAAATGTGGATGGATATATTTATATAAATATCATGTGACAAAAATAACAGGCAGCACAAGAAGAAAGGGCATTACTAGACAATAAAAGGGTCCCCAAGAGGCATGCTTAACTGTACCCGGTAATCCCAGTAAGAGTGTGGGATCATGGTGTACAGCTTGTTGGCCTATTCCGATCATTCCTGCATACCTGTTGATTAAATGAGGAATCCTATACTCTGGAGGATGGCGGGGGGTTTCACTGACTCAGACAAGCTGAGAGGGTGAGAAAGAGAGAGAAAGACATGGAAAGAAAAGGGGGAGGAGGAAAGAAGTGTGTGTGTGTGTGTGTGTGTGTGTGTATGTGTGTGTGGTGGGGGGGTATATTTATGAAATTGAGTGACAGCTGAGAAGAAAGGAGGCAGGGGGAGCGATGGGTTAATGTGGTCAAGCTGATTGACAGATTGGAAATGGTGGGATATTAACACTGCTGTGTGTAGTGAGAGGAAGGGAGGGGGGATACATGACAGAGAGAGAGGTTTGACATGCCTCATAGCTGGTTCACTCATATTTGCCAGCATAGCAGAGAGAAAGAGAGAGAGAGAGAGAGAGAGAGAGAGAGAGAGAGAGAGAGTTGGCACAAGAATAGGAAAAGAGAGGGAGTGAGTTCAGTGTGTGTCTCCTGGGGAGAAGCAAACAGTTAATATCCAGGTCTCCAGTAAACATCTATGAGCCTCCTCTATAAAACAGCTGCTGTGCTACTGCATGGAACCTCGGGGCAAAGGCAAAATTAACAGCTTCAATTGAAGTGAAATTATCAGTCTGACTGAGGACACAGAGTTGAGCTCCAGCACAGTAGCTTGTTGCAGCAGCTTACCAGGAGTGTCAGTCTTTAGATGCTGAACAGAGCAGAGACAAAGTGAACTGAGATCAACCAACAAACAGAAAATGACAGTAAGTATTGCACTTCATCCATGCAAAGACACAACCTCATTCAAATCCCTACATGCAAACTTCAATTAGTCTTGTGAGTTGTTCATAAAATTGTCATATTGTGTTGTAAAAAACAAACAAAACCATTGGAAACATGCATAAACGCAACTTCTTCCTATGCACATGGTTTGGGGTTTTATTTGTCTTATATTTATATACTCCTGCAACTATACTGTATGATGAGATGACATGCAAGTATGACACAAATGCATTGTCGTATTTTATTGCAAAATTACTCCGATGCTGCAAATGTTCAGTAGATGATGTAAGGGAGAGGATTTTCAGCTTGTTATTGGGAGCACTTGCGCTGAACTTCAAATTTGTTAATAGTATTAGCTTATGCAGAGCCCTCATCAGAGTCTCAGATCAATTGTCACTCCAAGTGACATTTTTAAATAGGATTGAATAAATAATCGCCTCTGTTTATAGGGACAAGGAAAATATCGGAATGCTTCTGCTGCTATAAATTGATGCCCCTGTAGTGAGTGATGACTTAATGAATCCATAATTCAAACGGTTATCAGGATCAAATTTAATTGCCGGACTTTTCAATTCACAATAAATTGTATTCATTTCCTTTTGGCGCTCCAGTGGAATGGAGAGCAGCCGGAGAATGTAATAATGTGATAACCTGAACATGTGTTAACAACTGCGTGCAAGAAAGCCAACAGAGTATTAGAATCAAGAGTTAAACACTGTGCTTTGAGTTCAAAACTGTGAAAATGAGTAGACAAACTGTCATTGACAGTATATATTTTTATATTTTACCATGTATATATGTGCATGTAAGTTGATACAATCTTATTTCCCATAGGATTCTCTGTAGAAACGCAGTGTTTCCAGTTTTTAAAAAAACTCTAGGTTGGAAATAGTCTCAGATGCAGCTTTCAATTAATCTGAGTTCTCTTAGTGTCTGAAAAGTTTATGTTCTGGAGATACAAACTGGAGCATCAATGGAGCAGCTAACATTGGTACATTAAGCTTAAAACAGGCCATTATTAATTATTTTAAACTACAGCTGTTTGGGAAATATCTGTGCCAAGCAGCACTCTCAAACTGGTTGAAACCTGCTGTCTTATTTTTGGCTGCACATCAGATCCATTTGTCAAAACTGATATCCATTCATTTTGCAATTTGATGTTGTGGCATTACACAGACAGCATGATGCACCATTTGACTTCTTATTACCATCAAAGAATTCATTTTCAAAATCTATGGAAATAATCAGGCCCATTATTACATTTGTTTGGGGAGGTAGCAGGTATACTTTAATTAAAATCAATGTGGTTGCCCACAAAGCCTAGTTATGCAACATGTGGAAGGTCAAAAGTAAAAATATGTTACCCTCCTACAATCTCTTTATCTTTTGTGTAAAGCTCTGTGTGGTAACAGTTCACAGCCTCACTAATTGGCGGAGGTATGCGATTGAAGATCCGCTTCAAAGGAGTCTTCATAGACGTGACAGTGAGACATGTGTATGACGTTGGAAACTTAATGACAGCGCCAAATGTTCTGATCGACCTGACAAGACTCCATGTTGACGTCTAAAGTTTACTCCATCTATAGAACAACTGAGATCATGTAGGATCTGTAGAAAGTACGCATAATGTTTCTACTAACTTCTATAAGGAATAGGAAAGGGAAGCATGTGCAGAAATGCTCTTGTCCCCCAAGAGAATAGTATCAGTAACATGTATCTGTTGCCATTAATGGGATATATGAGATTTAAAGTTGCAAGTTGCTTCTTTAAGTAGCAGGTTCAGGTAACACGTCATCATGCCTCAGAGTCAAACTTCATTCTGTGAAGATATCCATCTTGAACATCAACACATGCTGCTCAGCCTCTGGATCTCTTTTCAGTTGACACCACTAAGCCAGTCATCATCTTAAGGTATGTGCAAAGACACTAAATATGGTGGATTTGTTTGTGCGTTTGTGTGTGACAGGCTGCAGCAGCTCAGGAACTTGACGAGCGATGTTTCCTGTCGGCACAGTCCATGCCCAGTCTGAAGGTTTCTGAACACTACCAGGTGGTGAAGCTCCTGGGAGAGGGATCCTACGGAAAGGTCATGTTAGCAGTACACAGAAAGAGAGGTTAGTGCAATACTCTAGGTGAAAGGTCAAGGTCTCAAGAGCCTGTTACATCTATTACATATTGCACATAGTCAGTCTTTAGGAGCGTGAGTGTGAAATTTCCATGCAGAAGTTTAAAATGTTTGATTAAGCTTCCTCTGCTTGATTTCAAATGGAATATCTCCTCATCAGCAGATTTCTCTCTGGCTCAAGTTTCTCGCTAATGAAGAAACTACATATGTATGTTCATGCCGGGTTGGACCAGTGCTGTAGTATAGTGACGAAAGATTTGTCTTTTCATAGTGTTCACTTAACCTTTTGAGCCTCTGCTGCTGTAATGAAGTACTTTACTGCATTCTCTAAGATAGAGTTGCGTCAACTGGGGTGTAGCTGTGTAACAGAGTCGGCCCAAAGGGAGAGTTATATTTGTTCACAGTGTTAGTGATGGGCAACTCTCACATACCATTAATGATGACAGCTTTTTGACAACATCTGATTAGAAGTTGTAGCATTTAGCAAATGTTATCCCTCTTCCTCCAACCCAGGAACCCCTATGGCTCTGAAGTTCTTCCCTCGTCGGACTACCTCTCTCACCTCTTTCCTGCGTGAATATAATCTCTCTCTTTCTTACTGCACCCATCCGTCTCTGACACGGGCCCTGGGGATCTTCTTTTCCACTCCGTCCTACTATGTCTTTGCCCAGCAAGCTGGTCTTTATGGTGACCTCTACAGTGTGATAGTGTCCGAGGTCAGTTTGGCTGATTTGTGGCATGAAAGTGATGTTAAAACCTTGCATGATATGTCCACCAAAGCCTTTGGCAAACTGTTTCTCGTGAATAACGCTTTGAGAGTGTTTTCTATAATTTCAGCAGAAGAAAATCGTGCATTAATGTTTGATTGGGTTGCAACATATCAATACCACCTAGATTATGTTTTTTATCACCACAAAGGCAATTTTCATTAGAATAAACTTCAGATTCCAAAAATGTTTTCGCTACAATATCTGCAACACAACTTTCCCTCCTAGCAACACATGCATAATTCATTATTTTGTTGTCTTGTTTAGTCACAACACTTGGTTAAAGTTAGGGAAAGAATTTGAAAGAAGGAACATTTAATGAAGACCAGAATTGTTCCCTGACCTTGATTGATTGAAAAATGTTGCCTGTTAGCAAAACCCATGCAGTGAAACAAATGAGCAGTATACAAATGTAATTTCGGGAAGGTTGAAGACTGGCAGCTGCAGTACAAACAAATCAGAGTAAACTGCTGCAAACAGCTCAAAAGCTTTGTACTTGAATTCTGCTGTGTGGCCTTCTGGTTATGCCTGCATGGAAAATGAACCTGCTGACCAGGAGCTTTCATTCCTGTCAGCAAAAACTGAAGACATGCTTGATAAAGGCTTTCAGCTGGCCTACTTCTGTGTCACTGCCAGTAACATAAGAGAGTGGTGATAAGCACAAGTGGGAGTACATGAAGTTAAGCAGGGGTTTCAGAGAGTGTCACCAAAATGCATAGTGGCAGAGTTGTTGTGCCAAACGTGTACCGTTCTAACAAGAATGCTTTCCATCGGTCATCTGGTGAAATGTGCTGGCATGTTATGGAGAGCCATTTTTTGTTTTTCATCTATAACTCAGGTGGTCTTTCTGTTATAGATTGGGGTTGATGAAGAGTGTGTTCAGAGGGTGATGTCCCAGCTGAGCGGGGCCGTTACACATTTACACTCCCTGGGCTTTGTCCACCGTGACATCAAACCCGAGAACATCTTCCTATGTGACAGTTCCTGCCGTTGGGTCAAACTGGGGGATTTTGGCCTTGCCCGGGCAATCGGCTCCACCGTCCGCGCTGTCTGGTACGAGTCACCCTTTTGCACTCCCGAGGTCGAGCCTGCCAAGGCAGCTGAGAAGGAGATGGAGAGGAGGGTATGTGAGGGGACAGAAGAGGAGATGGAGGACATTTGGGTGACAGTAGAGCCCTGTATTGACAGCTGGGCCCTCGGTGTGCTCGTCTTCTGCCTCTTAACTGGCTGCTTCCCCTGGGAGGAAAGCACCCATGATGACCGCGGCTTCTGCAGATACAAGGAGTGGTTTGACCATGAGGCTGGAAAGGAGGAGAAGATCAGTGATGGTGAGTGGACTGCTGAGGAGGACAGTTACACAACTCTGAAGGAAAACCACAGGGACAACCCTCGTCCTTCACAGTTTGAGGGCCTCAGCCCACTAGTTATGACCCTTTTAAAGGAGCTCCTCAATCCCCAACCCAAACTCAGAGGAAGCCCAGAGGAGATCTTGAGTTACCTCGGAGGGCCATGGCTGATGGAGACAGAAAGGGAGGAGATGAGGAAGGCAGAGGAGGCAGAGAACGAGGCCAGAAAAATAAGACAGGGGGGAGGGGTCGCAGAGGAGCTGGTGAGGGAAGGAAGAGGGGAGAGATGAACTTTGTCTTTATTATATTTTTTAATATATAAATTCAACACAAATATACACCGTAAGGTGCTTTATTTTTAATACTTTTTTTTTATAAATAGTGTTGCCATAGTGATCCTTTACTTCCTTTGTTATACATATTCCAGAATGTGTGTATGTTGACTTGTGTGTCCTAATGAAAACAATCTTTAGATAAGAGAGATGTTTTGAATACAAGCTGTTTTATAGTGCCTTTAAAAATGTATTAGAATTATTGTCTGAATAAAATAAAATCCTTGTTTTTTGTTAACTTCCTTGTCAACGGGTTTCAAATACAGTGTCAGATTAGCTTTTACTTAAATAATACATAAACATGTGTCTCTTATCGCAGAATAAGGACAAATGGCATTTTTGGATGGTACCCGAGGCTTGGTGTAAATACAATTTCATCATGGAGTCTAATCTTTGAGAAATACCAAAACACTGTGCTGTCAGGTGAATACATAAACTTTCTCTCTCCTATTGTAAGTTCAAGGGCCAGCTCAACCTGACCTCAGTGTTTCTATACTTTGCTGAATGAACATCGATGTTTCTGATGCAGGACAGAAGGAAATCACAAGACATTTTTTATCTGTTGAAGTTATACTGTCAGGAGTTTTTTCACTGATCTTGATCACAGTTTAAGAGTTGCAAGGATGTGTCTTCCCACTGTTTTGTTTCTGTAGCTAAACCAAAGTTATAAAATTAAAATGTTTATCACTCAAAAAGAAGAAAATTATTAATATCAATAACATCAATTCCTTCTGGCGATGCTACAGATTCAGCCTTTAATCTTTGACTATCCAACAGTTGTGTCTGAGTGTGATACTGATGCCTCTCTATGAACTACAAACACAAACGAAAACATCAGCATTAAGATGACTGTATCTGTTTCTTTATTTTTAATGCCTGTCACTGCACCAGGTCAGGTTTCATCAGAACGATTTACAACATGTAGACAGGGGGAGCCTCTGTTTACGTTTGCCATAGTTATACTGTTAAAATACAATTAAAAGGTAAGAGGAGGCTTAAGATGAAATATTTTTTAAATGTATTGCTGAACACATTGCTTTAACAAGACAGGAACAGCAAAGAGATGAGAGGAAATGCTTTGTCCGCAGGGGACACCAAAATGTATACAAATTTAAGTTCCTCGTAGCTACTCTAATTCCTTTTAACTAAAAACACTAAATTTTGTAATAAAAACATTTAGAAATGTTTTAATAACATGTTTGATAAAGAAACACAACAATACTCATTACCTTAAAGGTTCTTGTATTAATCAGAAACATTTTGTTCTTGTACAGGTTATTTTTCAACAAACATTTCTTTGACATAAAAACATATACCCGATAATGACTTGTATAATATCTTGTAACAGTTCAACATATGTTTGAATCTGTCAAAGTTAGTGACTAATAAACAGTTATTGAGAAAGTATGAAACTGATATATCTGCCTATGGAAAGATATGACATGTTTGACGTGGGGAAGCAACAGGTGCTGCAGAACACAAGACGCACATCTATAATTGGACCGAACAATACAAGCTGATAGTGATACCATCGGGGTCTTCTTCCAAGTTTGTGCGTTGCAGACCCCTCTCACACTACCTGCAGCAGGACACACGTGGTATTTACTCGTACTGCCAACAGCTTAAATGGCCTTTATTCCAATGTATTATTTAGAAACTGGGACACATAATTCATGGACATGCTGACAGTGAAACTAACCTCACGTGAAATCTCCTCATAGGACATGTTGACCTCCGTACTGTTCATGGGGGCCACCGGTGGCCTAGATCTGTCAGAGAGGAAATGACAGGTTGAAAAATCACCTGCAGTCCCCGAAATGATAGCTTTGGTATTGCTTTGAGCAATCTGCCAAAACACATGCAGCGTTGACTTTGCTTCTACTTCAATGATTACAAAAAAGAATACATCATGCATCAGACCAACTGAATCCTCAGTTTTAACTTTTGCATTACAGTCTGCTTAATATCTCTGTTTCAATTTGGAGTGGATCCCTGCTGGTAGCAAGCTGCTAATGTGCAGTGTGGTGTGTGTGTTTGTCAGTTGGGCCAGTGCTAACCCCTGCTAAGGGCCACTCCAGATGGGTTTATAAATAGACCCCAGACCAATCTATTTACAAACCGTGCACATCACCACCTCATTCTGACTATCTGCAATTCGCTGCCCTTCAAATGTATTAATCGGGTTGCATTGGCGTCCCCGGGGCCTTAAACGGCACAATCTTATGGAACACAATGACCCATCTCGCCTTGTCTTGCTGATAACTTTTCCCTTTCTTCTGTCATGCCACTTGGGTCGTCTCTTTCCCTTTCATCTTCTCTGGTCAGACCTTCTTCAACCTTTAGAGCCTTTCTCCTTCTCATTCATTCTCTCTCTCTCTCTCTCTCTCTCTCTCTCTTCTCTCTCTCTCTCTCTCTCTCTCTCTCTCTCTCTCTCTCTGAGGACTTTCTTAGGTCACTAGTTACATGAATCAGTAAGTACTTCTTTGGTCTTAAGGTACAGTTAGTGTACTTTAAAACACTCAGTATAATCTGTGGTAACAACTGTTTTCCAGGAAACAGAGACACAAGGCTCATGTGACACTTAATGGAGGACCACAGCCTGATAAATGGAAACACATGGTGCAGACTATAGAGACAATAGAGTGCCAACACAAAGATGCTTACAGAGGTGCAAATCTGTCCATGGTTCGTGAGGACAGATATCAGGGATGATTAAAACAGGAGAAACAAGGACAGCCATACAAACAGACTGCTAATGCTTAATCAAATCTGTGCAATGACAGGAGTTGTGGCTCATTTAATCTTAAATCATGTCAGTGCTTCCAAGTCATGAGAGCCCTTCAACACTTGTGAAGATGAAAGACACACACCCTTTCAAGAAACCCGAAAGGATCAAATCTAAATTTGTAACATCGAGATTCAGATTTCAAGCCGTTATTGAGTGAAGTTCACATTGAATTCAAACATTTCCACCAAACATGAAGGTCTACATGGTGTCACATTCCCTGCCTATAAAGCGTCTCTAAAATTAATTTTACATATCGTTCTGTCTTAAAGGAGTGCTTTGTGTTTGGTAATATAAATGTGTATTATTTAACTCAGGCTGCACAGATAATGGATTGGTGGCAACCAGCTGGAAAATGAAATCTGTGGTAAATTATACCTAGATGGATATATCTGATAAAAGATTTCACCTGTCGAGAGACTGATAGCTGCAAAATCAGATACCGATACCAGACCCAGATTGATGGTCAGAGTGGAGCAAATTAAGAGTTGATATGGCAGAATGTCTGAAATGAATCCCCACAGTGAAGCAAGGGTCACCATGGCCTTATTTCCCCTGCACAAGCAACTTTCTCTGTCACCTGGCTGCTTGATATAGTTTATCTTCTTTAATGGCCTAACCAGGAGTTGGAGTGATGACTTTGATAAAGTAAAATAGACACTTCTGTAAAAACAGAAGCAGTAATAAGCAAAACTGGATATAGTTTGCAACATGACTTGAGTGGAGTTAAGATCATTTTTGTGTTAATGTCAGAGTTCAGTTGGTTTTTCAGTGCCTGTGTGTGTGTGCGTGCGTGCGTGTGATGGAATTGTTGACTTTTTAAGGACCAGAGTTATAAAGTAGTTGTGCATTGTGAGGACATTTTGGCTTTCTGCACCACTTCAAAGTGTTGTTATTGCTGGTGCACTGCACCCAAAAAATGATATTAAAGATTTATTTTCTGGGCTTTTTTTTGCCTTTATTTGTGAGACAGGACAGTTGTTAGAGTTGGAAATCAAGGAAAGAGAGAGTGGGGAATTAAATGCCTTTTCATGTTCAGATTACACAAGACCTTGCATCAAGCTGGGCTTCCAGGGTCCAAGGAAAGAATCATAACAAATAGTATACTCACATGCAGCAAAATAAAAGAAAGTGTGTGTGTGTGTGTGTGTGTGTGTGTGTGTGTGTGTGTGTGTGTGTGTGTGTGTGTGTGTGTTCATGCTTGCACTGCTAATTTTGGAAGGACTAGGATCTTAAGGTTATGATAGGGTTAGTAACACTTGTAGTGATAAGTGGTTAAGGTAAGAGGCCAGGGGGGAAAGAATCATGGGATTAAAAAAGCCAATGACAAAAACACAAAAACTGTGTCTGAGCTTACATTCCTGTCCATGTGAGGACCATAGTTTTAAACCATCATAATGACGACATTTCTCTATCCTAACTTTTTTTAATCAAAAACTTAAAGGACCATTTAGGTTTGGATGTTTAGGGCAAAATTTTACTTGTACTTCCAGGTTTTATTCTTTGTTTATTAAAGAATAATGCAATGATAAAATACATTTTTGAGTCAGTTTATTTTAAACAAATACAAACACATAATTATTTAACAAATATAAGAAGGTACTGTGAGCAGTTACTTGGGTATTTCTCTCATCTATGTGTAATATTGAATCGATATCGAAGCATTTTGATCGAATCGTGACCCAAAGAATCGAAATCGAATTGAATTGTTAGGTCGTGGACAATACAGCTCTACCGGTTACACATTTGTGTGTATGTGTGGTGTGTGTGTGTGTTTGTGTAAGTGTGTGTGTGTTTTCTTGCTCTTTTATTTAGTGTATTTTCTTGCTTAGGAAACTCACAGTACATTAAAGTAAGTAATTACAGCAGTACATTAAAAATACACGCTAGTTGATATTCATATAGCAAAACAAGTCAGGAGTGTGAGGCAGAAGTGTGCTGAGGTAAAAAGGAGGTCAGTAAGAGAGTACCGGTATGTATTGCAGAGCCCAAGCATTGGCATGCCCAAGCATTGGCATCCAACTAATAAACAAGTTGAGATATTATCATGTGTTTACTATCTGGCATGTTTTCCTGAACCATTCTGCATTGCTTCATGGCTCTCCAACCCCCTACACCTTTCTCCATTTATCTCTTCCCTTCTCTTTCCTCTCTTTTTCAGTCTTTGCCCCACTCGTCTCTACTTTCCCATGCCAGCGCAGCGTGCTTAGAGTGGCATGTTGATATGGTCAAAGGATTGATTGTGCCTCTTGGCTCTTCTCCTCGTCTCTTTTGCTTACACTGCTTCCATAAGTCAAGCTGTCATCAGGCTTGCCCGGTTGACCTTGTTAGGGACACCCCACAGACACTCACCATGGAGCCCATGTAGCCCCGATATGTCAAGAGGATGATGAGTGTCTCCGTCTTGAGCCTACTAGGCCTACCATATGGTGAGAGCCAGTGAGAGTTTTGTTGTCTGTGACTTCAGTGGAATGTGTAGCAACATTTATATTAGTCGAGTCCATTGAGGCCACTGAAGGGTCAAGTTTAACTCCCAGTGCACTCTAAGTGGTCCCAATCAAAAGGCTGTTTTAAACATAAGAACCACAGAGAAAGAGGCTCAGGAACTACAGCTTTATTGACACTTACAATTTGAATTAGAAATGCACTTCATATGTGATGGATAGCTTATATTAACTGATAATTACTCACACTAGGCAATCTGTATCGTACCTAAGCACGCTTCACCCCTAAAGTCAAGTTCACTTGACAAGTGTGAGTGCTCCAATCCGTGCTTAAGCGGTGCACTTCCTTGGCCCTGGCACGCTTGGAAGAGGTGTACTTCAGCACAGTACAGTTCATGCAAAACGTGGACAGCCTTCATTATCGACAAATCCCTGAGTGTTATCGCTGTATCTGACTAATAATGACTAAAAATAAGCCACAAAGTCAGTAACGTAGCTGTCCTGTTCTCCGATGCGCGTTCCTTTTATTTTTTTCCGTCCTCTTGTCTTTTAAACTAAGCACGCTTCATAATCCGATAAAGCCATGCATGTGTTGTATTACGACATTATGTACAAGATGCTCACGCCCGGTAAGTCCTGGAGTTGTGTGAGTGCAGGCCAGCGAGGGAATGTCTGTTATCCCTACAGACCAGTGGTTGACGTTGAGCAATTAACTAAATTAAGCAAGGTGTAATCTGGTGCAAAGTTGTTATTTTGAAAGTAATTGTGCTATTTCTACTTTGTTGGGAAAATAAATACAAAAGAGAGTCGTCTCAGCTGAGAAAACTGGATAAGTACTTTGGTCTTATCATGGAACACAAACTTTTTAGGGGTCCACGTGCTAATGCCTGTTTTCATTAGGAGGTAAAACGTGTTTGTAGAAAGCTGCACTCTTAATGTAATATTTCCACTCATTTTACAAATACCATTTTGAAGGCATAACCTGTGAAGGTACAAAATTCACTCAAGGGAATAAATAAAGAAACTGTATTTATTTATTAAATTGTTCCTAATTTAGTTTAACTTTTCAATGGATTTCTTAATATATTTTAAAGAAATTTTAAGAATCTTTTAAAGAAAAAAGTAAAACATGATTTCTGATTTTTTTAAATTCCCCCTTTTTTTAAGACAACTTTCCACAACCCAGATATATCCAACTTAGAATAATATGAAGCTTAATTCACATTGCCACTAGAGAATATTTGGTGTATTTACTTATACAAACCTTCAATCATTTATTTACCTGTTAATACATCTTAAATTGGCAGAGTAATTGATTAATCAAGTCAGCACTTATAGTAGGTGAACAAACTGTGTTTTGGAAAATCAAGTCATGCATGTTTAAAATGTGTAACAGCTGACTTGATGAGGTGAAACATGTTTAAAAGATGGCAATGTCTGATTATTACTACAGAGATGACATGGGCTGGAGTTGCTCCTGCTGTTTACGTCACAGAACAGCAGTGTAAGAGAAAACCACTGACAGGCCTCACTTAAAAGTATAATGACTCAGCATTAAGTACAGTTTCATCTCATCTCAGTTGCTTTTTTTTTGACTGACCTCTAGATGAATTGCATGTTGAAGATAAAGAACAGTGCTCCACCTGCTGGTGGTATTAATTAGTACCAAAGTCAGGCTGGAGGCCCACCTTTGTCTGATACCATTTTTGACTACCTTTTGTAAGTTGCTTTTTTTCAATTTCAGAGTTTATATGAAAAAAGTAAAAAAAGAAATAAAATAAAAAACAGAAGAAGAAACAAAACTTGTATGTAATTTTTTCTTAAATTAATTCAGTTTTGTGCTGTCTTTACATTGCTCTTTGTGTTACTTTATTTGGAAAGTTCTGTCAACAGTTAGCTAGAGCAAGAGCACCTTCCCTTTTTTGCTGATGATGAAGAAAGTTTTCCCTTATAAGACAGTGAGACATTTATCAGACAATGGAACAATAAATCTTTACTTTAAAAAATCTCCTCAAGATGAGTGTGAACAACAGAAAAACTCTTCACATTACAGACATCAGATAGCAGCTGCCTGCTATTTTCTTTCTATTTTTTTTGAAGCAGAGTAGGACAGCAAAAAAGTGAAAAGAAAGAAAACGATGATGTTAAGGAGAACGGGGAGGAGGGAGGGAGCAGGGAGGAGAGGGAAGGAGGAGAAAGGAGAGAAGACAAAAGATTCATTAAACTAAAGCAGTTGTGGACGACAGCAAAAGTTGTGAGTACCACTTTTTTTCTGCTTCTTGTTTTTTCTTTCCAAAAATTAACACATCATGTTGGAATACTCAGCACAGCATGTGCTCATGCAGAATATTTCCGATCCAAAAATTTTATGACAGGATACTTCCTAAGAGGAAGTTATTAAATAGAAAGTGTTAAATCTTGGTTGATGTTTTCACTTTAGAATTTATAGTTTTATAATATGTGGTTGCATACTGAGTTAAGTATAATCAGTAAAAAAAAACATGTCAATCTCCTAAACAAATCATAAGAGGCATGTACAGCTGAACCAAGAGTTTTCAATGTTTGGCTGCCCTCGATTATTGAAGCAGAAAATGAACCAGTTGTGACAAAATGAACAGGCTAGTGACGATCATACAGTTGGAAAGTAGTAATATGCACTATGAAAAGAAACTTGGAAAAGAATGTGTGTCTGTATTAGAGGAGGGGTGGAGGGGTGCTCAAATAGGGCACAAAAAAAAAACACATTCTTGAGAGAGAACTCACGTCTTGGACTGCAAAGTTACACTGACACATCACGAGAGGAATGATGCAGGGTGGGAGAGGAGAGGAGAGGAAGGAGGAAAACACATTATTAGGGGAAAAGTAATTAAGTGCATTTCCTTATAGTTGCTCTATTACTGCTTCATGTATGTGTTTACAAGCTGTGCAGAGTACGCAAGAACATACCATAGAACAGAATATTCCAGGGTAAAATGACATCAGGCACTACCCCATAAAGATGACAAGTTATAGAAAAACATAGCCAACTTTGTGTTTTCAGCTGGAGCAAAATTTTAAGGAAAACATTACATTGGCATGGAACGTTGTGAGCATTTATATGAAACATGATTAAAGGAAACATAAACAGCACAAAAATCTTGGTGAGGATATTGAACAGTTCCACTCTGTGAAATCATCCTGACTCTTTTCCTCTTCGGTTTCCTCCAGCTCGTAAAGCTTTTACCCCTTACAAGTTGAAGGAATGGGCAGCCTTCCAGTGGTCCTGCTCCTCTGCAGTTTCCACGGTAACGCTGCCAAACAGAACACACAAATCATCTTGTTTAATTATGGTTGAGTCGCCATGTGTTTGTTTTTATGCTGCAATACACTCCCCTCATGTGGTTTCTGTTCCACAGCACTCACAGCTGTAGCCCAAGCCCAGCAAGCTGGTAATGCTCACCTCCTCATAATTCTCACTTCAGATCAGTTCTTGTTGCAGGACATCTGTCAGTCTGTGAGTCACTGTGATGGCTCATCAGTAAGACGGTTTCCCAATCTGATGCTGTTTTCGTTCCTTGTTTTCAGAGAGCCCTGGGGCAACTGCAGCTGCCTTACCAGCAAGTGAGTGACAGTAGAGCGTAAGATGACCTTTGAACTATCTCTCCAGAGGCCACATGACAGACTGGCACGATGTGTTGTGTTCTTCTCTCCTCTTGTCTATATTCCGTGTATTCTCTGTGTCTGCAGACTGCAGAGAGGAGATGTATCCATGCACCAGGATGTACTCAGTTCACCGGCCCATCAAGAGATGTATTGGTGCTATTTGCATCTACAGGTGAACCTTGTTACTGCTGTATGTTTCCCTGTGTCTCAGGGCTTAAAAGCCCAGTGCTGGCTGCAGAAAGAGAGGCATTTGGAGTTGGGACTGCTGTGCCTCTCAGTCAGCGATTGTCTGTTGTCTTTATTATCTGTCTTTATGTTATCATTAAGTTTGAGTAATTGTAATAAATCCCTTTGTTTTGGCTTTGTTAAGGTGTTTAAAGTATTTTTTTAATGGGTCAATGTGTGGATTGTTGTTAGCCCCATAGGGCCACCTTATGGCGGGTCGTAACAACTTCAGTCTTTGTAAAGCACATCAGAAGTAGAATATGAACTCAGAACTGAGAAGAAATACTGACACAAAAAAAAAAACATGACAAGTTTAAGTCCCACCTTAAGGTGTTCATTTAAATCGCTTAAAATTTGGTTGTGAAGTAACTTACATTATTAGCTATATTATATATATATATAAGCTATATTCAGATAACAGGCACAACAAGAATATAATTGTGCTAATGTTAAATATAAAACAGGTAGTTCTGATCGAGTGATTCAACAAGTGGTTTAATGAGTGTGATTATAAAACTGCACTGTGATTTTGAACAATATTTAAAACTCTGTATCTGGATAGCAATGAATGTTTCATAATAATTATGGCAAATTAAATTTTCTGGATTGTAGTAAACCCAAGGACACTATGAAGGAAATGTTTCCTCTTATAACATTTGTACTATTCTATAAAGTGTATCATGAAGACACATATAACTAACAAAGGCGGAGGTGGATTAGTTGTGTTGGTTTGGTTAACGGAATGATTAAAAAAGAAAAAATTCTTTATGCATATTACTGTTTACACAGCTCTGATTATGTTCCACCTATAGTCACTTGTCTTTGACTAAATCACAGTTGTGTTGATATTCAGTACATCCCTTACTCTCGTGTGATATTGTGTAATAGCGTAAATGTTCTTTTTTTAAACTGTCATAAAATCAGGTTTATTTATAACGGAGCAATACTCATGATGCTTTTATCCTGTTTCTGATGCAGCCTTCCTCGTGTCTATGTCATCAACAACGAGATCTGCATGAGGACAGTTTGTGCTCAGGATGAGTATCTCAAAGGTGAGATATTCAGGTGAAACAATCGTCATGTTCGATATGGTACCATGCATTGACTGTGGATAAATATCTGTGTTTCTTGTACATTACAGCCGAAATGTGCCGAGAGTTGTCTGGGTGGCCCAGGCGTGTTGAGAGGTCAACTCATAGGAAACGCTGCCGCAATCGCCGTAGCAACCCTAAAACCTGGGCAAACAAGGCCTAAACAGCGCCCGGGTCGGCGTAATGACCACCAGTAAGGATGGAACCCCCATAGAGACGCACAGCAGGAATGTTGTTATATAAGCAGCCCATGACACCATAAATCCACCACTCAACAACTGGGGGTCTCCTTCTTCCTCTTTTACATATACACACATGTGCTGAGTCATATCTATGTTCATGTATTAGTCTTTGTGTATGAATTCTGAAGGTTTGTCCATTTCATCTGTGTTGTTGGACACAGATCATGTCTTCCATGGTTTGTGATCCATTTAGGGTACTGTAGTTATGGGCCTATATAGCAGCACTGAGTCACTCCATTGTACAAAGAAAGACCCACTTTGTAAGGTACTCATCGACAATCTGGTAGTATGTGCACTTTTGTAACCAAATATACATTTACACACTTATTTTTGTTCAGGAGTTTTGTTTGTTTATTTATTGACTCGTTCACTCTATTCAGGAGGGGGGAAAAAACAGATTAGAGCACTGGTCATGGAGTGATATCTTTATGTTTTTCTTTGCATATTCATTTACCATATACATTTCCATACACATATACATTTTGAATAACAAGTAACATTTGGGAGGGATATATATAATCAAACTGTAAACAAACACTGACACATTGTTCAGGCTTTACACTCACACTATTTCTGTCTTCGAGGGCTCCATCTTTTTAATGTATTTCATGGCTGATTGATCCCTGTTACACAATTACTGTCAGTCGAAAATTTGAACATGGATCATCGAAATATCTCAAAGCCCTAAGTGATGTCTTTTAATTGGACTTTTTTTTTTTTTTTTAAATATCATAAACAAAGAAGAAAAGAAACAACTTTTACCATTTTAACCAGTTGATCATTTTGGCTTGAAATGTTACAGAAATGATGATCCAGACAATATCTATCATCACACACACTGTCGTCCATCACAACATACGTGCATGTGATATCAACGCAGCATGATCCCCCTCCTTTCAGAGCGTAATATCACAACAAAACACTGCGTCAAACACAGAATAGCTTGGTCTCATGTTGAATGGCTCTGAGTCAGAATACCAGAAACAACGTAACACGGAATTAGGTTCACAGTTAGAACTAGTTTGTACAGTACATCATGCTCCAGTTGAAGTTTACGACCTGATCATCCTCTTCTGACACCAAGCTCGGTCCCCATTGAAATTAATGTTTTCAATGCCGGTATCTTGAGATCACTAGTTAATGTTTATCCCCAAGCATCATTTTTTTTAATGACGTTTTATTCATCAAGTTTATCTCAAGTGTACATAAGGCTGAATCCATGATAGCTTATCTATTGATCAGGTCTTGTGTCACCAATATTTTGTCTGGTGCACTTGCCAGTGAAGTTTCCGATGATGTGGTGATTAAGTCTCAATACAATTTCTGCCTCAGTTACAAATTGATTAAAATACAATTTGGTAGGTTGGTAAATATTGGGCGCTCCCTCAACTCAAACCGGTTGTTACATCTGCCAACAAGCTATCCATGCACCCTTGATCTCTAATAAACTTTTGAGAATATTTGTTTTCTCATGATAGCAATCTAACTATCATTTTATCTTGTTATGACAACATTATTAACTTGAAATCTTGAGATATCAGCATTAAGAAAAAAACAAACAGCGTAATCGCTTTCGTATCTCCCTGTACTGATTGGATGGTGCACTTACACAGACTAATTCATTGAGCAGGACGGAGGTCATGACCGAAATGACTCACCAGTCACAGCTTTGACAGCTGTGCTGAGTAGAGATGATATAACATGTACTAAATACTCTGTTTCCCTTTGAGACCAAGATAAAAGCACTTTCTCCTGCTAGCACACTGTAAGATCCTACCGTCCTACTTCCCTGTCTATTTGTACTGATTTACAGTTGAAACAATGTGAAGATGCCAAGGAACCATTCCCAGAGAGACATTGCGTTCCAACAACTACGGCCCCAATTTGACATCTCACTAAAATAACAGTGCGGTAGTTCCAAAACAGCCCAGTAGAGAGCACTGTACATATCTATATTGCAAATCAGCCACAGCTTAACAGGATTCTTCATCATTCAGTGGTAAACTTGACTTCAGACAGAGTTTTAGATTTGAATAATCCCTGCCTTAAATGCAGACTCTATGCATTAATAACTATGTAGACAGACTACACTGCCAGTCAGTGCATAATGTCAGACCCACTGATGGGGACTTGGAGAGCGATAAGCTACAATACAGTACAGGTGACAACATGTACACAACAATGACCAACTATTATATACATTTAAAATAAATATTCTCTGTACATAAAATGCATTTGTTATTATATTTAGATATACCTTATCAGATGTTTCTGAATTCCTCTCCTTTGATCATGTGTCTATGTTGTGTAGTCTACTTTAGAAATGTGCTAATGAAACACAGAGGAGGAGAAAAAGGGCAAAGGCAGAATTCAAACAGAAAGAAAGAAACCAGAGAGCTAGAGAGGATTAACAGCCAGCAAGAGGGGAAAAAATAGTTGTTCTAAATTGTTTGAATTAAGACTTGACTGCGAGGTTTGTGTGTGTGTATCTCTGGCTAGGAATAAAAAGCCACAAGGATGGGAATTAAATCTAACCTAACTAGTTCAGGATGTTACCCTGCTTGGCAGAGAGAGATACAGGACCCCATAATGGGGAAATTAAAGAGCAAAAATAGCTGCATACATTTACTGAGAAACAAGAGGGAGAGAAAAACTAAATGCATCTCTCCTCACTTTGGGGATACAGAGTCAAAGTCTCCCCACAGGTCAGAGCTGGCTGTGGTGGCAGGGTTGGATGGAGCTGCTGAGTTGGAGTTACTGGAGTCCAGGTCAAGTAAAAATCCTGGTGGTTAAAGTATAGAACAAATCAGAAACATTATGCACTTTTGGATACAGTATTGTCCCAGTGTCCCTTGTGTCACAAAGCCAGGTGCCTTCAGTGTCATAAAGTGAGGCTTTATTGAGGCCTCTACCAACACAGGATAATGGAAAGCTACATTATTTAACAAAAGGATTCTTTCTGTCATAGTGATGGTAAGTAATCCATTATAACATTGCACTCAAAACAGAGCTTTGGCATGTACTTTCAATCTGCACAACTCCTGAGAGGCAGTAGCTAGTAAGCACTGGGAATCAAACAGCTGTACATGTCTAGAACAATCTGCAGGTCGTATGGGTAACAGTATCTGACGTTTCCCTTCGTTTACGATTTAAATTATCTTCCTAATGAACTTTTTCTAAACTGTACATACAGTTATTAGTGTTGGGTTTTGTCAAATTTCTTAGTCAAGATAATAACCATGCAATTTGTGATAACAGATCATAAAATTTGGTATATCCACATTATAAGTAAACAATAAAAGGCTATAATGCAGGAGGTACATGACCTCTGCAGTCAACCATAGTGTAGTGTTATGGTGCATTCATGTGGTGTCGGACACATCAGTAAAAAACAGTTTCCAAGTTGTAAATTGCACAGGAACACCTGCTCAAGTCGGAACAACAACTCGGACACTCGGAAAAGAATTAGGTGCCCGACTTCTCGACATAATCGTCATCACTTGGGGGGGCAAAATGTTTTTTGTTAATGTTAACATACTTTTGATTAATTCACGTATTGCACATTAACTTTTTGCTCAAATATAACCTTTAACAGTTACATTTCACTGATCGTCTTCGTAGTATCAACACTTTTTTTTTTTGCTGTCGTTACAGCATTCCGACTTTCCGAACTGAAATCACGTGAACGCACTTGAAGTCGAAAGAACGACTTCCCAACTCGGAAACTTGGACCACCCGAGCAGCACATGAATGCAACATTACAATTACCTACCAGTGTCACTTCCTCCAGCAGGTGGTTGTGTGTTATGATTGGTAGATCTCGATGAAGGGGGAGGGGCTATCTTGCCCCCAGGAGGAGGAGGAAGGAGCCCGAAGCCACCTGAGCTCTGTGGACGAGACCTGTCCTTCTTCTTTGATTGCTGGAATACATAAATTAGAAAACAAATAAAAAAGAAAAGCAAGGTTAGAGTGTGTTTAATAAACAAGTTGAAGAATAGCTCATTTGACGACCTATTTGACCAAATCGAAATTCAATGAACAAACATTTTTACAACATTAGGTGTTTGCTCTGGGGACTCCCGTAGAGAAACTGCCCACTGTGGATTTTTCCTGAGAACTACAGTACATATCTTCAAAGTATTTTTTTACTTCAACATTTGCACTACCAATAGGAACGCTGCAGAGACAGAGCTGACCCCACTTGATATAGCAACAACAACACAGAGGGTTTCTTGGTCAGAGCAGGATGGTTGTCTGTGTGCATAGGTTTCACAAAATAACAGAGTTGGAAAGAATAAATGACAAGTTACGCTTGACTGCATATCTATTTTGCTGTGTTTTAGTCAATTAAGGCTACTTTAATTAGCTTTCTCAAATGTTTAATTAAAAAAGTGCATTCATTCATGTCTTTGACCTATCACCAAAAAAATTAAGTCTGGACCAATCACTATAAATTAAGTCACTCCCAGTTCTTCTTGTATTTGAGTAGGAGCTAAAAGCTGATCCACTCAACATTCTTATACATATTATAGTTCTTCACATTCGCATTACAACTACAGACAAGTTCCTTGGGTTTGAAAATGCATATTTAGATTGCTTTCAGACTCCAACTGGGAGATATTTTATTCAAACCTTTAAAAAAAAAAACATTACATGTATGTTAATGTAGCGTTACCCCAATATTGAGAGTAATTGTCTGTCCTTCTTTGAAGCCAAGGTCCAGTTTAGGAGTGTTGTCTGGAGCCTGTGCCTGCTTTGTAAATTCATCATCCTGCTTTACCCACCTGAAAGAGATGAGGAGGGAGACAGGGATTGCAAAGGATTAAAGAGAGATTTATAGACTAGAATTAAAAAAAAGAAGAAGTTATTTTTAATGACACTCTATGAGATAGCAGCATACTTGAAGTGGTCTTGAAGTGCAACATTGAAGTCGAAGGCATCGCCTCGGTCTCCAAATCCAATGCCAATGAACGCACTGCGGCCTGTGAGGGAACTCAACATGTAACTTAATACACGATATAGTTGACTAAATGATGCTAAACCTCAAAGTAGATTACAGTAACATGCACACTACAATAGACCAATATGTCAAAAACAATGTTTTTTTTTTCCTGGAGTTAACCTCTGAGTCAATTTAATTATGAGCATATTGACATTATAGGTTTTGCCAAAAAAATAAAGTTTATCCACCATTGTCATCCTGGATGCGGAGCACAAAGTATCGGCTTGAGTCACTGACTGTTTCCATCGCAATGCCAGGGTACTCCTCCAGCGGTGCTTGGGCAAACAGCTCCCCTGTAGGGCAGAACAAAATCAATAAAAAAAAAAAAGACTTCAGTGAGAAACAAATATTTTGCTTAATATGCAAGATGGACCCAACTTCTAGGATTCAGATGAAATAAAAAAAAATGTGTCTATATAAGTCATACTTTTAGAACAGGAAACAGATCATTACTTTAAAAAAAACAATTTGTTTTAAAATAAAAAAGCTTGCTTTGACGTGGGCTTGGTCACCTTGGAATGGATGAGTAACAGAGAGGGAGATGGCGAGCAGGAGACTACACAGTGAAATGATTTACAACAGCAGGAGTGCCAGTAAACAATGACATTGGTCTGTCTGCATTGTCACTCCCTCACCAGATATTTTGTCTTCCAATTTCACGTAGGCCACTTTGCCCAGGGCCGTCACACGCATACGTCCCGTCCAGTCAGGAGCATCTAGCTTCCAATCGGCCGCTCTGGGATACAAACACACAAGGCAGACAGGGAGACTGTGTGAAGTAGGCGAAGTGATGACAGAGGCAGAATATGCAAGGTAAACAGGATTCAAGACGGGAGATCTGCTTTTAATGTGCATATAAAAAAAGTGTGTGTTATTGTCATGATTGGTCCAACAATGAGACACATAGTAGCTCTTCGCTTTAAATGTGAAAGAAACGTGACTAAGGCATCAGTCGGGCAATTCACTGAGACCTAAAAGGCTGAATCATTACATCATCACTATTACTCACCATGAATATGGTCACTGGTTAACCAATCAAGTGTCTCATGGGAGTCAGGCCTATGCTACTGTTTGGCTGGTGTGAAATCCACTCATATGCAGCTGGAGCAGGTCAAACTGGAGCACCAGCCAATACAAATGGGGTAAACAATTCAACGTCAACAAACGCCACAACAGTTTCCCAGAATGGGCTCCTAAAATATGGATGTACGAAATGAAATGTCAGGACAACAAATTATCAGCGCATCCCAGCTTGTCATCAAACAGCATCTCCCTCGCCTGAAGTGTCCTTGAGCAACACTTATTGACAGCTTCAGAGACACTGCTCTAATACCAACAACTGAGAGGTCAGATAAACAAAATGTCAATCTGAAATGGGCAGGCTAACCTAAAAGAAAACCCACTTTTTAAAACGGTTTAATCACTATCGCATGACCTGCCACTGGACGATCAGGCAACACGTAAACACACCGACAAAGGAGTGTAGCCAATCCAATTCGTGGTAATGAGCTAACGCAGTGCAGGTGCATCCGCCAACTTAAGTGCACTGTATGTTACTATAGTAGTGACCTTGTAAAATTCACAGCAAAAACAACAAAGCAGGGGAGGGAGGGGGGGAACTACGACCACCGCCGCCTCGGGCTGCGTTAGAAACCCGGGGATGAGCTCGGGTACGTTTGGGTCGCCGAGGCAACGGATCCTAATGGCTGTAGCTGGCGGATGCTGTGTCAGGTAAGCTAGCACGTCAGGCCCCTTCCGCCGTCCTCACCTGATAGCCCGGTTGGATGCTCTCGGTGGGATTCGGTAAACGTTGACCTCGGGTTTGACACAGAGGATCGACTCGTACTGACCCTCGGTCGCCATCTTGACTCTATGCTCAAGTCGTTGCACGCCGGTGGTGGTGGTGACGACGACGACGACGGTGTGTGTCCGTGCGGCTTTAACGGGCCACGGCTGTGTGACCGTAATACACTGTGTACATGCGCACACCCCGGCGACTGTTTCCAATACTACGATTTCCTTTGCACACTTTTATCAATAAAGGTCGGTTAAAATATCGTAGGAGCACAGTTTGAAGTTAGATAAAATAATGTTAGGCTATTCAAGTTGCAGCACTCACCAAAAAGTATTCGGGGTTCGGGCTTTGGGATAATAATCTTTTATAAATTAGGTGTTAAATCGATATTTCCCCATATTGCAGTGCAGTACGATAGCTGTACCGCTGCTTCAATGAATACCAACATTTTCTGTCCCACATTTATGAGAAAATAAGACCTACTCTTCAAAGATTCGACCTATTTGCAGCAGTTTCCTGAATACATTACAAATGGATAGTTCTAGTTTGATTTTAAGGCAGTAATTCTTTATTTTACATGGCAGTAATGCTTCAGAAACAGAAAGTAGCAGCAATGTTTAAGTGAAAAGCCTTGACAAAACTTGAAAGCTATTTTATGACAGTTTTTTTTCTCAGTTAATTTCATTCTCAGTTTTGGCAGTTGTAGTGAAGGACTAAAACCAACTTTTCTTTTTTCTCTATAAAATGAATGACTTATTGAATAGTAACACGAGGAGGTAATGGGGATGTTTCACAGTCCAAGAAGCTTGAAGGCATCTCTTAAGTCTTCTGTTTCAAGGGGCTGGGGGAAAAAAAAAGAAAGAACCACATTTGTCAATTTGATGTAAATCACAAGTGTTTTCATCATATCCCTTGTCTCTAAGAAAAAGCATGAAATGTGGAAAATCTACCTGTAGGATGCGCTTGAGTTTCCTGGAAAGACGAACAGAGTTCTGGTGCAGCTCTCCCCATGCCTTGAAGCTGCTTTGCTTACAAGCCACAAATGTCCGCCAACAATAGAAGAAATCTGAAGAGGGAGGAAAAACATAATCCTTAATTTCCTCATGAAAAAATAAACACATTTTTGGATGGCTTAATCTTCCTAAAGTTGATCCTAGATAAATCAGAAAAATGTCTATTCTCTCTTTATAATTCTGATATTCAATATTCACTACTCCAATTATTCCTCCACCTTTGTAACTCATGACTGTGATCTGCACCCCGATGTTTTTCAGCATTCTTAATCCCTCTCTTTCACGGCTATCCTCCATATCACAGAAGTAAAGGCGAGAGACGAAGATCCGGAGGCGAAGGTTGGGCAACCGGCTGAGGAACTGGGACAGTCTTGTGGAGCAGTTGGCACATGGAGACCAGGAGCAGAACCAGGTGATAGAGTAGCTGAGCCTCTTCTCTCCAGGGCCTCCATACCCCAATAAACCAGGACACAAGGCCCCCACGTAGCGCAGGAACAGCAGCTTTTGAGTATTAGCAGACAAAAGAAGATGTTATGGATGCATCATTGTTATTTTAAGTCTCTTAACCGAACAAGCCCTTTTAATTTCCCTCCCCCATTTTGCCCTAAGTTACTTACCTCTACATGGCAGCCATTGCGATTGCGGAGGTGACCAAAATCAAAGGTTAAGGTGTCCGGCCCCACCCGTCTTTTGATTACAAAGCAAAGGTATGTCTCATGCCGGCCCTTTGCCCAGCGCATGTTTTTGTAATGGTAGATGAACTTCTTTCGTGGTAAAAGCACACTAAGACAAGGGAATATAGATATACTGTATTTTTAGTGTAAAAGTTGTTGAGGTAAAACAGCAAAGTCCACAACAATCAGCATATACACCTTACCTAAATTGCTCTTCTATGTTCTAAAACAACATTTGTTCACAAAACTTTTGCTCAAGATTTATCAGTCAGCATCTCATCAGTAAAAACGCTGTTCTAAAAAGTGTTGCGGTTTTGTAAACCAACAGCAATGGTTACAGATGATCTCTGTAGAAGTCAGTCATTTAGAGTTTAATGGACACTAGACAAACGCTTTTATTACTTGTCATTCACATGACTCAAATTGAGATCAAGTTTGAATTAAGCTGTGTACCAAAATGAAGGGATGTAAAGTCTGTGGTTAAAAAGCGTGAGTGATGGACACTCAAAAGACAAACTAACATTCACTTCTTTTGTCTCACTCTCAGTTTCACAAATGTTAACGAAACTGGGACAGTTGTTCACCGCTCATTAATACTTAACACACTATTAATTGTATTCAAAGATGGCATTGTGGCAAACCTATTAAAAGAGAATTCCAATGAAGAATATTTTATTCTGTTATTTAAGAATCACAATTCAGATAACTACCAGTTTTTTTCTGTTTTTAATAATTGTGTACAAATGTTGACTTCAAGGACATACACAACATATAAATAGAATGTGTTGATTTTGCTCACCTGTCGAGCTTTGTATTCATTTTGAAAGACGCGCCACGTCTTTGTCACTCGGCAGGATGGGTATGAAATGAAGGTAATGAGAAAGAGCGAAAGTGAGTGTGTGTGTGTGTGTGTGTGTGTGTGTGTGTGTGTGTGTGTGTGGGGTGTGTGTGTGTGTGTGTGTGTGTGTGTGTGAGTATTTGGGGGGTTAAAAGGAGGGAACTGAGAACATATACCTCTAAACATAAACATCCTGCATACAACAAAGACAGCCTCTGGTTGGTCAGAAAGATATTTCAAAGTTATACAAAGGACAGTGGGCGTTATACAAAAGACATGGCTGGATCACATTTTCTTGCTGCAAAACAAAACAAAATAAAACTAGCAATGAATTTTACATTTGCCAAGTTCTTGTTAATGCAATGATGCATTTTTATTTTTAAATTAACAAAGGTTTTTATAATGATTGCCAAATAATGATTTGCCAAAAGCAAAACCCTTCTTGTTCCATGCAATTAAACATTTAATTGTGGGAGCAAGTACACAACAATGATTTCACTAAATAACCTTAGCGACCACACATGAGAGGACGAGTGTTTGACGTGATTTGCAACCTCTGGAGGTTTTCACAGACGTCAATAAACTGAGCCAACTGGCTGGAACTTTCCAAACACTTAAGACTGATCCAGCCACAGGCGACCTTCACTTTGTTTTTCCCAGATCATAAAAATAAAAACTTCCAGATACCTCCTTACCTTGATCCACAATGGGATCCCCACTGACTCCTCCTGCTATTCAACCTTTCCACCTAGTTAGTCCAACCCCCCCCCCCCCCCCCCCCCCTCTAGGGCCCCAGATTTGGTGGAGCCATAGGCGTTCCCAGACCTCGAAGGCCCTGACACCTACTTCTTTCTCTGATCTGGGTTTTCCCAAACTGTGTCAGTGTAGGAGCATAGCTGTAATCGACCTCCCTCACCATACGTGTCTGCTGGAGCGTCCAGCCAGCTGACCGACCACAGTGTGTGTGGATAATTCTCACTCATGAGCCTTTGAACTATCAGACGCTGTCATCTATACTTGCGGAATCAGGATGTGTATTATTCTGCTTTCGTCTTTTCTTTGCTCTGTCTGTTTTAGCTCTGGCCCAGCCTACTTACCCAGTGGCAAAGCATGCAGGCATCCTGCGTTCCCATGACTCCCCTCACCCTCTCATGCACTCTGCGGTTTGGGGAATTCACCGTTCCCAGGGTAGCTGTTTTTGGATCTCATCTGTGTGTGTATGTGTGTGCTAGAAATCTGTATGAGCATGTCATTAACACAGTCTATATGTTTTACATCATCTGGAACAAATCTATCTAATATATCCTATGATTGTGTGGTGCCCCAAAATTTTAAATGATTTGTGTGTGTGTGTGTGTGTGTGTGTGTGTGTGTGTGCGCCTGCTCTGAGCGACCTCACATCATATTACATTACTCTGACGGTGCACAAAGCCCAATGTCTCTGCACATTTGATCTTGTGCATGTGTCTTTTCTGGACAAGAGGATGATCGAAAGCCAAACTATATGTAACCACTTCCCACCCAGCTCTCCGGGTTTGACCACATTTGACCAAGGTCATCTCACAGTCACACATGAACGCTCACGTGCACTTCCATTCCTTTTTTTTGCACTTACTATGTGTGTCTATGTGTGTGTATATGCGTGTTGTGGAGCAGTACAGTATGGCCAGAAATTCTGGTGCATTTAACCCGTAGTCAGGGGCAGAAACCGGGTGTAGGGAATGCCAAGTCATACTTTCCGAAACCCACCCGCCCACACCCTGCACACGTGCACACGCAAACACTCACACACCGCCATACCGTGCAGACACACAAGACCACAGTCACAAACAGACTTTCTTTCCAGTGTGTGAACTCACATCTGTTTCCTGACAACAATAATAGCTACAGATCAAGCTGGTATACGAGGCTCAGCTAACAGGTGTCTGCTCTTTGACAGTCATGAAGAAATAACCTGATGATGACCAAGTCTCAAGTAAAAGTACAGACTTCACAAGGTGAAAATGACCCCATCACACACTTAACCGTGCATGTTACAGCTTTGTTATGTTGCTGGGTGTCTCAGCTTTTTCATCATAGTTAATTAAAGGACAGTGATTTTCCACTACAGCTCAGAAGATGAAGAGTTTGCAGTAAAGTGTAGGCCTTCATTTGCCTCTTACGATCAGGTGAGATATTCTTTCCCACACACTTTAACATTGTACAAACATCCTGTGATGTTTATCTGTGGCTGCCATTCTGACACACTTGAGGTTAGCAGGAGGTAGATGCGAAATGTGAGCGTGAGGGGCTGCTAACCATAGTAGGGTCAGCCTCAGACTGAGTCCGTTTGCATGAACAATCACATTAACCGGCATTCACCTGCAAACCACACACATTCTTGAGTCAGAGTACCAATGCATGTAAAGTGTCAAAGATTGCATGGCAGGGGAGTTTTGAGATTTGAGTAAAAGTAAATGTGTGATTCAGTTTGCTCTGTTGTACATTCAATATTAGGGCTATATATAGGGCTGCAAACAAGTTAAATCTGCATAAATAGTGTTACCTTAATTTGGATTGCTCCCCCCCCCCAAGTAGTTAATACCTAATTTCAGATGTTGTTACCATACTTTTTTCCTAATTTTAACCTTAAAAAAGCATTAAGTTATATGATAAATTAATCATTTTAGTTGAAAGTTGTAATTGATCATTTATACAGCTAACAGTTTCAGAGCTAATGTGTTTTTGAAACCGTTAAATATTGAATTCAGAATTCCCACAGAAATACAAAAATAACACAAACAAGTGGAAGAACAAGATAGCCAAAGAAAAGTGAGGTAGCAGTGTTTTCTGCACACTCATAGACCCACATACTGTACTTTCAGGAGAGTGCAACATCAGCCAAAGAGCAAAGAGAGATAAAAGTGAAGAAATTTTGCAGATTCACATTAACCACACGTACTTCCTGTACAGTGACTCCTACACATTGGTATGGTTTCATGCACAGCATACATTCAAGCCCACGCACCATCAACTGAGGTTGATTAATTGAGACTAGAACCACACTAAAACATCTTTGTCAAACACTTTTAACGTAAATATTTTAATTAGATACAACTGATAAGAGAACACATAACTATGAAGCCTTGAGATGTCATTTAAAATAAACACATGGGGAGAGGGATTGCTTTTTATGTCGTAAACAAAAAGTATGTTCAAACATACAAAACAGCAATCAAAAGTATATAAATACTGTCATAAATAACATACAGTAAATATTCAATAAATTATTTCACACAAAAGCCAAACATGTTGCGGCAATGACACATTTTAAGCAGGGATTGCACGATGTATTGTTCTCTTTTTAGACGCCCCTTTGCATTTTTTCAGAGTCCATCATTAACTAGTCACAGGTCTTTGTAAAACACCTTAGTGAGTGGGTGTCCCAAAAAGCCTCTTTCTGGTGTCTCCAGGTTCATCTCAGTGTCTTCTTCTTCATTAGCCCCCTCCCCAAGCTGTACATAACCTATCTTCCTGAAAAAGGCCTCTGCCACCTTTGATGGGTAGGGGACGTGTGCGTACACTCTATGGGCGCTGTTGTCCCTCTCTCTCTGCTCCAGACTCTGGACAAGCAGCCTGCCCAGGCCCTCCCTGCGGTACCAGCAGCCTGTCACCAACCTGCAGATCCTCCTGATGTGTGCTCGATTCTCACTTTCCAGGAAGATGCAGCCAATGATCTCCCCCTCACAGTCTGCCACCCAGACCTGCCCTGCTGCCTGCTCCCTGTCTGGGGTGACCCTCTCAGTTGACGTGTCTTTGTCTTTGTCCTTGTCCTTGATTCCGATTCTGCGCCTTGGCTGAGAAAAGGGAATAAGATTACTCAGCTGAACATTTGTTCTCTACAATTAAGAGAAAACCACAATGAATTTGAAGCTAACCTTTTTGGTCACTGGGGCTTTTCCACTGATCCTACAATACGGATTCTGCAGTTTCTCATCCTGTGACCCTCTATAGCTGCTACCCACATAGTCCCAATAGGGGCGGCTGCTACCCAGAACCCCTGTGGACCGTGGCATCGTGATCTTGAGATAGATAATTAGCAGGAAGACAGGAATAGCAAGTGCCAGGATAAAAGAATGGACAAGGCAGCGGAGGATTGAGGAGAAAACAGCCAGGATGAAGAGGCAGAGCGGACGGGTAAGGATGTGGAGGATGAGACGGTTTTCTGTGCCCCCGCAGCCCTCCTGCAGCAAAATCATTGCAAGAGAAAAAGGAAAAACATCAGTGCAGTCCTCAATTGGAGTAATGTCTTGAACTTGATCTAATTACACAAACCTTGATGAGGGCTTTGACCATCTCTATGTCGTCCTCCTTCATCCTCCTCATCTCCACCTGATCCAGCCCTAGCCTCACCATGTTTGGGCTCTATGCTGTCATCGACAGTGTACACAGTGACCCTAAAATGCACATTTAAAGGATGTCAAGGGACGATGACATAGCCTTCATCTTTGTGATGACTGACACTAAATCATGAAAAAGAAGAAAAAAAAAACAGTTGACGGTCGAAATGGTTTGGGTAAATAGGTCAGTGTATTTCCAACAATCATATTATGCAATGCTGTGGATTTAGTAAACAGTGAGCCAGTAGTTTCAATGTAACATTACTCCCACGCTGGCACCAAACGACAGACAGACGGGGATTATGGAGGATTTGTAGCACGCATATCACCATTATTGTGTACCTGGATCATGCACGATGCAGTGGGAAGGGAAAAAAACATCGTTTTAAAAATCCTTTTAAGGTTATTACGAACCACTGCGGTCTGTCCTGGCACAGCTAGACCCCCCCCACCTCCGTTTGTGCTTCATAACCCCCACTTCCGCTTAACTTCAGTGGCACTCTGCTCGCATAAATACAATAAATACAAAGTATATTTACCTCTTAAGGTTGAGGCTGATCCCATGCAGGCTCGGTACGTTTTGATTGAATGGCAACAAATGTGATTCTTGCGTAGAGAAAGTATTCAGAATACTAACATGCTCCTTTTCCGTCCCGTTGAACGACGCTTGACTCCACCGTCCACGCCGTTTGCGTACGTGCAAAACCGCACTGCGCAAATGGTCGTGACTGGCAAACGCAACGTAGCAGCGTAAAGTACGCTGTAAATGTGATGACCTGTGCAAGTTTAGTCTTTCAAATCGATGTCATTAAAAAAAACAAACCAGAAAGCAGAAAGCCGAGGAAGAAATGTATTAACGTATTTATTAATAATTACTATTTGCTATTATGAAGAAAGTGGGCCATGTACAATTTATATTCACAAAATGTATAATAAACAAACTGCCAATAACAGTATAATTTTAACTTATATATTTAGGAATACTTCCAAGGTCCATGTACAGCCTATTTGAATGTATAACATTTCTAGCATGTGGCACCATGGGAACACATTTACCGGTATGTTCTCCAACAGTATAAGGAAAACTCAAATTGACTAAAGTGCTACCACACTGAGCCCACAGAGTGAGAAATTGTCTCTCACACACCTTCTTCTTTAGCACACACATTGATTTTAGCTAGAGAACTGCACCTCTTTAGACTTAGGTATGGGTCCATTTCTTCTTGTGTCTTCACTTAAAGTCTGTACTTCTGTATTGTCTGTAGAGTTCACTGACTTTTCCTTGGCCTCCGCAGGTTCACTCTCATATTTCTCCTCACTACTTTGTGAGATCTCTCCATCCCCTCCTCTCTCCATTCTTCCGTCTCTTAAACTACTGGTGCTGACCTCAATTATGACAATTTCCTCTCCACTTTCCAGCTGAAATAAACTGTTCACTGCTCCTCCACCCTCAGTAGCCCTACTACTGGTTGTAGTGCAACCTGCCCCTTCTTCTCCCATCATTCTTCCTTCCCCGTCTATTAGGGCTATCATCTGCATACCCTCATCAGTATCCTGCTCCACCTTGGTCTCACCCCCAAGTTCAAACACCACCTCCTGCCCATGTAAAGGCACCAAACTTTGGTTAGGTGTGCAGGAAAGCTGCAGGCTGGTATCCTGCCCTTGACTGAAGGTGGCACTGGATGGGCCGCTTTCCTGTGCCTCAGTGTGAAAATGAAGAACATAAGACTCACCCTGGCTGCCCTCTCCTGTCTGTGCCTCCACTTGCTTTTCTCCCCCCCATTCACGCAGAAGTGACATCATCCCTCCCTTATCTTCCCCCTTCCCCCCCTCAACTTGCCCATTTGAGTTGAACTGTAACACAAGTGATTTTCCCTCCCCATCCACTCCCGCTCTTGATGCATCTTCTCGAAACTGTAACACATATGACTTCCCACCCTCCTCCATATTGATCCCCTCCTTTGCCTGCCCTTCATTATCAAAACACAACACAAACTGTTTCCCTGTCCTTATTTGCCCCACATGGGAGTGAGGTTTCCTTTCCAGAGTATCGAGCAAAGGAGGAGAACCTGATGTCGTGGCTGCTGTTGTTGCTGGTGTAACCATGGTAACAGTTGATGGGGGTCCTGAGGTGTCCACTGTTTGGGCTGTAGTGGCAGACGATAAAAGAATTGGGACGGTAGTGCAAGTTGTTGACAGCGTAGAGTGGGACACTGTGGATAAAGATGATGGTGGTTGTGTATCTGTTACAGTTTTAGCAGCACTTACAGTCTGTGTGAGACTTGTCATATTACAGTTTGTTCCTGACAGAGCTCCACCTGCAGCCTCACTGACCATAGCTGATGCAGATGTCTGAAGGGCAGCTTTGGGTTTGCGTCCACGTCTGCCCCGAGCTGTCCGGGTACTTTTCCCTAATATGGGCTTGGTCAATAGAGGGTTATTTAGGAGACTTGGTGTAGCAGCATGGGTGTTTGCATTATTATTGTTGGTGAAAATGATCCTGGTCTGTTGTTGCTGTGATATGGTCTGAAACTGGGGTATCTGGGTCTGTGTTTGGTTTAGGACGGGCTGGAGTGTTTGGATTGTCTGAAGCATAGGGAGGGTCTGTGACTCAGTGGCTGGTGGAGAGTTGTTCACTGTGGGGACGAGGATCAAGTTGGACTGGCCTCCATTGTTGGAGGGGCACTGTAGAAGGAAGAAATTTTGGGACAGAGGTGGAGGAGGGGGTGGAGGGGCTGGTGGAGGGGATGACAGAGGAATTAGCTGCAGGCCGCTAACTGTCTGAATCATAAAGTAGTTCTGGGAGGTATTCGGGGGGATATTGAGTGCTGGCTGTGACACAATCAGGCTGCCATGGTTTCCTGAGGTTTCAAGGGTGATGGGGTTGAGCAGGGTTGTGGTGGTTGTTACTCCTCCGACACTGGCATTCACTGCGACTCCATCCTTACCTCCACCACCAGGGCAGGGCAGGGGGACACTGTTGCCATGGGTTCGGATGTGTCTCTGCAAGTAGGAGTGCATGACGAACTCTTTCGAGCAGTACGGGCATTTGAAGTCTTTGCTTGAGGAGTGTGTACGAAGGTGCAGCTGGAGGTTGGAGGAGTGTGTAAAGCTTTTACTGCAGTGGGTGCACTGAAAGGGTCTCTCCCCAGAATGGGTGCGTTCATGCTGCTCACAGAATATAAAGGGGAAAAAACAGGGAAGACAAAAATAAGACAACCTATGAGACGTGACAGATCAACTGAATTTGAAAAGCTGAGAATCAAGAGTTCATAAATGTACTGACCTGTTTGAGGTTTGACGTCTGCGAGAATGACTTTGAGCAGATGGAGCAGATATGAGGCCGCAGTCCAGAGTGCATTTGACTGTGTCTTCGCAGGCAGCTGGTGTTTTTGAAGGACTTGCCACACTCCTTGCACACATACGGCCTCTCCCCTGTGTGCTGCCGCAAGTGGTACTGGTAGTGAGAGCTCCATTTGAAAGTGAGAGGGCAGTGAGGGCACTGGAATGCACGGACGCCTGTGTGAACCTGGGTAGGATCAAAGTGGAAAGAATTTTCATTTATACATTTTGGCATTACTTTTTCTCATGATCTAGCACTCAATTATATTTATAGCTGAATAACCTATAATTATCTGCAGGGCAGTTTGAGGTTGTTATTTGATAGTAGAATTAAGTCTTGTAAGTGTTCATTTAAGTGAGAAAATTTTGAAGTGCAGTGAAATTCAGCCCAACCCAAAGCCCAAGAGTGATAACCAGGAAGTTATGTCAATGATGCATCAAAAGTAACAGCTGTTACAACTGAAGTGTTCTGCGGCAACAGCCTCTCTGTCAAAGGAGAGTTTAAACTACTGCAACAAAGTGAGGAATTGAGATGAAACGTGTTTATTGCTCTTTGGATACATCTGTTGTAAATTGCATTCATCTGCAGGGTGTGAATCAAACTAAGCAGCTGCAGTCCCTGTGAACTGGAGAAATCATAAATTCTTAGGTGACATAAATCATGAAAACTTAGATCTCAAGCGATTAAGATTTCTCATCTGGAAAATGAACTTGTGTGTATAGTTGTTGCAACAGAAAAGTAAGTCTTACCCTCTGATGGATTGAAAGCAGTGATGACCTCTTGAAGCTCTTTCCACACTCAGTGCAGCGGTAGGGCCTTTCCCCAGTGTGATCCCTCATGTGGTATTTCAGCCCTGATGAACCTTTGAAGGCTTTTCCACATTCTGAACAGCGGTATGGCCGCTCTGTATTTAAGTATTTGAAAAAAAAAAAGAAGAAAGACATAAAACAGTATAGTCAGAATAAAGGTCATCTTGAAAGCATTGTAATAATGTTCTGTTGAACAGCTGTATATTCTAATCTCCAGTGTCCCCATGTAAAAGGTATTGTTGTTTCTCTCATGTTAAGACAATGTCTACCTCCAGCAGCAGCATTCTTGCCGGTTGCTGTCTTTTTGGGAGCTTTGGCTGGTTTTGCAGGTTGTTCCTCGTGCTCCTCACCCACAGTGATGATGTTGACATGGATTTCCCTCTGGCCTTCCTGCTGCTTGTCAGCCTGGCTCGGAGAGGAGGGGAGGGGGAGAGAAAGAGAAAGGGAAGGGGGGCACACTATCTCGGCCTCGGCCTCAGCCAGGAGTCTTTGCTCAGGGGTGTGCGAGTGTTGGTGGGTGAGGAGGGAAGAGAGCAGGGGGAAGGAGCGGTCACAAGCAGAGCAGCTGAACTGGGAGCGGGACTGTGATGAGAGCGAGTGCATCTGCCCACAGAGAAAGGTGAAACACAGGAGGGAAGATTGTTTTAAACACAAGTAGATCCCAATTGTTGTGCATGTCAAATAAATAAGTAAATATTAATGAAAGTCTTTCTCACCAGTGAAACATGTCTATTGAGGCCTCCACTGGTCTTAAAGGTCTTATTGCAGTACCCACAGGACAGCCCTGCCCATGTAGCTCTGGCCTCTGGCTGAACGGTCTCTGAGCTCTGAGTCACCTCAGTGAAGCTCTGCAGTAGGTCAAACTGGGCCTGGGCGGTGCCTACATTCTGAGGAAATACAGGAGGACGTCATGCATATCAAAACAAAACATCTTCTCCGATAAAACTGAAGCACTTTGAAGGCTAGGCAGGTCTTTTTTAGATCAATTGAAATTATATTTATCGGATGGTTTCTGTCTTGACCTTGAAGAATACTGTCATTCCAGCCCTTACCAACCAAACAATATTTTTTACTTTACCAAGTAGTCAGACAATAGTCAATTCACAAGAATGAACACCTTTTTTCACTTATTACACTTTGCCTTATGTTGGACTTGTTCACTGATATTGTCTTAGTTCGGCCTTTGTTTTTCCTAAGACAAATCCACTACCATCTTTTTCCAATGTAGCGAAATCGCTTATGCCACATATTAAGGGTAAGGGTGACAGTCATCAGTCAGGACAGCAATAGGCCTATATAAGACGCTGGCTGGGAAGTCTGTAACATACTCTATAACCTGATTACCTCTACTTCTCTTTGTTTTTACTGCAATGTACCAGGGTGTATTCTTCTCTTGTCTTATCACACCGTTCTCTAGTCACATCAACCTGTTTGAACTGATCACTTACGGCATTGCTTCCATCTGTCCCCTCTGTCAGCCCAAGGAGCACCTCCGTCGTGTGTCCATTTTCAGCCACTGTTGTCGTCTCCACCACCTCCTCGAAATCCGCCAGCAGGTGTCCAGCTCCATCCAGCCCATCCCCAACCTCCATCCCTGCCCCATGACCCGCCTCTGCACTAGTCCTGTGTCCCCCTGGAGCCATGTGGATGGCCTGGTGTTCCTCTAGTTCTGTTCGTGAGCCAAAGGTGTGGCTGCAGCTCCCACAGCTGTACAGCAGCACACTGGCCCCAGTATCTGTGCTAAGGTGGACCTCTGTCCCGATAGCCCTAGATGCACACACGTTCTCCCCAGAGGTGAGGGTGAGCTGGGGCAGAAGGCTGGTATTTTGATTAGACGAGGAGGTTGACAAGAACACTTCTTCCATCCCCACCCCGACTCCATCGGATCCTTCCTGACTCACAAATCCCACCATGTCTGTCAACATGGATGACGTCACTTCCTCTGTCCCTACCACCACTTCCACTATCTCATTTCCTTTCAATGCATCCTCCACCCTCTTCCCCTCCTTCCCTCCTGCGTTGAGGTGAGAGTTCTTGTGCAGGGCCAGGTTGGATGAATGTGTGAAGCTGCGTCCACACTCGTTGCAGATGTAGGGCCTCTCTCCTGTATGTATCCTCATGTGCTGCCTCAGGTTGGTGGACTGAGTGAAAGATTTGTTGCACACTGAGCAGGTGTAGGGCTTGAGACCAAGGTGGACATTTTTGTGTCGCCGCAGACTGCTCGAGTTCTTAAAGGCCTTGGGGCAGGTGTCACAGGGGTATGGACACTCTCCAGTGTGCTGGCGCAGGTGATACTGGTAATGAGAACTCCATTTGAAGGTCAGGGGGCAATAGGGGCATAAGAAGGTACGCACTCCTGTGTGGACACTCTGATGGACCTTGAGATAGACAGAGAAAGAATTGTGAAATATGTTTCTAATTTGTATCATTTATTTTCCCCAGACACAATGCTTGGTTGTAAAACTACTTAGTTGGACACCTCACCTGAAGCAGAGAGGAGCGTTTAAAAGCTTTGCCACAGTCCTGACACTTGTAAGGCTTATCCCCTGTGTGAGACCTGCGAAACAAAAGTCACTTTTCAGAAAGAAATCAAATTAATTATATACATATGTGATAAAACCTTTTTAACAAAGCCTTCTGCTTGTGCTTTTAGTTTTGTTAGTTGCTTAGTTGATTAAATTTGTTTTTATTTCTATTTTTTCTTCCTGTAGCACTTTGAGATTTTTTTGCAAAAATGTAAAGTGCGTTACAAATTAAATGTATAATTATAATTATTATTATTATTATTATTATTAATAGATGTAATACATTATTAGTCCTGGAATAACTGCAATTATTTTTCACTAAACTGTTTATATAAAAGAAATCAAAGTTGAGCCAATATGGGATCTTTAGACCAATACTGCTAACCATGTGTGAGGGACAGATAAGGCCATAGTCAAGATAAAGTAGTAAATAGGGATTATTAGAGCTAAAAAAAAAAAAGGCTTGAGACTGGTTTCTGAGACTTATACTGGCGTTCCCCGACCAACCTGCAGAAAAACCCAGAAGAAGAAGAAGTTTAAATAATGTGTTTTTATGATTTTTTTTTTACCTGGCCTGTGTTTGGTGAAACTTTTTGGTCCAAATGTAAAATAATGTTTGCTTTCTATTTTATTTTACTGGCAGCAATTTTTAGTGGGAAATAAATCACAGATTACTACCATGGATTAAAATGTACTTTCCTGAATAGATAACTTCACTGAAGAATTTGGGAAATGATTAAACATATTTAAAAAAAACAATCAAGTGGAAGCAAAATCTGCTCATCTTTGACGCTCTGCTACATTTGCTGCAGACGGTGTTGAAAGTATTGTAAATGATGGATTCGGAAGTGGGCTTTTACTCAAAAATCTATGTGCTCACACAGTTTCTAAACCAGTGGTTCTCAACTTCTGGGTCGAGACCCAAAACTGGGCTAATGTGCGTCTGGGAAAAAAAATATTGGGTCAAAAAGTGTGTGAAGTTCTTTTAATCATTTATGTTTAGGTCAGATTCTTTGTTCCATCACATTTTTTGTACCTTCTGAGGCCCAAAATGCCTACATTTTTTATTCTTATTTTAATGATCTGATATCTGTTATCTGTTGAAGAATATCACAAATTTGGGTAGCAATTTTTTCATGAAGGAGTTAGTGGTAGGTCCTGAAGCTGAACCAGTTGAGAACCACTGTTCTAGACAACCCCATTATTGCATTACATATATGCTGGTACACATAGATCTGTCGTAAACCCACATTGCACCATGAAATTGTTTCTATTATATCGGCAGACCGATTCATAGGTGAAGTTGTAGTTACAATTACAAGGATGGTAATAATGTTTATTCCTGTGTACCGTAGGTGATAGAGCAGAGCAGAGGAACCCTTGAAGGCCTTGGGGCAGAGGTTGCAGCGATACGGTCTCTCATTGTTGTGGCTCCGTTGGTGGTGGGTCAGCCTGGACGACCACCTGAAGCTCTTCCCACAGTCCGTACACTGAAAGGGAAGATCCATCTGCTCCGCTTGCTGCGTTTGCCCTGACACAGATGACGTCACCATGTCTAGAACCACCTCTTCTCCACCCTCTACAACTCCCTTGTCCCCCTCTGACAGCTCCCCTCTTTCTCCATCGTCCTCAGCATCCTCTCCTGGTCCGAGGAGGGACGGGAAAGGAGAGAGGGGGGTGGTTGACTGAGACGGTAAGAGTTCGGCCTGAACCACTAAGGCCACTGAGTTAGCCATCACAAGAGCACAGATGAGAGTATCTCTTAGAAGGAGGTGTGAATCAGTTTTGGTGCAGTATCTGATTTTTCTTTCACCTTTCTGTCGTTCATGATTTCATAAATTCCTTCCATGTAAGCCACGGGGAAGGCCTGCTTTCATCCCAGGATAGGTCTGTCCTGAAGTGAAATGGAAATAAAAATTAAGTATTATAACTTAGAAACTCCGCGTGAGAAGATTCCCTTTTAATGTCAACCCCTCCCTCCTGTGTATGACGCTGCCCCCCCTCCCCTCCCCTCCCTCCCTTCCTGCTGTCTTTCCCCTGGCCGTCAGTCCGGTTCTGTCCGTCCCCGCAGTGCGGTGCTTGCTGGTGACACACACACAGAGGCTCCTGCTGAGGTACAAACCAAACTTCTTTATAAGTGCATAACATAACCGGTCAGCTGTACCAGCCAACAGGAAACCCAACCACACAGAATATCGGTTTTTACAGTATCAACAAAGCAGCTAATGTCTTCATTTAGAGCTAATCTGTCCTCGCTAATGCTGAATAGCGTCATTAAACTGCTGGGTAAGGATGCACATTAATACAGACGGAAGCACTACTCACCGCGTATCTTATACTAATCTTATAGTTATAGTGTTGATATTATGGAAAGGAGCTGGGTACCGCAGTGCTAATCCACACAACCTTAACAATAAACACAGCACAAACTAACAGCAGTTCTCCACCCGATGCCGCCTTCTAAGAACAGCGACGGTGATTGGCCGGTGACTACAATACATGAGCTACTACCATTGGCCGGGAGCTTCTACAGACAGCTCGAGGATTTCTCACCGTACGTTGAAATATTTCTTATAGCTAATTGAAACGGATAGAACCTGTCAGCTTTGTACCTGAACGCAAAGATATTTAAAAAAAAGAAGAAAAAAAACATTATAAAGGCGATTTTACAGCGGAATTTTATCGCTTCTTGGCTGACTTTGACGCACAGGCTTCTGGGTAATGTAGTACATGTTTGTAGTACATATTTGTCAGCGCCTTGACTGCCCTCTGCCCCTGTTGACTTTCCTTGCTAGGTGGATTCAGAGCCTTTTATAGGGCTTTGAGTGGATTATAACAAATGTATCAAAGATATACTCAAATCCATTGTGCACATTCTTTAATATTTATTTCACCAAGGCACATATTTCACATTGAGGCCAATCAGTGTGTGTAAAAGGCATCTTGATGTAACAAAAATAATTTAAACATAATGATATAATAATAGTAAATAAGAATAAAAACTGTATAAAAGTACAAAAAGATAGGAGGCTTGCTCCACCAACACAAAATAAATAGTTCCACCAAGTCACTTAAATAAATAGTCAATACTGTACCAAATACTAGAATAAGAATGAACAAAAATGTATAGTGATAAAATTGGTAAAGTAATCTGTATCATATTGTAGAAAACAACACAATAAACAAAAGTACTGTATACAACAATTTACATTCTTGTACACTTATGTACACATGTACAGAACATAGTGTCACAATACATAGTATTTTAAGGCTTTGGGTGTTCAACTAAAAATAAAACAACCTTTTCTACCCAAAAGCACAGGTTTAAAATCAGCCACCTCACTCATCTAAGAGGCTAATCCCAACAAGATTGTGCAAAGAATCTAATTAGGTTCATCAGTGCTCAGCAACGGGGCACATTCATTCAATTTTACCACAATATTACAAATGCCTCCTCTTTTTAAATGCAAAAAAAAAAAAAAACAGGCAACAAAATAGAAACTCTGCCTGTGGTAAAAAGAAAGTAATCACTTCTCTTTGGCTACTGTTTTGACATTTTCATATAAATGCAATCGCAAATTAACATCATGGATCATTGATTGATACATTAAGACACGGCAAGTAGAAAAGAACATTTACATCTTTAAAATGCTTACTTTAAGGACACTGTGAGAGAGAGTGAAAACCTTGGCAGTCTCAAATGTATGCTACATCTACTGGAAGAATGTTTGGCTAGAGGAATACACAAATAAAAAATAGAGTCAGTTTACACAAAGAGGAATTATCAGAGCTATAGGTTCAGCAAGTGCTACTGTGTTTTTTTTTTTTCATGAGGGTCAGTGATACACAAGACATAAAAGAAGATTACAAAGATGTGAGCAAATAAATTCACGTACAGAAAGTCAGAGTGAAACATTACAACTTCAAATAAATACAATTAAATAAATTATTAAAATCAATAAATAAATAAATACATAAATAACATAGTCATGAACAAAGCCCTTGGAGGAGTTTGGGGAATCATGGTGTTTAACTGGCAGGTTGCTTTAATGCAAATCTTGATGGTTATAACTGGCTGCAGTGTAGTGCATCCTTATTATCGCTGATGGAAAGACACATTCTTCAACACACATGTCATTAGTTGACGTTTGGGCCGATCAAGGCAGGCTATTGACTACAGTGCACATTGACATGCTCCTGATTCCCCCTTTGGCTGAGGCAGGACTCCTCACTGGCTCTGCTGCCAAGCAGTTGTAAGGGAAAGAATGAACGAGCTGGGATCATCATTGTACTGCAGATACTTTGGGTTTGAGGGTGATAAATGCTCTGTATGCCCAGTCACAGAAGAGCTTGAAGTGTTGAAGAAGCTCATGGCTGGACTGCAGGACATCAAACTGGTAGGGAAGGTTAGGGGGGAGGGAGGGGGTCGCCGGGGTCAACCTGGGTGCTTCAACTCTCAGCATCTGTAGGTGCAAAGACAGACAGACAGACAGATTAGAAAGTGAATTGACAGACAATTACATACAGTATATCAATGAAATTCAACAACAACCAAAAGTCAAAAGTTTGGATTACGCTCTTTACCTGACGATGCAGCATGGTGATGAGAGATTTCATCTCCCTGATCATCTCCACCAGCTTAGGCACAGCAGGGTGGTGGTGTCTCTTTGAAACCTTGTTGAGCCACTCAAAGTGGTGCTCATACAGCTTCAGGTCGGCATGTAGCTGAGAGAGTGTGGGCTTCAGCTGGAAAATACACAGACATACTTTAGAGACTTAGCATGGGTGTGGCAAGATGTAACTGTGTGAATAGAGACAGACCAGACAGACAGCATGCACACACATTTACACACAGTTACATTATCAGAGCATTACCTCAAGATTATTGAGGTCATTGGCTGATCTGTTGCTCATTTCTGGCAGAGACCTGAACCTGTGTGGCTCCACGTCTGAGTCAAAAGCGTGCTCCCTCTGAAAGAGAAAGCAAGACATGTTAGTAATTTGCATCAGCGCAATTTTTACTCATCCTGAGACAAGTCACGGCAACATGAGGAAAGTATTAGTCCAGCACCTTTGATTGGGTGATTGTTTTCTGTGCTTAGAGACAGTAGCTCTCAATGACGGGAGTGTGGTTGATCAGGTCAGTGTGAGTTCACCCATATTCAGCCACCCCAAATGTCAACAATGAGAGCAAATGACCTGAACCCACAGGATGTTTTCTACAGGGAGCGAGGATAACAACATATGCAGTGACTAAGAAAGCTCAGAGTTCTACAGACAACACAAGGCTGAAGGGAAACTCCAGGGTCACAGCTATAAAAAGACGAAATGACGCAGGGCTGCTGCCCAGCTAGAGTTTTGTCTTGTAAACTATGTCCAGACAGCAGATGTAGGGTTTATTAAAACCACTAGAGGGAGACAACAACCTGACTGCAGGTCTATGGAGTTCTACCTTACAATTGCAGTTGTGTTCATCAGTTTTGGTTAAAGAGGTATGCCTGATTCAGTAATGAATGGGGGATAAATGAAGATGACTGATGCGTCATTTCCAATCAGTGGAGGAACATAACAGCATTAGAACAACAAGTGCTGACAAATGTTTTGTGTAAACATGTTGTGTGTGCTTAATGCTTCCATAACCTGTTTTTCAGCGTGTTCCTTGCACAACTTTTTATCTTCAGTTGTTTATGTTGTTGTTTTCAGTGATGAATGAACCGCTTTGTCTCCCCACGTCTCTCCATCAGCCTTCATAAGAGCTACCTTATGCTTGCGGTCTAATGTTTTGTCTCTGTTGCTTTTGTCCCCTTCCGTCCCGTTCCTCCCCTACCCTCGTCTCTCTCCCCCTCTCCTCTCCCTCTCCATCCAGGTGCACAAGCGCATACAACATCACGTGCACATGTGCATGCATGCTCACACATACACAGCTGGCTTGTCATCTAGTTTGCTCTCTGATCTCTTCATCTCTTGTGGTTTTTCACTCCATCTTCCTCAGCCTTTAATTCAGCCTCTTATCCCTTCTTTTCTTGCTCTCTCCATCATAGATCATGACCTCACCCCACAGTACTCAGCATCCAGCCTTTTTTTCTTCCTGAATGCAAATACTGGAATGTGATAAATCTTTTTGATTTTTATCAAGTCACTTTGCTGTGGCGACCAAAGGTAAAACACTAAACACCACACCTACAAAACCATGACTATTTACAGATCCCTCAATGCACACACACACACGGCCACAAAAATGCATACACAGAAATGCATGCACGCATATATACATTTGCACAAATACTGTATGCACATTGACACACACACATACTTAGTCTTACATATACAAAGTGGCTTTGGAAAACTTATATAGACCTATGTGTGTGAACACACACATTTCTCTCTCTCTGTGTAAAGCAGGAGTTTCATTGCTTTATGCAGGGACTTTCCATGGATTCACATTCTATTTATCTTTCCTAACCTTGACCTCGCTTTGGTGGAATTCAACACAATATGGAAAAAATAATTAAAAATATACTTTTTCCATTTTATTAAACACTGTCGAATACTGTCTCCAACACTCTTTGATATTACTGTTTTTTCGCTTTGGTTCCGAGGGTTTACTGCAACACAAATGCCAACAGCTTTGTTTTAAAACAACAAACACAGAGTCACACACATTTTGAATACTATCTCCTGGCTAAGACTAGAGAGAGTATGTGGCTATTTTTGATTTAATCGCCTGAACAAAAGAGTTCTGAGATTTGCATAATGCAAAAATAGACTTTGTACCAGTCATGTGAAGTGAAAGATGTCGTGATAAGATCCTGCTTTCTTTTCACCTCTTTCAATACAGTGTTGATACTCAGTCACCACCTGGAGAAAACTCTGTCTTGGCAAAGTTTTTTAAACAGGAATTCAACAAAAAAAGCATTTTGGCCCAGAGATTTCAGTTTTGGCAAATACCAATATAAATAGGCTAAATGCCCTTACACTCCATCTTTACTTCATGTACGTATATTTACATTAACAGTCATGTGAAAGACATGCTTGGCAGTTTTCTGTTAAAATAAACCTCCTAAGGTGTCATGTTGGGAGATAATAAGCTGATTCCTTGAACTTTGCTTTGTACTTCTATCACTTCATACACCTTTTGCAGACTATCACTTATGTGTCTACCCTCCATAGTTTCATTAAACTTGATACTTGATCTCCACTTTATAGAATGAAAGGACTGTCCCTGTCACCAACCTCACTGCTACCTCCACCACCAGAAGTCAGGCGACCTGACAAACTGGGAGTTTGCTGAGTCAGCCACCCCCTCCCTCCCGAGTCTAGTTTGGATTAATAGTGAGATCACTCAGTCAAATCTACCCTGAGTCTTTCGGTGCCCTGAACTAAGCATACAGATGGACTCCAGCCATTCTGTCATCATTGAAAGCAGCTTATGTCAAACTGAATCCCGAGCAAACGCATTCTTGCATCAGCCAATAAGAGTTTCCACAACAGTGATTCAAGAGAGACAGTGTAATGTTACCTAAATGAAAGGTAACATTACCATCCAATTCAGGAAAGGTCAATCAGTGACTTACATCCTCTTTCTCCCTCACAGTGCAATTCAATTAGCAAAGACCTCATCTGCATCTCTTCCTATCAATAGCTGCGATTGGTAATCAGCGTGACGACATCTTCACTCACCAGCAGCTCTTGGGTGATCTTCATTAGATTTTTGGTCTGATTGGACAGTTTATCCATGTCAGAGGGCCTCCGCTGGGGCACAGGAGAGGCCGATGTGAATACAGGCAGCTGGGCCAATAGCAGCGAGATGAGGAGCGAGGAGGAGGAGTCGAGCAGCACTGCAGGGGAAGAACAAAACGGAAGCAATTAGTGGAAACGTCGCTGTCATCTCGCCATAATGATAATGACCTCAGGCCACGGCTGTCAGCTCGTTGCACCATAACATAAACAATAGCTCCAGACTCCAGTGTCAGAGTCATGTTTTCACAGGATGAATGCAAATCATTAAATCATTAAAAAAGGCCGGGCTTTGACACTGAATATCACCATCACTCCTTCACCATAAGCAACGCAATGAATGCTGCTGATTGTCACACCTGCAACTGGATAGGTAGGTGAGCTGGTGGTATAAATTATATAGAGGCAGCCAAGTCGACTCTCTTAACAGTAAGCTCATTCATTCTTCTCCTTTCAAGTTCAAATACAAGGTAGACTAAGTATTAAAAGGGAACCACAGCGGCGTTGAAATGATGAATGCTTGATAATTACAGGTGAACCACAAGAATCGCAGCCAAAATAACACTGCAGGAGCATCTGAGCTCTCTGTCCTTGGGTTAACTTTTACAGTTGCAGAAAAACAGCGTCAAAAGTCAAGTTAAGTTAGAAGGCTAACTTGTTAAGTGCTTAAATAAATACAATCAATTAAGTCTCTACAATCTCTGACAGTAACATACAGGCCAACACGTTGCGTTAAAATAAGAAAAGCTGTAAAAGCAAATTCATTATTATTTATGAATGCAATAATAACATATCAATAATTTTCAAACACTTACATTTCATATTGTTTCGGTCCAAGAGCAACAAACGCAGATAAATAAATAAATAGAAAATTAATAAATAAATTGAACTCCGGATATTGTCACGTGCTCCGGTTTCTTCTTCGCACTCGTCAGTCAGAGTGAGGAGGAAAGTTGTCAGGACAGGAGAGGATGAATGAGACAGGACACAGTGATGCCTGAACCACTCACTCACAGACAGGGAGAGTTAGAAAAAGAAGTCAATATCGTCAAACTTTTCTGTCTGTAGTAAAGTTTGAGATGAGCCTTTGGAGTCTTTATGGAGTGCTGACGGTATAAAGAAACACTTAAGACAGTTTGGAGAGAGAGAGATAGAGAGAGGCAAAAGACATGCAGAGAGAGGGATGCGAGTGTGGTAAGTCCAATTTTTGCGCGCAGTGAAGTGTTTAGGCTTGTTTAAAACTTCCTTTATAAAGACGTCGGGCCTATGACACATCGGCAGTGACTCACTTCATTCATAAAAACACACACACACACAGACACACGCTCCCTCTCTCTCTCTCTCTCTCTCTTCCTCTCTCCCTCTCCCTCTTTCCTCCTCCCCTCCCTGCTGCCTGTCTCCCTTTGCGAAACTTTAAAAAAAAATGTTCCGTTGTTTTTTTTTCTTTCCTCTATCACTTTCTCCCGTCCTGTCTGATATCTCCAGCACTTCCTCCGTCGCATCCCACTGTACCTGCGCCAATCAGTCCCATCTACCTCTTTTTTTATCTTCCATCTCAAAATCTCTTCCCCCCTCTCCCTCTTTCTGTCTCTATCACTGTAGATGTTTTAAAAAGCCCATTGTTTTCATGGTGTATCAGCATATCTCATGTAACCTTGTATCATTTTAGAGCCTTCGGCTTGACCTGCCCTGGCTGGTGTTCAGTGTCACAGAAAATGTGTCTTTGTTATTGTTTTTTAATTTATGGTCGGTTTATTTGAGACTACACATGCTACATTCCCTGTATTATAGTTAATACGCAAAGCAAACACCTTTTCGCTCCCATATTTCTCTCCCTCCTTTTCTCACCCTTTGCTCTTTTTTTTTCAGAGCCCCACCTGAGACAGCAGCCTGTTATTTCCACTGCACCCCCCCCCCCACCCTTCTTATTTTCACTCCTTCTCTCCCTCTCCAGGGTGAAGGAAAGAGTGAGGAGTGAGGGACGGATAGGAGCAGGAGAGAGGTGTTGTCCAGACCAGAAGGGGCCTCTGAAAGTGTTGCATAGAAACAGTGAGTAGAGACACACACATACAGTACACACAACAGGACATTAACACAGACCCACGTTGTAGGTGTAGGGGGTGATTGAAGGGGTCAACCCTGCAGACACACATGCACAACATGCACATGGATGCACACACACGTTGGTGTCGTAGAAAAACACATTGCTATAATGAACCGCCAAAAAGCCACTCACTAGCTCTGACATACACTCAGACATATGCAGTAACATAACTGTCTACTGTACACACATCAACATGATTTCTCACACTCTCTTTCTCACACACACACACACACACACACTTGTAGAGTGGGGTAGTCTGGAAACACTCTGTCAGGTGCAGTAAAGCGTGGCCTACTACTGCAAAGGGCAAGAATGAGTTTCCAGTGATCACACAGGGACAGTTGATGCATCATACTGTAAACATACTGTACATCAAAAAGAGGTCATTAGGTTCAATGCTCCTGTTTTTTTTTGTATATTTTCAATTTTTGCATAAAACACATGAGTTAAAATGCCAAAATAAAAAGAGCAAAAACTTTGGCAAAAAGACACGTTGCTTTGTTGAAAAAGTTTCTGTATTGCTCAAGACTGAATGCAGGGAAATACACTCGGCTAATAACTTTTGATGTACATGTGACCTAAAGCCAAGGGTGTAGCAAAACACGTCTTCTCTTTATAATCAGTCCCCTTTTTTTTTCTTTGAACCCCAGTCTGACACTTCTGCTTGAGCCAGGAAATAAAAAATGGCCATTGAAAAACATCAATTACGTGTGAAGTTAGAAGGAAACTCTGCCCCCCTTATTCACTTCATATATGAAGACAACAGAAATGCTGTTTTTAAATCGTGATTGTATCTTTTTTTTTCCACTCATTTCTGGTATAATGGCACCTGACTGGAGAATCAGTGCCATACAATACGCTTATCTGAACAAAATCAACGAGTAGTATTTGTTCAACCATGGTGGTTGGTTCATTTGAAATACTTTTGGCTTATTCATATATTGTTAAATATCTTTTTCTATTTAGATGTAGAGACATAGCTCGAGTCTCTACCACACAAAGGCAGAGATAGTGAGGAAGAGAACGTGTTTTGAGTCTGGGTGTAAGATTAGGAGACCCTCATTCACAGACATACACTCATGGTGCGGTTACAAAATAATTGGTGGTCGGCCTTGTATGCGCACACTCGCACACTCATTCACATATACACACAGAGTTGCCAGTCCGGCGGTGGGCCTACACAGACAAACAAACACCCTTCAAATGATGAGGGCCCGGTGGCAGCGAGTGGGTGGCGGACTTGTTGTGGTTAAAAGGGGTCATACTCTGTTTTCTCGGGTCAACAGTAGAGAAGAAAAGCCCGGTGAGGAGGAACTTAGGAGAAGAAGGAGAGGAAATAGATGAGTGCGGTTGGACGTAGGGAGATATTGACACACTCGCTCTTTTTAATTTCCCACATCAAAGGGCCGTTTGAAGACACAGCTGGGGAGAGAAGAAAAGAAAAAGTGAAGTTAGTCACTCTCCCTCATTCCCTCTCTGGGCTGCGTCTCATGATGGGGGTCTCCTGGGTGGTTCTGAAGCACACAGCCGTATGTTAGGCCATCCGCCAGCACTGATCACTCACACACTATGACACCGGGGTGGGTGCTCTTTAAAGTGTGTGTGTCTTTGTGTGTGTGAATTTGCAGAGATGTCCGTAGGCAAAATAAAAACGGTTACGCATCTTTGTTTAGATTTTTGTTTTTGTGTGTGAGAGAGCGAACACTGCGGCGGTGCATGCTTGTTGGAAAAGGGGGAATCCAGGGTTTGTGTAAATGGGTGTGCATACAGTATATGTGTGTAATTATGGGTATGTGGTGGTATAAGTGCGGTGTCTGTATATTGTGCATGAGCACCAGTGTTTGTGTGTGCGTCTGCTTGTGTGTGTGTGTTTGTGTGTGTGTGTCTGTGTCTGTGTGTGTGTGTGTGTGTGTGTGTGTGTGTGTGTGTGTGTGTGTGTGTGTGTGTGTGTGTGTGTGTGTGTGTGTGTGTGTGTGTGTGTGTGTGTGTGTGTGTGTGTGTGTGTGTGTGTGTGTGTGGCCTTCATATGCTACCCATTACATCACCAATCTGTGTAAACCACCATAGGAGGAGAAACAGAGTGAGACACTGAGACTACGACCTCAAAGACATCAGAGAGGAAGGGGAACCTGTGACAGGGCCTGCCAGGCCCCGCTGCCAGACAAACTTTACTCACACTAGTTTCACTCAATCCCTTCATGCTGTACACTAGGTTTCCTGTGCGCCATGGCATGTATTCACACATTATTACACAGGCTTCAAAACATCTGAGTGCCTCACACTCTTTGCTCACCCTTTGCCGGGTTCATAAAGCACTAGATTGCGCAAGTCATTTGCACACAGTCAGAATCTAAATGTTATCTTCTTCATAATTTATGTTTACTGACAAGGAAGAGCTTGAGCAGGAATATATTTTTATACGACATTGACATTTGTTCATTGTTTACTTTAGTGTGATTAGAGTTGTTGTCAGGTTAAAAGAACAAATGCCAAATCAGCCATTTCTGTTTAAGAGGGGTTTTCCCAAAAGTGTTTGCCAACTGCTGTTAATAACCATGTTCAGGTAAATGATAAAGTAATCTTGTAGATTTTAGGGTTAAGTCTCATGTTCTGCTTACCTCAGAGTGTCATGTGCAAACAGTGAATTGCTGGTCGTGACGCAACGCTGCTGCTTCAATGGTAAAAAGGATTATGGGACAAGGAGTCGTAATAAATTCATCATCATATGTTGCACCCTCATTTCCTCTAGGGAATTCCAGCAGGGCCTGTATAAACAAACATGAAGATTACGTTCAAAGGGAAAGCCAGAAGTCTGACCTATTACTGTTAATATTTGCTTTCCTATAACCGGACACTTTCAAGTTTCCCTATGACCTCCTCTCCCTCCTGTCTTTTTCCTTTCTCCTCCGTCATACCCCCCCCCCCCTTCGCATTCTCTTCCAAGTGCATGATTCTGACGGGGTATCCTATCTGGGGAATTGTCATGGTTACCTTACCCCAATTTGTTATTCACCGCCATTATAGCCCCCCCCCCCATTCTCGGCTTGCCCCCTTACTTTAACCTACGTCAGAGAGCAAGTGAGTGTGTAAATAGTTCAGGGGGGGGGTGGGGAAAAAATAGTGACACACAGGAGGGGGCTGCAGTCATTGGGCAATAAAATGACGTCTCTAACCTTCTCTTTTCTCATTGTCAATTATCAGTTTAAGAACTGTTATCCTCTTTCAAATAGATATATGACTAGAGACCCTCCTCCCCTCTACTCTTTACTTGAGAAAAACCTTAAATGGACGTGATTTGCAAATTAAGCATGCCAATTGCTCACTTCCTTTTTCATGTGAGCTGCCTACTGGGGGCAGATATGGCTGTTGCGCATCTGTTGCTTTGCCTTTTTTTTTTTTATTAGACCATTAAAGGGAGACATTAACCAGCATCATTATTGCAGGTTTCCTCCACTGGCTTAGCTCACAGAGCAGTGCAGAGGGCAGGATGCAGGGATGAAAGGGAGAGCATGAGGCAAACGTCTCTCCCTGCAGAAACTGTGGGAGCGAAATGTTTAAATCAGCCCTCTATTAAACACACATTTACAAGGCTTGTTTGGAAGCCAATCCATGCTATGTGACAGAACACAGTGTTTGTGTGTGTGTGTGTGTGTGTTTGTGCACGTGTGTGTATGTGCGTGCATGTGAGTCAGCCAAAACCCTCTCTCTCTTGCTGACTCTGTGTTGCTCACCTGCTCACGTTTCCTCTCACTCTCACTGCTCCCGAGCAGCTTTAGCGTCTGCCAGTGAGGAAATCTCTGAATGAACTAGTTGAAGTAATAGGTCACAGACAGAGTGTGAGAAGGAGAAGAGGAAGGAGGAGGAGTGGAGGGGGGAGGGGGGGGGGGTACATCGGGAAGCAAGCAGCCCACGCAAAAAGGAACTTTTTACTGTGCAAACACTGTTTCCATCTCCCCTGCTTGCTCCCTCCATCTCAGACGGGTGTTAATACACTTTGAGAGCCCAGGCCTGTCTCAGAGCTCCCGTTCTCTTCTCCGGTTCTCCCCCCTTACTCCTCTCACCGCCATTCTCAGTCGCCCTAAACATTCTTTCCTCTCTTGTCATTGCGTGTCCTGTCTGCATCCCTTTCTCTCTCTCTGTACTCGTCTCTTCCTTCTTTCAGAGTGCCTCCCCTCAGCTCACTGGCCTCAACTCACTGACTTCCACTTACATCCCTCGCTCTTCCTGGTCTCTCTGATTTCTCCAGTTGCAGAATGATGCACAGGAGGATCAATGAAATGTAAATCAGAGCATATGCAATGAAGCATGTGCACGTCAATGTGATATATCTCTGCACTATACCGAACTAACAGTAAGAGAGTAAGTGTCGTTCCTATTTTGGGTGCATTCCCCACAGTGTAGAATAGTTTTCCTGGAGACGCTATTGCATTTTTGTCCTTTTGTTAGTCTTGCACCGTTTCTGTGGTGAGCTACTACATCTGTGTTTGTGTGTTTGTCTTCGAGTGATGTATACTGTATCAGAGCTGACCACTACTTGCCGGCGCGTCGTGTGTCTGCGTCAGCCAAACACTGAGCCTGTTGTTGTGTTATTCGACGGAAGCTGAGAGCTGCTGACAAATTCAGGGGAAACGGGGAGGGCTTTCTGTGTTGAGTGTGTGTAAGAGGGCAGCGGGTCCTGGAGAGACGACGGGAAAAAAAGAGCAAGGAGAGCGGGAAGACAAAAGGAAGAGGACTTGTGTGACGTCGCAGTTTGCCCCACGGAGGGACTTTGTCAACGTGAAGTGACCTCAGTCACATGGAGGCGGGACAGATGGACACACACACATACACACACACACACACACACACACACACACACACACACATACACACAAACAAACGCACAGAAACAAACGCACAGAAACACATATGCTTACGTCTGTTCACTCAACCTTTAGACAGTTCA